TTATTGGACGCATTTCGCGGCGACGAGCGTCGTCGTTCATCGCTATTTCCGTTCGCGAGTGAGCGGCCTGGACCCGTCGCCTCGAGCGAGCCAGCGAAAATGGAAAAAACACCTTCTTTTTGTTTTCTTTGGTTTTTTGGTCCCTTCCCCCATCCTCTCTTACCGCCACTTACGTCGTCGCGTACACCTGCCGCAATCATTTTGCGCCACAACGCTCGTGCGCGCGAATTCTTATACGAACGTGTTAATGGGCAGATTGTCTCGGATACGTCTTGCGGACGGCGAGTTCCTTGACGCGAGACCGCGGGTAACGATTAATTTGCAATGAGGGACGGATAACCCATGTGCGCGGTGATGCTTTTTTCCTGCAGCGCTGCCTCGTTCGAACTTGATGCGACTCATTGAGGGAATACATGAGCATTCGCGCCCCCAACTTGCTCGAGAATCAAGCACATTGTTTCTTATACTTTTTTACTTTCCTTGATACTCAAAACTGAGTTATTCAGTGCAGCTTGCAGCTCGTAGCTGCCGTAGACTTGTTGCATTATCGGTATCGAATTTCAATCCTTTACCCCGTTTCGCTAGAACGTGCCTAGCTGAATATTCGCAACCAATGGTGAGCGCGGAGCGTATCTGTCTAGAATGCATGAAATTATTGCACAAACGCAGTGGCAGCACGAGAACCCCGAAAAACTTTATCCGTCTGTAGTCGGTGGGCAAAATAATCGGCTCTCCACTTCATCAGAGAATCATGCTTGTTCAACAATGCTGGCCCCTTTTACGTGGCCGCAGCCAGCATTCAATATATACGTCTTCTTAAAGAGCTGCATTATAAACTTCAAGTGCTCGCGCAAAAATAATTGCAATATCAAAAGCTCTCTTTCAAGTGACCGACAGGTGTGCACGTGTATATTCTCTCTCTCTCTCTCTCTCTCTCTCTCTCTCTCTCTCTCTCTCTCTCTCTCTCGACGTTCTATTAATCCCCTATCGAAAAAACATAAAGGCCGCCCGCCCGGTATAGGAACCTGTTGCACGCCGGCGTTTTCACATGCGCGCGTCATCGTGTACGAAAGAAGAAAAAATTACAAAAAAAATAAAATAAAAAATAAAACAAGCGCGCTCGCGATTGGAGGTCAGCGTGCAATGCCATCGGAACTTCATCCAGAGGCTCATGTTAGAGAAAAATCGATATGTGGGTCGACTTTTATTTTTTCTTTTTCAATTTTTGAGGATTCTCTCTCATGACTATGAATTACTACATTGTCTGAGGGCGCTTAAACGTATGAAATTGAAACTCTCCGATCAAATTGGCGCTTTAAGCGCGTACGATTTTGTACCTCGTGTGACTGCGCCTTAAAAATTTTTTTTTTTAAACCTAGCATTTTTTTTGTTTTTGAAACCCAGAGCACATTTATTTGGTCTTGATCTATTCAAAAGACTTACGAAACTGTTTTTCTTTTTTTTTTTGTTTAAAGTATCGGTCAAACACGTTTTGTTTTCTGTAAGCGATACTCTTTTTAACAATTCATGCAGAACGTCCAAGTCGTTGCTTGAATTTTCTCGTAACGAGTTTCGCGCAGTAAGCTGACGCAGAAAGCGAACGTCTTGCGTCACACGTGGCCAGAAATATCCCCCTTTCGAAAACTCATCAAAACTCTCTCCGAGAGCAGAGAGAGAGAGAGAGAGAAAATCGCTGGTCGTCGCGCGCGTAGATGACAAACTCGACTTGGCGAGATGAAGAAGCAAGGAGGCGAATTGGTCGATCGACAACGGGTTCTTCGAATCGGTGCGACGAGCAAGAGGCTGCTGCCAGCAGGTTAGGCGATTGCTGCTCTGTCTCGAAAGCGACGGCGGCGGCCGCGAGAGAGAGAGAGAGAGAGAGAGAGCACGCGCGCGCGCTAAGGGGGCGTCTCGGCGGCCGAAAGGTTCACGAACTCGGCCTCCCCCTCTCCGCTTAAGCGCGCCAGCGCTCAAGGTCCCTCTCTTCCGTTTTTGCAAATCCCAGGACCTTCTCCCCGCTTCTCTCTCTCTCTCTTTTTCTCTCGTGCGCTGTCGATGCTCCGCGCAAAAATTTCGCCTCTCGCTCCCCTCCGCCCCTTTTCAATGCTTCTCTTGCGCGCGCCACGGCCCTTTTTGCAAAAATTTCCGGAGCCCCCAAAGACTCGCTCGCTGCTTTTTCTCTCTTCCCTGTGCTGCCCCGGCCGATGGCTGCTGCTGCTGCCGTTGCCGCCTCGCTTTCTCTTGGCGCGCGCGCGCCCTTGCCACGGCCTCGCGCTCGCCCGCCAGAGATCCGCGCTTCGGATGGCTGTTTTCGGCCTTCGTTGCCTCGCGCGCTGATTTCCATGGCCGATCGCTCGCTCGCGGTCCCCGGTCGAAAGCTCTCATCAGCCAGCCCTCGCGCCATCGCGGCTACTCCGAGAGCTCGCTCACCGCGTACTTCGCGACGAGCCTTTGTGCGCGCCGTCCGAGCGGAGCCCGGTATTGGCGTGCTGCCACGGGTAACGACTTTCCAAAACCGACGCCGGGCAAATTTTACAAAACGACGTTTCTCAAGATCGCCCGGCGCCGATGCAGCAATAAGCTTACGCAAGAGGCGCTATTACCGATTGTAAATGTTGAAAAAAAATCACAGTATGAAGAAGCGAGAGAGAGAAAGAGAGACAGAGAGAGATAGCGTTTTAAAGGATCGGCTGGTTTTCCTGCCCGGCACTTAAAATCCCTCTCTTGGATAGGAGACGCGGCGAGAAAAAAGACTCTCCGGCCGAACCAGTAGAAAAAGTCAAGAATAGTCCGGCCTCATAGATCTGCGGCTCCCCTAAATCTAGCGCCTCGACAACGAGCGACAATGGGGAGAGGGAGGGAGGGGGCGTATAGACGTATCTCGCTGGAACAATGGGAAGGGCCCAACTTTAAACCACTTTCAAATATTGGACGAATCTTCGGCGAAAATGAAGCCGCGAAGAAAGTGAACGTTCGACTGCAGAAATGGATGTCCGCGAGAGAGAAGAGGAGCATCGAAGAGATCCGTGGCGCTGCAAAGACGCATGCGATACAATCGTCATGTGCAACGATCCACGCACACAGAGACACAGGCAGGCAAGTAGACAGGCAAGCAGGCAGGCAGGCAGGCAGGCAAGCGCGCGCGCCAGAGAGAGATTGGTGCTTTAGAGTGTGTCTGGTCGAACGAGCGTACATCCAAATATCCCTCTCCATGACACCTCGAGACGGAGCGGAGCCTCCTTCCCCCCTCGCGCGCTCTCCGGGTGCACAGGAGCACGCAGATCGCGGGGAACTGGTTGGTGGTGGCTGGCGGCTCCCTTCCATGTGCACACGTCGGCTCGACTCGCACGGGCAGGCGCGCGTGTGTTGGTCGGCTGGTTGCTCATTGTCGTCGGTGCGCGGCGCTGCAGCCGGCTGTTCAAGCTCCTCGAGCAGAGCCCAACAGTGTTCTCGGCGCTCAGTCCGATTCATGCATCACGGCTATGTAGGCAGAGCGCCGCGCGGCTCACCCTGGCGGCTCGATTCAACCATCATCGTAGCTCTGTGACGCGCCGCGTCCACTTCCTATCACTTGCGCTGACCGGCCACCGAACAGCAACCACTTCCCGCATCCGCACCATGTCGTTCAGCAGTTTCGATCAAAAGTGACAGTTCGCCCGACGTCGAATAGTGCCAAATTTGCCCCCGCAGTTTCTCAGAACAGTTTCTCTCGGCCTCCCCGGTTCGCGGTATATGCACAGTGAGCAGTCCATCCGCGATCCTCCCCCTCCCCTCATCGACAAGTGACAAGTGCGCGAGTGCTACGAGACACACACACACACCCACACATACACCCGTCCACCCACGGCCATCCGCACACACGCCGCCAAAGCCTACAGAGCCTCCAAATTTTTCACCTTTGTTTTTTCAAGAGGAAGAAGAAGAAGAAGAAGAAGAAAAAGAAAAAGAAGAAGAAGAAGAATAAGAAGAAGAAGGATAGCATCGAACCAAGACGGACCAGACCGCGGCGGCGCCGGTCTCCAAGAGCAACCCACCATCGGCAGCATCATCACCATCGTCGTCCCGGAGAAGAATAGCAGCGGCGCACCAGTAATCATCCCGAGGAGACACAGCATCGCCACGACGACGATCACGACCACGACGACGAGGAAAAAACGCAAGAAAGCCAACTGCAAGAAAGCCCGCGGTAACGGATGGCTGCCAGTCCGGGATAACTGCTAGCTCTTAAGTTTCCTATTGTCGTCATCGTCTCTCGAAAAGGAACCATACTAGCCTTAGTTATACGTTGCGTTATCATCGGATTTTTTCCCTTTCTAACTGTAAACTACCTTAATTGTAAGAAGAGGCAACGCGAGCGATCATCGCAGGATTACCCAGCAACAGATAACAACAAACGACAGACTCGTTGTTCTCGCGTGCTTGCGCGAGAGAAGCACGGCCGGACGTACGCGCGCGCGCGCTCACGCCGAGCCGCGGAGAGCGCTCGCGGCCGTACGCAGACGGAGAGAAAAAGAGAGAGACAGAGAAAGAGAGGGACGAGCGCGCACGCACGCATACGCGCACCTGCAGCGGTGCAAGGAGCTGTTGCCGCGCCAAAGTAGAGTCGAGTGCGAAGGAAGGAAGGCGGCGCAGCCGCCGCCGCCGCCGCCGCCGCCGCCGCCGCCGCCGCCGCCGCCGCCGCCGCCGCCGCCGCCGCCGCCGCCACCGCCACCGCCACCGCCACCGCCACCACCACCGCCACGCGCAGCAGCATTCCCGCAACCAGTCCGCCTGTCTCGGTGTATTCCGGGCTCGCCCGGAGGCAGCCTCGCTGCACGCGCTCTCCCTCCGCCGACTCGGCAGTGTGTGTCTCCGAGATGCGACGAGTGTCGCGCGCCGAGCCCACCTAGCCGCGCTCAGCTGAACGACAGCGGCCGAACGGCTCATCCACGAGCGCGCCGAGGCCACGCCAGCGAGCTTCCCGGAGCAGCGGCCCCGTCGAGTGTGCGTGTCGACCGACCATCGTCGTCGTCAACCGGCGGCGCGACCTGCTGCCGCATCGCTCTCGCACCGACCACTTCACGACCAAGGTATCGTTCGCCCCCTTCTCTTGCCCGTCGGCCGGCGGTGTCGTCTCCTCGCACGTGAGCGAGCGCGCCGGCCGGCGCCGGCACCCGCTACGCGCGTTGCATCGATCCGACACGCGCCACGCCGCGCGGAGGGCCGCCGAGGAGGCCGCCGCTCGTTCCCGCGCCGGAGACTTTGAAGGCTTCGGTGGCTCCTCCGCGCCGGGCCCCCGCCGCGCCTCCGCCGACCGATTTTCAAATTCGAATGTGCGCACACGCGCGCAACCGTTACTCAGCGCCGGAGCGCACGCACCGCGAGCTCAGCAGCCCGCCTGGGGGGAAATTGCATTCGCGCTCACGTGCGCGCGGCGACAAAGGCCAGCCGCTCGCGCGTACACGCATGTGCAGACGCCTCGGCGTTGCAGGCGCGGCTTACTCGCTGCTCCCATTGTCGCGCTCTTTATTATTTTCCCGCCGGCTGTCTGTCGTTGTGCGCACACATTTTCCCATGTGCACGCGATGCACCTGCGCTGAGCGACGACAGAGGGAGAAAGAAAGGGATCGCGGTCGCGCGAAAACTCGAGCAGAGAGAGATCGGGGCCCGAAAAGCGCGCAGAGCCGGCGATGCACCCAGTCTGCAAAAAATGCAGTTTGCAAAGAAGCACAAGTGGCGGGAGGGGGGGGGGCAGAGAGAGAGAGAGAGAGAGAGAGAGAGAGAGAGAGAGAGAGACAGACAGAAAGAGCGAGGTTGAGAGTCGCAGCCGGTCGAGTAGCTAACGAACGGCCGAGCGAAAGGAAAAGAGAGAGAAAGACGAGCGAAGGGGAAAAAGAAGCGAAGGGAGAGCCGGTTCGTTGTTCGCCAGCCCGCGTTGAGCGAAAAAGAGAGAGAAAGAGCGAGTGCATATGCTGCAAGTACGCGTGTGTTGGTTGCTTTTGCAGAGAACGTCTTTTCTTTCACACATGCGCGACGATTTAAATTCGGGGATTTATTTGTTGTATTATGCGCATTGTAGAGAGAGAGAGAGAGCCGCACGCCGAGAGAAGAGTGAAAGACCTAAAGTATACTTTTCCTTTTTGCTGTTGGGTCCACGACATTTTTGTTTAGTCTTGGCCCAGACGCAAAGTTCACGCTCTTTCTACTCTCTCTCTCTCTCTCTCTCTCTCTCTCTCTCTCTCTCTCTCTCTCTCTCTCTCTCTCTCTCTCTCTCTCCCTCTCTCTTTCTCTCTATGTCTCGCTCTTCTCCTTTTTTCTCTGCCGCGCGTGTAACGCTCGGACGTTATACAGTAAGTGGGCTCGCACCAGAGATGCCAAGTTTATTGTTTGTACGCCTATGGGGAGACGCACCACGCACGTACTTGTTGCGTTTCGAACGCTCGACAGACGGGAAAGGAAAAAAAAACGTGGCACGCGGAGATCCGAGCCAGTGTGTCTTTTCGGTCCGTCGGAAAATTGGGGATTTCCCTTAAGTAGAAAAGTGCCGTTTGGGTCAGCCACGCGTGCGCCTGAGTTTTCCCTTCCTCGTCTCGTCAACTTTCTCTTCATTGACAACCTCGAGCGAAAATTTGTAATTGAACGAAGTCGATGCATTTACAGTTGCCAAATTTAGCGCTACCTGGTTGAAATCGACAGTGGAAAGTTTTCTTGCACTTTAAATTGGGGCAAAATTTCGCGACCTTCGCTGAAGGACTACCTGTCGCGCTCTCTCTCTCTTGCTTCACTTTGCACAGTTGCTCGCGAAGGTGATTTACTCGTAAAATTATTTCTTATCGGCAACGAGTGCCTGTACTTGAAATTCCTGTTGATATTTCTCTTTGTTTATTTTTTTTTTCGTCAGCCACCGCTAAAATTAATCAAGCGTGTAATCGATTCAATTGAAATTTCGTATCCATTGTGGGAAATATCGCGTTACCAAATCAATTTACGACTTCGAGATCCGTCCTAAAAAGCTGTCGCGTACACAAACGTATCGAAAAAAAAGAGCATGCAACCGCATCCTAACAATGTGCCGAACTGTTAGCCGTGCGCACAAGTGTGTACGGCAATAGATCGTTAGATAGCCGTCCAGCGCACAAAAGCAAAAAAGAATCAACGGATAGTCATACCCAAATCAAACTCGCACGTACACGTGGATTTCTATTGTCCGAACTTACAAACGCGGTGGCGGTCATTCATAATCGTGCATCATAACATGCAATTAAATGTGATTACACAGTGCCGAAATCGCCGTACCCATCTGTGTGCGCGCGCTCGCCTAGACCGGCAAAAAAAGGGTCACCCCATTAGGTCGTCGCACAACCTGCGTCCACCTGTCAAAGCACATACGACAGACAGAAAAATATGGACTAGTGATTCGTCATATGCACGAGTCTCGAGCAAGAAGAGCCGAGAGAGAGAGCGCCATGAGCGATGGGCATGATGCAATCGATCGAGCTTATGGAAAAAAGCACGTGGCAGCCAAAGCTGGAAAAAAGGAAAAAAATGGAAAGTTGGCAAAAGAAATGGGCAAATCACGTTCGATCACATATACATGCCGTCGGTCTTTGCGCGTCGTTTTGTGAGCCCCGTAGTGTACAGTACTTACAAAGCGGCGAATCTACACTCTCGCGCCCTCGCGAGCCGCTGTCGGTAAGCTGCCACGCGCAAGCGAAGCAAGCAAGCAAGCAGCGGCAAAGTCGCCATTTCGGTCTGTGAGCGGCCGTGTATGTGTGTGTGTGTTTTTTTCGCGGGCCCCCACCAACCATCCACCAGCAGCAGCACCAGCACTTCCACCTCTCTTGTGTGCTTCGCGAGTCTCCGTCTGCCCGTCGCGCCGTCCACAAGCCGAGTGTGTCTCGCGCAACGCGCGCCCTGCCGAACAAGGTATACACATTTTTTTGCACAAACGTGCTATTCCGTCTGGAGGATCGCTGGGCCAAGTGTTCAATGGCTTGCTTCAAATTTATGTGTTCCAAATGAAAATCGAGCTTGCATGAGAGGAAAAAGTGCGCGAAAAACGCAGAGTGCAGAAAGAAGAAAAGAGAGAGAGAGAGAGAGAAAGAGAGAGAGAGAGAGAGAGAGAGAGAGAAAGAAAGAGAGAGAACGAGAGAGAGAAAGAGAGAGAGAAAGAGAGAGAGAAAGAGAGAGGAGGAGTCGAGGCGACGCCACGGAATATTCGCACAAGATGGAGAGTCGCGAGCAGCCATACGCGCGCGCGCACGCGTGTGTGTGTGTATGTGTACGTGTATACGTGTATACGTGTGAGTGCGCGCGCGAATCGTGCTCGTTCTCTCTCTTTCTCGAGCAGTGCAATAAACTGTTGCCGCCGCAACCGGCCGGCGTCAGTTTCGATTTTCCTCGAGAGCGGCTATTGTTAGACGCACTGTTTTTTCTCTCAAGCTCTCGGCTGCTTATCGCGCGCGCGTTCGAAGCAAGCGAGCTTTCGCGAACGGTTGCATTTTCCAGCGTCTCTCTCTCTCACTCTCACTCTCTCTCTCTCTCTCTCTCTCGCTCTTTCTCTCTCTCTCTCTTGCTTTCTCTCTCGCTCTCTCTCTCTCGCTCTCTCTCTCTCGCTCTCTCTCTTTCTCTTTCTCTTCTCCCTCGTGCGTACCAGTATAGGTGACTAGGCGACGACTATATAGTACAGGACGCGACCGAGCGTTGGGTGGAAGGGAGGGAAAATATTTTGGTCTAGCATCTTACTCCTGCTCTCCGTCTCTGTCTCTCTCCCGCTATTCCGCGCGTCGACCGAAGCGAAGCTTCTTAGCTTGCGCTCAGCGACCAATGTTGCGTTCCTACGCGTTAAAAAGCTCCAGTCGAAAATTATCCGAGCTTTCTTAACAAACAAAAACAGGTACATTTGTTGAAGCGCTGATCTCGAGTTCGTGGCATTCTGCTTATTGTTTACACAATTGTTGTTTATCAACATCTTATCTAATTCAATCAAAAGATATGCTATTGAGATTGATATTTTACTGAAACTTGCAAGAAGGGAAAATAAAACGTGATTAGGATCATTTTGTCATAAATATATCATTTATTTATTTAACTGAGAACAATTGTTTCTAACATTGGTGTATTTTTATTTTGTTAGACATGGCAGAAGGGAACGGGGAAATAAAGGCGGAGGACAAACAGTCCAAAGAAGACATGGAGTATGTTGAGCGAACAGAAGACTATTCCAAGCTCATAACATACGGGCTCAATGAGAAAGTGGCTGGCAAGCTGGATGAGATTTATAAGACTGGAAAACTAGCTCATGTGGACTTGGATGAGAGAGCACTCGATGCACTAAAGGAATTCCCCGTTGATGGAGCACTCAACGTACTCACACAGTTCCTTGAGTCAAACTTGGAACATGTGTCCAACAAATCAGCCTACCTCTGTGGAGTCATGAAGACCTACAGGCAAAAAAGTCGTGCTGGTCAGGGAACAACTAGTACAAGCACAACACCTAAAGCACCTGATGAAGATAAAATCAAGGTATTTATCACTCTGTTATCTTCATTTCTCTACTTGAAATGTGTGCTTTGTTACATAATTAATTGGCAGCCTGAAACTCTTGTCCAAATTAACAGTTTATTATCTATTCAAATTTTTATCAAAGTCATGATTTTAATATTATTATATGCAACTCATTTGCTGGCTAAAAGGTTGAAAGTCTTATAATTAAGATAAGTAAGTAGATAAAAATGTGTATGTTCAGACAAATCATAGTGACAGGCAATATACTGCTTCTGGCTTAAAATAACAAATCAATCATTGATTGTAGTTTTGCTTGTTTTGCTTAGATAATGTTCAATATTAAAAATTCCACTAATTTCTTTAAATCTCAGATGATACTGGAAAGAACTGGCTATCCGCTGGATGTCACAACTGGACAAAGAAAGTATGGAGGTCCACCTCCAAACTGGGAAGGTCCAACGCCTGGCACTGGTTGTGAAGTAAGATCCATTACAAAATTTCAATTGATCTATTAGAAATTTCTCTTTTAAACCATTTTTTTAATTAATAAATTCCATTTATAAAGGTATTCTGTGGCAAAATCCCCAAGGATATGTATGAAGATGAGTTGATACCTCTGTTTGAAAAGTGTGGAAAAATCTGGGACCTCAGGTTAATGATGGATCCCATGACTGGTACAAACAGGGGATATGCCTTTATAACATTTACAAACAGGGATGCTGCGCAACAAGCTGTCAGAGACGTATGTTGAACTCTATTCATAGCTTAACACAACTGTCCTCCTTGTATCATGAACAATTCTTATCTTTTCTCATTCCCATTAGTTGATTACCATGCCGCTATGGACTCATTGGATCTCTTTATTTATTTATTATTTACAAAACTTTCTTGACAAAACGAATGTTACAAAATTGTTATTGCTACCAGAGCATATGCTTAATCAAAATGTTTAACTTTTAATTTGCTCTTGATTTTTACTTTATTTTTTTCATTTATTTATATCTTTTCCAAAATCCTTATCTTTTAGACTGTACTTTTATGTTTATGTTAAACATTTTAGTTAAGTGTCAATATACCTATATGTGGCTTGTTCTGTGTTCGTGTTTGTAGTAGTTAACTATGACAAGTGTAATACATCCTTTATGTCAAAAAATTCATTAGCATAAATTTTCTTTCTTATTAATAAATTTTTGAAGCAAACCTAATGAACAATCCACATAAAATATTTTTTTTATATATATGTCCCTGACCATTTTTATTCATAGTTCAAGTACATATACGCATACTGACATCCAACTTGAATCCCGAAACAAACATTCATGTGTTGTAATGGAGACTTGCACAACATATATATAACAGAGTTCTACGGATGAGTTTCTTTTCCAGCTCTCCTCTTTGCTCAGTGGGCAAAATTGGGAGTGGAGAACCTTCCTGGACAAATTAAAAAAAAAGTAAAATCAGAAAAATTTGGCTACTTAATTGGTTAGGGGTGTATTTAATTACTTAATTGGTCTGGATAAAAAAAAAATTGTATTGGACACAGTGACAATTTTTGTAACAAAATTGGTTAGGCTAAAAGATTTGTTTACAGGAGTGCAAAAGCGCTTAATTATATGCGCGAAAGCACATGAGCCGGTTTCCTATCTTGTGAAGATTCGAGCTACAAAGTGCATACTAAAATGGAGATCCACGCCATGCTATTATTTATCGAGCATTATTTTTAGTTATTATATTAAAGAAACTAAACTCGAATATTTATTAATTTTTACTCTAAAAAATTAATAAATATAATACGAAACAATTTGGCAATCGTAAAAATGTCTACTTCCCTACTTTTGGCTTATTTTTTCTTCAAGAAGAAAAAAAAGGCGGGAAGAAAAGTCATCTTTTTTCTTTACTTTGTGTCTCTAAATTTCTTTTTTCTTTTTATTTTTTTAAATTGTTTACGAAATCATCAAAGAAAAATTAGGCATGTGTGTGTTTTTTCTTCATCCCACAGCTCGATAATTACGAAATAAAACCCGGCAAGAATCTGAAAGTAAACATTAGTGTTCCTAATCTACGACTTTTCGTGGGGAACATACCAAAGTCAAAAGGCAAAGAGGAGATCTTGGACGAGTTTGGTAAATTAACAGGTAAAGTGAATTCGAGGCGTGTGTTTACCTATACCTTGAAAAAAAGAGCAACAAAAATACCTACCTATTCACCTGCCTCTTCTTACTACCTTTGTAATAAAGTAAATCAGTTTAAGAGAGTGGTAGCTTATAAGTAGAGTTGGTCTGCATCATGTATTTTTGATACTATGTCACTAGTTATTTTTTTATATTATGATATTGAAGCATCGGTTGAACGAGGTCACAACTCGAATCCTTTCGAATTCGACGAGCGCTATTTTTCTTCTCGCTGTGTCGATTCGACGTGAGATCGATAGCCTCGCGATACCTTGGAACGCCTCTACTTTGAAATGAAAAGAAAAAAATCTATTGGTCAGTCTCCTTGCCTCTCGGTTTATTAGTGAACAGTAAAACACCCTTCTGGTCCAAGTCTTCTATTCCTCTCATATTATTTAGGTTAAGTTATGAGTTAATCGCCCTTTCACGCTTGTTGAAAAAGTTGCACATGTTCATTAATATTTTCTAATAGTTCTTGTTTAAATATGTGCAATTTTTTTATGCTGAGCGCGCATACTTTTTAGAAAAAAAAAGTTTATCATATCTCAGTAAAAGCAGCCTTTCTTTGTCTTTCCGCTCTCCTCTGCATTTTAGAAAGTACGTAATAAAAAAAATTGTCAATCGTCGCTCGATTCCTCCTTTCTGAACAAATAAAGCCTTGCAAATAAGTCTCTACACATATCTTTCTTACTGCTTTGTCAACTTTCGAGCACTATCGACTATCTGCGTTTCTTTGATTTTTTTTGTATTCTCCGTATACTCGATTGATGCAGATGACAGCCTTGAGCAAATTGCCGGCATACATAGAACCAAGAAAGAGGAACAATTTGTTGAGTGACGCAAAGCTTTTTATACATCATTAATTTTAAGGGAAAGAAAGAGTGAGTAGTTCTCGAAACAGTCTCGTGTTGGAGATTTGAAGCGAGAACGAGATTTGGTATTTTTTTCTACTTTGGTACACAACAAATGTTCGAAGCGAGAAAGTGAAAAAGAGATAAGATACGAATGTGTGTGCGCGCGCGCTTGTGTGTGTGCGTACGTGTGTGTGTGTGTGTGTGTGTGTGAGACAGAGAGAGAGAGAGAGGAACTGCACTTGAGCGCTTAATTCTTGATAAGCAAGTTTACGCGCGTGCGTGTAAGTGTGAGTTCCAGTTTACTACTGGTTTTATCGCAAAGTTATCAATCGCGAGCGTGTTCTTCTCTTTTGTAAACCAAGGTAGAAACAAATACGAAATGTTGGTGAGAGAGAGAGAGAAAGAGAGAGAGCGAACGAGCGAGAGAGCGAGCTGTGAAATTCATGACTGAGCCTGAAAGCATGGGGGTTATTGGGAGACGCCACGTGGACCTGCTGGGGCGTGAATGGCTCGCTAAGAAACGGACAGGCACCTCACGATCCGTTCCCTCACCTGCACATGTTCCTTCTCTGCCTATATTTTCTCAATGTGCGTCATCCTCGAAGGTCACTTGGTTGTTGTTGATGTGTTTTTTTTGTTTATTTTTTTTGAGAGAGAGCAAAATTACTTGACAACGAATTCATGAGAAAAGAAACGCAATAAAAAAAACGACTGAACAGATAAACAAAAACTACTTACCTCGACTGTTATGTACTATTAAAAAAAACCCTTTATACTTTCCCCAAAATCACATGGTTATCATTGACCCACACAGAGCTAAAAAGAAATTGAAAAAGGCAAGCCTAATTGGCACTCTCCTTCCACATTATTCTTACAGCTGAATGATTATGAGATTCGGAAAGGGAAAAAGATTGGTGTTACCGTGTCTTATAACAATCACCGCTTGTTTGTGGGCAATATTCCAAAGAATCGAGACCGAGATGACTTGTTCGAAGAATTTACGAAGCACGCACGTAAGTTTACCATCGCCCTTCAATGAAAAAATCAGCAGACAGAAGTACGAAAGATATGTACAACATTCCTACCCCCGAAACACATTTGTTCTTGTTTTTCTATTACTTTGTTACTGTCAAGTTCGAAATTATTTTTAATTTTTTTGTAATCTTCATTTTCTTTTTTGTTTGTCCAACAATTGTAAAACAAAAAATAGCCGTCCCGGTGAGCGTGTGTCTGTTGTGAGCGATTGAGTAATGTATACAACTTACCAAGTTCAACGTTAATAATACATGTCCGACGCTTCTATAATGTGGAACACTCAAGACTAAAGGAAACGTTTTTTTTTATACTCATGTCGGATTAACCATCTGTGTACGGTGATTAAACAAACTAATCAATCTATATATTTTTTCTGTTTCTGCGAGCTCTTTGCATGTCGAGAGCTGCAGATAATTTCGAGATACAGAGAAACGGAGAGACTAACAGCAGCACCAAAATTCAGACGATCGAAGGAGTAGACTATACATCCAATGTATTAGACCTATCCCCGTATCCAGATAATCTCATATAGATCAAGCCTCAATAATTTTCTGTTCCTAGCACGGAAAGAGAAAACCATTTTTTTTTACTTCTTTTGTTTGCCGATAGACCTTTTCTCAGATCCCTTCTTTTTCACAGACTGTTATGCATGCCGATTACAGAAAAAGATTCATGACTCTATCATTACTGTATACGGTTTTGGACTGTCCAATTGGCAATGTACAGTAATTCAAGTGTTTCACTTGAGACATGTTTTTTTATATCGTAGTTGTGGAGGAAAACTTGGGTACGGCTGAGATTTATTTTACATAGTTGTATCGATTAGTTAGGTGTGTGTATTGCTTTTGGGTTTCGTTTTTTTTTTCTTTGTTTTTTTTTTCATTTTTTTATTCTCATGTTTGTTAAACAACTTTTTTATAATTCTATCTGTGTGTTTTCAAATGGTGGAAGAAATTGAATGCGATTGGTGTTTTTCTCTCTTTTTATATAAAATGAAATGTACAAGATATTTGCATTTTTTTCATTTGCTAATGCGAGTGGTAGGTTACTGTATTGTCCAACAATACTACTTTTGTTTATTAATGGAGCTTTTAAACTGAGAGGAAGGAGAGTTGAACCATAAAACAAAAACCCCAAATGATTGAAAAATAATAATGCAACAGGGATTTTTTATATATTTTTTCTCTCTTTTTTTATTTTTTTTTTCTTTAGTTTGTTTGTTTATTTCTTTATGTCTTTTTTTTGTTATCATCAATCACCCATCATTATCATTAATAAATTCTAATCATAACAAAAGAGAGAAAAACGATTCAAATATAAGATAGATAAAATTGGTCATTCATTAATTCATTCATCAAAAATTCATTATTTCACGTTGAAAGACAGAATTTTGAAAACATCAAATTTCACTCTTGTTTTTGGCTCACGAATCATTTAAAATTATTATTTAAAAAAGATTTTGTTTGTTTTGTATTCATTAATCATTCATTATCGAAACGACATTTATTTTTCAAATCATTTTCTTCATTCGCATCACAAGTTTTTTCGACAGCTCAAGTGTGTGCGTCTATTGAGATGTGTGTGTTTTTTTTTATTTTTTCCCTGCTATAGCCGGCCTGACGGAGGTGATAATCTACAGTTCGCCCGACGATAAGAAAAAGAACCGTGGCTTCTGCTTTCTGGAGTACGAGTCTCACAAAGCGGCATCGCTCGCTAAGAGGAGGCTCGGTACTGGCCGCATGAAAGTTTGGGGCTGCGACATTATCGTTGATTGGGCCGATCCCCAAGAAGAACCTGATGAACAAACCATGTCCAAAGTACGCTTGCGAAAATTCGACTTCTCGAACGACTAATGAAACTTACAGGAAACTTATTAATTGTTTGACTTTGCAGGTACGTGTTCTGTATGTGCGAAATTTGACGCAAGACTGTTCCGAGGAGAAATTAAAGGAAGTCTTTGAACAGTACGGCAAGATCGAGAGGGTGAAAAAGATTAAAGACTACGCTTTTGTACATTTCGAAGACAGAGATTGTGCTGTCAAGGTAATTGATTGTTTTTTAATCACTCGTAAAGCTCATGTCCTCTTTTGTTTAATTTACGTTATTATTTCAGGCAATGCGTGAATTGAACAACCGAGAAATTTCGGGTTCTCACATAGAAGTGTCACTGGCGAAACCACCATCAGACAAGAAAAAGAAGGAGGAGATGCTCCGCGCACGGGAGCGCAGAATGATGCAAATGATGCAGATGATGCAAACCCGTGGCGGATACGACAATGCACTGTACGAATTTTTATTTTGTTATCACATCTAACTAAGAATCCCGAAAATGTATAACAATCCACTGACATAATTTTGTTCAATTTTTCAGTGGATCTCCCTCTCACCCAGGCATGATGGCCGGACCGATGCCAGTTCGCGGACCTGGACAAGGCCCTCGTGGCACTGGAGCAGGTATGCGTGGACCATTGACGCGGACTGACACCTACGGTAAGTCAGTCCTGAAAAACGTCATTTTTTTATTATTATTATTCATTTATATATTTATTTGTGAACAGATAAGCTACTTACCGTTTTTTAAATATTCACTTTATTCGTTTTGTCCAGTTAAAAAAAATTTTTTTTTATTTACTCTTTTTAATATTCAATGTTATTTATTATTTTGATTCATAATTTTATTTGAGATATTATTTTTCCTACCTCACCAATGAATCATCCCCAGTATACGCTTAAAAAGTTTCAAAGTTAATCATAACGCAATGAATAATTAGTGAAATCGGTAAAATTTTCGTATGATTCAAACTATATCAAGAACATTGCGTTTTAAATGTTTCACACAATTTATCGAAAAAAATAACTTTCTATAAATTTAATTCAACTTATAATCATCCCGCATGCTTGGAAATTTTTTTATCTTCTCACTACAGCCCTTTTTGCTTTCGCGCATGATAATTTATTTAAGATGTCGGTTCTGAAAATCAATCACTCAAGATAATTTATCTTTACAAACATTTTTCTACTCTCCTTTCCCGATATTTTATACAGATAAAAACTATAAAATATGAGATAATGCAACAATAATTTTACAACATTTTTCCTTTTTCTATAAGGTTGTAGTGAGAAAATAATGGATTAACATTGCTAATCAATATATGCTTCCACTTTCATTGATTAACTCATAATAATTTATCTTCAATTTGTACAAATGTTACAATCTCATAATACCAATGTACAAACCTTGGTACGTAACGATTTAGTTTTTTCACAAACTACATTTTTAAAACATTCCGTAGATTCATTCACTCGTCTTTACTTCCATATCCAATCATTAATCTAACCTTTTTATTTTCGTTTCAATTGCTAATAAAAATTATGCATGCATGTATTGTTTGTTTTGTACAGTTACATTTTGGTGCCACTTAGCACTTTGGTAAATGTTTTATTTCAATACGTACGTTTAAACGACTATTAAACAAGCGCATTCGCAAGAAAATAGACTCAAATTATTTTTCGTTGTTGGTTTTTATTTAGTTAGTGTTTTTTTTTTTATTTTTATAGTTTTGTGAGCGTGCGAAAAAATTTTATTAAGACTTAACGTACGAAGGTATCATCAAACGAAATAATTTATTTTCAGCTCTCAAGGAATTAGGTAAGCCGCGAGACATGTTGAGAATGATAAATGCGCCGTTGTCTCAATTATCATTTGTAGTCGTTTCAATTTTTATTTTGTTTCTTTGGTTGAGTTATATGAACTATTGGTTCTATAATGCCTGCCAACTTTCATCATCAAAAACTGACATTTTAAACAAATTATAAATATAAAGACTTAAATTATTAACACAGAATGATATTCAAAATTACTTTTAATTAATAATATTGAAAATTTTTTTTGAGTGTTTAAATATGTTAGTTGGCATGCATATTTTTATATTATTTTAACTTGTGGTGGTAGGGTAAACATTAAGAGATTCTCGTTTCACTTATACTTTGGTCAATAATAATGCTTTCAAACATGAATAAAATTTTCCATTACTTAACTGTTAAAAATAAATCGATATTTCTGTTCTTTTTGATTTTGTTTGTGCTATGAGTTTTTGAGTTCTCTCTCAGTGGTTCTTTTACTATCAAAACATTTTTTTTTTCTGTTTGATATCAAAATGAATCTTTTTAGTCTACAGAAATCTTGACACATGAAAAAGTTGGATTTTATTAGAAAGCGACATCTTTTCCCGGCATGCTAATCGGTTTTATGTATTTGGTGCATCATTGCAAAGATAGGATTATTATCATTATTGTTACTTTGTTGTGTAAGGGAAATAGTGTGACGGAGCAACGGTGGTCGCTATCATTTTCGTAAAATTGTTTTTGTTTTACAAGTATTTAGTTGGTTTTGATTGCGATGTTTTAATTTAGTTTTTTATTTAAAAATTTACTTAGAATAATTAATTTTTTTGCATTTTTTCATGATTTGGCAACATTTGGTTTTTTTATTTATCAGGAAAAAAAAACTACAAATAATGTTGATGTTTTGTAACTCAATGGAGATTGATTTCTAAATTTTGGGTCTATTTGTAATGTGTGTTTTTATAGATTATGATTACGACTATTACGGTTACGGGGATTATCGAGGTGGCTACAGTGATCCATATTACGATGACTATTATCGATACGAAGATTACTATTTCGATTACGCGCCGCCTCCGCCACCTGCCAGAGGGAGAGGCAGGCAGCCTCAACCGGTGGGTCGCCATTTTTTAATCGTTTTTTTAATTTCATATGAAATTCGTTCTTTTATTGTTTATCATAGTTTTTAAAAATAATGATGATAATAATAATTAATTATCAGAACAATAATAATAATAACATTATTATTATTGTTATACACCGTAAAATTATCAAATTAGATGATAGGTAGTTTGATTGTGGCACAGTGTTCGCGGTATCCCATCATGTATTATTCACGTAATGTGTATCTGTTCATCTCCACTGTTTCCATGAAACTCACTTTCGATGAAACGTTTATTGGCACTACATCATCACTATACCGTATCTTTTTCTGTAATACACAAAGACACAATAGCTACTCTGCTAATTTTGTCATTTTCCACAAGGCATCTTACTCTGTCTCTATCTAAAATAATAATTTTCCATCAACTCTTGTACTTTTGTGTTCTAATTATACAAATTAGAATCATGCTTCTTACAAAAATCACCATAATGTATTTTTTTTACAGGTTAAAAATTTAACAAAGAAGTAGTATTTTTCCGTTTTATCATTTACTTTTAGTATATTTAACATCAAACGATCTAAATTCACCTCAATAACAATCAAGCCTGTGCGAGCAATTAACTTTGGCTATCGCTAGTTTAATAAAATTCATTGTTACTAGCTTTGTTCCAGTTTCCTCTAACTGGTGATTTGCAATCTAACACCAACAAGAAGTGCAATTTTTTTTCCACTTTTTATTCACGATTGACTAATCATTGCACACTAACCAGCACAAATTATATTTACACTGAGAAAATTAAGTAATTACCTTTTATAAAAATCACTTTTCAAATAAAAAAAAATTTTTTCAGTGTATATGTTACATTATGCAAACATGTCAATGTTTGGGATAAATTTAAATAAATGTAAGAATAATTATTGGTGTACTGTATGTAATACAGACTTTACACCACGGCAAAATTAAAAAACAAATCAATCTTTTCAAAGCACGGAGTACAAGAACATATGTAATAACTCATAAAATATACATTTTTAAATAGAGAAAATTTTCAATTGAATATTCTTACCATCTATAATAGTTTCAATTAAATAAAGAATGTGTTCGCGTAGAATAACAAACTGAATAAAGCTAAGAGAATGGAATGGATTAAGAATAAGTTTTATATTTATATTTCTGTGACGTACAATAATTAAAAAATATGGAATAGTATGATAATAGAATAGCACAGCGCACCAATAAAGAAATCACTAACTATCAAAATATCTTTCTATTGACGTTACTAACTTTTATTACCCGCCGACTCGAACACGCTGCCACTTTCAAATTGCTTGCGATTAAGATCATATCTGAGCCATGTTAGACCCCAAGAGAACGAGAGAGAGAGAGAGAAAGGTGCAAAATTTTTCAGCCGGGAAAGCGAATTGGAGAGAACTACGGGAAAAAGAAAGAGAGAGAGAGAGAGAGAGAGAGAGAGAGAGAGAGAGAGAGACCAAACTCAAAACCATAAAATAATATACAATACCAAATAAAATAATATACAATACCAAGTAAAATAATATACAGTACCAAGAACAAAATACTACATTTAAAAAAAATAGGCGTTTGCTTTAGATCAATCTACATTGCGAATAATTTTGATCCTTTCTTTCGTCAAAGTTTAAAGTCGAAACGTTTATGAGCTTGGATAAAATATTATTCACAGTGTAGATAATCAGGAATTGGCATTGCTTTCCTCCGAGAGAAACGAAAGTAACCATCTAATAATGTGATAACGCTTGCGTAACGTAGTAGTCGTAGCTTACGTTTTTTTGCAGGTGTAGCAGTTTGCCGAGGATAATGGAAAAAGGCGAGAGAAAGAGAGGGAGAGAGAGAGAGAGAGACAGTGAGAAAAAGGGGAGGGGGGAGAAAAAGAGAGACAAAGGGAGAGGGAGAGAGAGATGGTGGCAGCAAACGACTAACACTTATTTGTTTTCTATTTTACAGCCTTGTTGTCTCGTGGCTCGGATATGATATAACGATCTCACACACGCACACTCTCACCAACCATCGAGATAGGGTGGACGAATCATCCCCCTCTTTTTTTACCCGAGTTTGGTTTTCGAGAGAGTGATTGAGAGCGTGCGATCAACTTTTTCTCTTGGTCGTCAGTTCGATATTTTTTTTTGAATTTTTTGTTACAGGTCTCTTTTTCCATTCATTTGTCCACTTTACTTTTAATTTGTATTTTTGTTAATCATTTATTTGTTTTTTTTTGTGTGCACCAGTCAAACATCTTATAATTTTTTATGTTTCAAAGGGCAATACACTGAATTGTCGTGGAGTTTGAGGTATCAGGAGGAAAAGTTGCTCGACTTGACGGGGAGAGAGAAAGTAAACCATAGTCAGCATCCTAGAATTAACCACATATATAGAGTTGTTAGAGTGTGGCTATAGATTGGATTGAATAAAACATGAAATAAGCTTACGCTTTTTTTTATATTTTTGGATGCTATTAAGGAGCTAAGAGAGGTGCGAGATACGCTGGATAGAGGAAAGGGAACGATAAGAATCAAATATATAATAGAAAGATAAAGTGACTCGAAAAAGCAGAGTTGATAAAATACCATTAAAAATACATGAAAATAACTTTGTTTTTTTCGAGTAACTAAAAAAAAAGATAAACAGCTTGGGACACGCTTAACCGCTTTTTATCACTAGTCGCTTCGCTTACATATTAAAAAAAACATAGGCAAGAAAACGCTTATAACACGCTTACAATTTAGTTCACGCAGCTGCTAGTAAACTTTTTTATTTAGTTTTACGACGCATACCTCCGCACCGCTTATGATTTTGATGCTTCGCGCTTATGTACAACCCTCTATGCATATATATACCGCTTGTGATCTCCTTGCCGCTTGTACACGGGATTGTGCGCGAGCAATCGCTCACATTATGTGTCTCTAACATGCACAGGTTTTACCCCACCAACCCCTCTGCTATTGATGACAAGACTCTTTTATCTGTCGCACCATTTTCTATTTTCACCCCCACTCTCCCCCCCCCCCCCTTATTTCTTCTTCTTGTAATTGATCACTCGGCTAATCTGATCTCAATTGAATCGATCGCTTAGAAATGCGATATTGAATCGAAAAGTTTTTCAAACATTTTTTTCTTACATCAGATTGGCTTTTTGATTGGTGACAGGTTGTCTTGTTGAAACTCGAATCCGCGGATCTATAATGACAAAATTGATAGAGTTAAAAAAAAACATCGGTTTAAATAGTTTAAGATAATAACATTCGAAAAGATAAGATAGAATTAAAAATAAAAAAGAAAAAAAAAACAAAATAGGGCATTATTAACTATAGATTGCAGTGAGTTTTAAATATTAGCTTAAGACACTCGCGAAACAAGCAACGTTCATCTTTAAACGACGTGTTCGTACTAATTTTGAAATACATCCGAATTATTTAGAAAACTGAATGAGCTTTGTTTGTTGTATAATTTATAAAAAAAAAACTTACAGTTGGATCAAAAGAAAAAAAAATTGTAATTTTTCGAATTGACTAACAAAATTCTCCGCATCTAAACAGATCCACCTGTATCTTTTCGACACCTACAATTGGCATACAAGTAGCATTCATTGGAACGAGCGAGTGAGCGAGAGCATGTGAATCGAATGAATGAAAATTGAGCGAATGCAAAACAAAATTACAGGTTAAAATCTAAAAAAAAAAGAAAAAAAAGTAAAAAGAAAAAAAGAAAGAGAGAGACCCAGGCAAAAAGCAAAAACATTGAAAAAGTAAAGGAAAAATCGGTTAGTATAACGTATGGTGGTGTGTTGTTACTCTGTTCTCGACACGGCAGGCTGGACGTGGCCGTGGAGCGGCGGTGGCACGTGGCCGGGTCGGTGGCCCCCAAGCACGTGGGCCAGTTCGGGGGGCGCGCAACCCCGCAGCTTCAGGGGCCCGTGGGGCCCAACGGCCAGCCGCTCGTGGGGGGGTGGTCCGCGCCAAGGGAAGTTTACCAGGTGAGGATGGTCTGTATCCTAGGGACAAAACGTCCCTTTTTCTCTCTATTATTAGCTGTTTAAGCTTCACATCTCCTCTCTTCTTACTATTACTGTCTGTCTTTCATTCTTCTTCTCACTCAGAACAAATCAATCATCTCTCCTGTCTGTCCGCTCATCGTTTTTTTTACTCTCTCCTCCATGCTCGACTCGTTATTTATTTTTTCCTTTCATCACCTGTTTTTTCCTCACACCCCGTTTAACTTTGTCTCGTCTAAACCTGAACTTTAAGTGAGGTTGCGCAAAAGTGAACTTTCGTTTTTTTCCTTTTGATTTCCTTCAATGGAAAAGATTAATTGAGGAATGTATAATTCATCGCCATGTATTAACTAGAACGTAATGAAAAGCTTCTTTCTGTGAATAAAAGACGTAGATAAACCAATAAACTACTCAAAGCTCACTTCAAGTCAGAGTTTAAACGAAGCAAACGCACATCATTGAGAGACGTGCTTTGAAAATGAATACACTTTACAACGATGCGCTCGCTCTCAATGGTATGTCATGTGTATAGTTTTTAATAAGATAAATAAACGTAACACGAATTCCAATATAAAAAATAATTAAAAAAACAAGATGAAAAAAATACACGAAATATGATGTTAATCGCACTTCTCTCGTAGATTCGTAGATTGACACTGGCTTACTCGCTTCTTGCCATCGCAATAAGCTTCTCCTCGTTCCTTCATCCTCCGTCCAAGTTATATTACAAAAAACAAAAAAAAAATACATACACATCCTGCGTTACTCTGCGACTGAGCGACGATGTCACCTGCTGACTGACTGAGAATATGCGAGAAAAAGACCACCTACCATCACCATCGAAGTCTTCGAATCTCGTTTTCTCTCTCATTAAACATTTTTTTCCCTTTTTTTCATTTTGAATCATTTGTTCTGTACGACCGAGGTGACACCCCATTTCGACTTGATTAAAAGTAAGATAAGCCACGTTGTTCTCGTTCTGAATTTTGGCTCTCTAATTAATTAATTGATTAATATTAGAATTATATTGTTGAAAGTTTGAAGAAAAATTATTCTTTTATGTTTTTGTTTCGCGTTATATCGATTACGATAAAAAACAAGAAAATGTTGTTTTCTCTTTGTTTATAGTTTTTTCGTTTTGTTTTTTCGTTGCCGCTCCGAATGAATACGTGTGTTCATTGAGACTATTACATTCGGCGTTGTCTATATTTTGATGTGAATGTCAATACTGTTAAAGCAATGCAGAGTGTCGATCCCGCTTATCATGTACGTTGGTGTTTTCTTACCGAAGGGCACGCTGCATTGACCATGAATTTTGATATGTTTTTATAGTTGCAAACGGCATTATTGTATATGTATTTGTACAATTACTTAAAGGATTTTTTATAGAGGACAAACACTTTTGCAACTATAAAGATGCCTACATTTTTATAATAATAATAATAAATCAGTCAATTACAGACGCATGTGTCGGATACAAATGCAATAGTCTCGCAACAAAACAAAAAAAATAACAAAAAAAACCAAGTAAAGCGGAGGGTAACGAAAATGAATGAAAAGTGAAGAAAATTAAGTTTGAAATCGAAAGACTGATCTATGAGCCTTTTATAAGAGCCAAAATCGATGGCTATAAAAAAGAAACACGGGGTGTCTCTCGAGCGTCCCTTCGATAATGTGTAATCCTGGCGAATCGAGAGCAAGAAGTGTATTATAATAACGTGTTACATATTTATTATATCTAAGATTGACTTTCAATAAACATATTGAATTTGAATTTGCATAGTTTAAGTTCTTTTCCTCGTGGAGCAACGAAGAAACAAAGACAATGCTACATCTTGATCATCTATCCACGCAATGAGTTTCTTCATTGCTTCAAAAAAAAGTGACATACCCTGATAAATACAGTACAATTCAATTGGCATCAGAGTTTTTTTAGTTTCTACTTGAAGTAAAAAATTTATATTTAGCATTTTATTTTTCATCACGTTTATTGGCTAAGAGAATGCAATCAAATATCGAAACTTGGATGCCCGTTCCGAGAGTTTGATTCACTTTTGTTACTTCGATTGCCGTTGATCCTCCACAACAGCGGAGTGAATATTCTCTCGCGAACAACTGAATCATTACACTCGAGACACTGACACAAGAACGCGACAAATCCACGATCGAATGGATCAGACATTCGACAAAGGCAAATGAAAAGAGTGGATTGGTTGCGTAAAATAAAAGAAAAGCAATAAATAATGTTTGAAGAAAAAAAATCAAAGCAGAGAGAATGACAAAAGTCTGACGGAGTAATTTTCTGTCCTGCTTTCTTTGATTTCATCCACCCAACCCGATGACTGCGACCTGCGACTCATGGGATCGGGTGCATCCGCAGCAGGTAAGCGAAAGTTTGACGGGGGTCACCAGAACCAGGGGGAATCAAAGCGTCGCTTCCAGAGCAGCTGGGGGAACCAGCCCCTCGCCCAGCAGCCGCTGGGCGGCAACGCGTACGCAATGGCGAGTGTGAACGGTGGCAGCGGTGCCTCAGGCGGTGGCGCCTCAGGTGGTGGCAGCAACAACAGCGACGCGCAGTCCGGCCAAGCCCACGGCCAGAACGATCGCAGCGGCCAGCATGCGGCGAACGACGACGAGTGGTATCAGGACTCGTATCAGTCCTGGAGCTAAGCAACAAAACACTGCTCCACGCCCATGGATCAAAAGCAGCGTCGATCGGCCCCGCGCCGGGGCGATCGACGTCCACGCCAGCGCGACGACTGCGATCGGCTACCATCGACCTCGTCCACCACCACCATCATCACGACCACTACGATAACTACCGCTCCGTGTCTGCGTGCGTGAGTGTGTGCGAGTGTGCATGCGTGTGCGTGTGTCTGTTGCTGCTGCTGCTGTTGCTGCTGCTGCTGCTGCTGCTGCTGCTGCTGCCGCTGCTGCTGCTGCTACTGCTGCTTCTCTGCGTACAGAGTGCCAGATCGCGAGATTGTTATGTACAGAGAGAACGTGTCTTTGTTTTTCTTATCATCATTTTGCGTGAGCACCGGGCGAACGAGGAATTGAGAGAATTTTGTTGATTAGTTGATGCATATAACATTTACAGAGAGAAACGTACACACACCCCTACGCTGCGCGCCCTACTGCTGTGTTGTTGTGATGATCGTTAGTAAATCATGTACAGTATGTGTGTGTATATGTGCGCGCGCGTGTGTGTGTAAGTATGAGTGAGAGAGAGAGAGAGAGCGTGAGAGAGCGTGAGAGTGAGTGACAGAGTAAGAGAGTGAGAGAGTGAAAGTGATAATGATAATGTGCCACACTCTGGGACTTCGTGTATCTCTCCCATTGGAAGATCGCGCGTGATGATTATACATTTGTGTGACCGCCCACCCACCCCGAATGACAACGTTTACTAATTAATTAATAATTATATATATTTGAGAGAGAGAGAGAGAGAGAGAGAGAGAGAGAGAGAAAGAGAAAGAGAGAAAGAGGAATTACGCTCACTATGAGGATTTATCAATATATTGATGATTATGTGGATGGAATTATTATAATAATCTATTAACTAATTTACTATAACGACTATAAGTATAATACCACTTCTGCATTGTCACGTTCGTTTGAGAAACATATATTATATACTGTCAAGCGAAGATCTTAACGTTGATCGATCGGAGATATAATAGTATCATTCGGCTCACTTCACTCTCTTGGTGGAAAATTCGTTTTAACCGATCATCAATGTCGAGAAACTTGCACGATTGGCTCGTTTATTGCCGTTTAGCGACGATTGACACACGAACGCTTCTTCCTCCACTTACGCCAAGTCTCTTGACCTCTTTCCCAAGTTGCAATTGAGTAATTTCGACGTTCGTATATGCGCGCCCCCAAAGAGCGACGGAGACTTGTGGCAAGGAGATGAAAAACGGAGAGAGCGAGCAAAGTGTTTGGTCGTTGATTTAACATCGTCGAGAGAAACACACCGAATTTCGCGATAACGTCGCGCATTTTTCGAACGCTTACTAAGTTATTTCTTTATTATTATCTTTTGGTGTTAAAGTTCTTTGAAATTAATTTTTTGTTCGTCGTTTCTCGGGTAAAAAAAAAAGATAAGCGACGCGAAGCGAACTTTTCTTAAATTTAATCGTTGTGTTTTTATTGTATGTAAGCGAGCGAGAGAAAGAGAAATGGAGAGAAAGAAGTAAGGACGAGGTAGTAGAAAATAAAAAATTTTATAACGGACGGTGATAAGGCAGACAAGACACGGGATTCGCGCGGAAAAAACGCGGCGAGCGAAATTCTCGCGAGATCCATGCAAGACTCACGTGAATTTCGGTCGGAAGGTTAATTGCCAGCGGCTTCGGCGAGTGTGTGCTGGAGTATATAGATATATATATATATATATATATATATTTACACACACATATTCATATATACATGTGTGTGTATGCGAAACATTTTCGACACGAGAATCCAAAATATTTGTACTTTGCTATACATCTCTTTAGAACTGTCGAAATTTTCTCCCAAAAAGAAAGTTAGTTAAATTTGTACAGTAGGATATCAGAGAATGAATTTCGGCGCACACTCGTCCGTAATCATCGCGGAATTTCCACTTCTAAGCTAGTCCACTTTTCCGCGCGAGAATGCGAGTTTTGCGATAGGTTCGACATTTAGGGCGCGATGTGTTGTTTTCTTGTATTTTTCTCTTTGTTTCAACAATTATTCATTGAACTTGAAAAAGTTCGAGAGTTTTTAAGACACGAAGGTAGAAAAAAATAAAGAAGACGACGACGTCAAGTTGGCGGGAGTTAAGAGAGAGCGAGTGACGATAAGTGTGCTCCTGTGTGTAATAACGTATGCGTGAAGCGCGCCAAGCGCAACTAGACCTTCTATTGTTGGTCTATAAATGTGTACAGTCAGTGAAACTATTATTATTAAGGGTCAGGCGATTATGAAGTAGCGCAGAAGAAAAAAAAAGAAGTGAGAAAGCGCGATAGAGTTTTGTGCGTTTAAACGAGAGATTTTTAATGAGGGAGAAAAATAAATAATGCCGAAGAGTCGTGCGACGGGAGAAAAAGCGGATTCGATCGTAAAACGAAATGCAAAAATAAGGCTACGAGAATTAAATAAATAAAAAGTAAAAAGTGAGAGATATTAACCGAGCGCGTAAGACGCGTTCGTTAAAACACGAGTTTTAGTCGTCTCTGCGAACGGTGTCTCCGCGGGGTTCGTTCGATACTGTTTTTCTTCTTATGTTTTTTTTATTAATGAATACGTTGAAGAATAGTGAGAAGGACAATGGAATGGTCGAAAGAAAAAGGGAAAGTTCTCTTCGTCGAGGTACTCGACCTTTTTCTTTTATTTTTTGGAGTTGATGATCGGGCCAAGGGTTGTTGTTTTTTATTTTGGCTGAGCTTTGGAATGGTCGGAAAAGCCACAACAGAAGGAAAACCCACTTGTACATTTTAAAAAAAAGTGTAAGCTTTTTTCACGCGACTGAGGAAAAAAGACTTAGAAAAGTAAGCCTCACGAGGAAAAAAAAACGCCACGCAGTACCCAAGTAACGAGACAACTCGTCTTCAAAATTCTCCTTCCTTCATTCATATTTTTTTCGGATATTTCTTTTTTTGGCAAGTTCATTTTTTTTTGATAAATCACGCGTTAAGTTATGTTTATTGTAAATTCTCGAGACGCGTTTCTTTTCGGTTATTGAAAAAACAGTTTGTAAAGAAGGAGGAGAGAGAGAGTCGGTTGAGATAGAGTTTCGATAGCAAAGTAAGAAGGCAATGGCACGACAGTGAGAAACTTTTGAAAAAGGTGCGCCATCGAGTTTTTTTTGTAATTTTGAAAAGAAAGTAATAAGTAAAATTAAATTTAAAATAGTGACGAGCGGTATAGCCACGACGGCTGCCGCTCGCGTTGTTTGTATATGTTTTTTTGATATAATTTTAACGAAAAAAAAATCTTGTTTATTCTATTAGTTTTTTAAAGAAAAGTAAAAAAAGTCACTTTACACGATCGACATACCGAATCGTCATGTTTTTTTTTGATATGTGCAAAAATCCTACAGACTGTAATGAAGAAAAAACCCGTTTCAAATTTCTCAGCCCCTGGACCTTTAAAAAGCAATAACGATTTCGATGCACACCCACGTAGACGAAAAACACAAGACGCAATAACGAAAGGATCGGTTACGGAAAAGAGGTAGAGAAAGAGAGAGACAGAGAGAGGGATAGAGAGAACAGTATAGGACGGAAGCATACTTACAAATGGATTAATATTCGGGTTCAGAATTGCGGGAAATAAAAAGACAGGATTTTCAAGATAAAAGCGACAATGATAGGTTACACCAAAATAATAATAATCACAGATTGTGTGAAAAAGCACGCGTACACGCAAACATTAATTATTTCACTCATGCATGTTGCATCGATTTGTTAAAAAAAAATTTGGTCGAAAAGTTCATTTTTCATGTTTTATTCTTATTGTTGTATGCGTCGCCAAATTCTTTTTTGATTCGATGTGGCTCATATGAGCTTTAAGTTTGTTCCTTTCAAAGAGCAACATTCAAATATTTTGAAAAGATTGTTCGTTAGATCGACTTTTCGAAAGTATTGCTTGTATTGTGGAGTGAAGTTTCCATATTATAACAACATAATAACCCGTAACGATCCATAATAAAAGAACATAATGAAATACTCCAGCCAGCAATAGAACTTTCGAACAATCGGCTCAGTCGTAAGAGTTCCACTCCACGGAAAACTTAAAAAACTCAAGGCTCTTTGAAAAGGGGGGGGGGAAACTTAAAGCCCAACACACTACCCACAATAGGCCGTGGATTTAAAAAAGTAAATCGTTTTGAAAACCCGAGCGAGCGAGCGAGCGTAAGGAAAGTGGTTTTGAGCGAGAACGAGATTAAAAATTATGAAACATACCACACATAGCAAAACAAAAAAATAATAAACGACAAGAAAACATTGAACCCGGAATAAAAAACCGAGACAAAAACCATGAACAGACAAATCAACAGAAACACACACGATACACAAGGACACACGTATACACATTATTTTTGAGTGTTGAGACTCGTTGTTATTGTTAGCCTGTTAGTTAATTAGTAAGCAAGAGAGAAAGAGTTGTAAGTGCGGGCTGTAGTTGGTCCCTTGTCCCTGGAGAGCCCAGACGCGCCCTCCCCCTGTTCTGGAGATTATCTGCGTTTACTGAAGCTTCAATTTTTATTTCTTTCTTTTTCTATTAAAAATAATTTTATTTTTCCCTTTTTTTGTATTCAATCATATTATCGAACGATGGCAAAGACATAAATAACCAACTGCGTTGATGAAACTTGATTGAATCGAATCGTAGAATCATGGTGTATACACAAAAAAAAGAGTACAATAAAGCCATTAGAAATATGAACAATAGGCGTGGCAAGTTTTCATTTCTTTTTTCCGTTCATTTGGCATAACAACGCGCACAACATACACACATACACACGCACGTACACTCAGTCCATCAATAGTTTCTTCAACTTTTTATGCAATAGACAACCATCTCCAAGAGCACACGCGCACATAGTAATAATATGGTTCACTGGATTATCGAAACCCCCGGCAAACTATGCTAAAAAAGCAACAACAGCACAATATACAATAGTATACCTGCAACTAATAAAACAAACATCATTGGTAAACAACTTCCCTTACACCGGTAATCACATACAGTTTTTTCCTTAGAAGTATGAACAGCGTTGATTAAAACTCAAGCACATACAGTAAACAAAAGAAAATGTATACATTGTGACGACAAAAAGACCGATTACGGATTTTTGTTTTGTTTCTTAACAAGAGCGCGCGTTAGTATCAGCAAAGACGCTGCAAAAAAGTAACTAAAATTGAAAATAAATATATGACAATAAGATCGATAGAGAGAGAATAAAAAAAGAGCAATGACAAAAAAAAAGAACCGAAACTATGATACGACGATTGAAAATAGAGAAAAAGAATAAACAAAATGTCTGAGAAAAAAATCATGAACATTCGAAAGGGGAACACGCAAATTGAGAGAGTCGATGATCTTGTTGATGAAAAAGATTTTAAAAATTAGCTATTTGAAGAGTTGCCAACTGTTAAGATCAGATAACGACGACCGACAAAAAGTTAAAAAAGGTGTCTGGACACGCGATGATCGCTGTTACTCGCGAAGCCTCTTTTTTTTATTATTTATGAGCATATTTTGTTAATCTTTATTCACGTTTTTTGTACTAGGACTAATATTATTTCTTCCCTCGCGGACGTCGAGCGCGCGAAATGAAACATTTTTTTGTAACTTTCATATTCTTTCCAGAACTTTTATTACTTTTATTGCTATTATTAATTGTGACCTCTATTATGTTTTGTCTTTTTTTCTAATTTTATTAACTATTGAAATGGAAACGAAGTACAAGTGGAAAAAATGACGACGCGCGTTCGACGATCGCGTAGCTAGGTAATCACATTCTAGTAGTTTTTAATGATGATTTTTTTTTGTAAAAGTATAATATTGAGAGAGAAAGAGAAATCCCCAACCCCCGTTTTCTTCTTTTAAGGATATAATCGATACATCGACACTCGGACGGCCGAAACATCGAACGGGCAGGCAAAAATATATAGCAAAAGAAAATATAAAAAAAATGTAATTGCTGAATTCGAATGGATTGTAACGCTAAAGTTTTAAAATAGGCAATAGGCATTATGGAATAATAAGAAAAAAAAATGTTATTAAACAAGTAAGTCAATATAAGCAGCTTTTTAAAATGAAAAAAAAAAAAATAAAAGTAATCGATTTTTCGAAAAGGGAAAGAGGAAGCGTAACAGAGGGAAACGGGAATGTGAATGAGAGATATAGGATGAGCGCGAGAGTTGAAAAAGGCGAGAAGGAGAGAACAATAGGAAAATTTTTCGCCCCCACAACCAATACTCACAGACAAAAAGCACAAAAAAAGCTCAACCTGCGATCAATTGGCACTGAAATTTTTGAACATGAAAAAACAACTCTATGTCGGCGAAATAAACGAAACACGTGACAACAAAAACAACAATGAAGCAACAAATTTCAAAAAAACAAGGCGAAAAAATCTTTTCTCTTTACGTTTTTTCTTTTGAATAATCGAACTACTACTTAGGTAATCCTCAATGTCCCTACCGTAATTTTTTGGAATTTGCATTACACCTCCATTTTTATCCCCCTTTTCCTTTCTTTCTAACCTCCTTGAGCCTTGAACACAACCAGTTTCCCCAGCCATAATTATGGAGAGAGAAAAATTTACCCAATTCCCTTAATCCCCGTATTTATATAAAGGCATAATATTCGAGGATATGATAATATTAATATTAACACAATACAATAAGGTTGAATATTCGCTAATATCATATTGAGTGGGTTTTTGTGAAATGAATAATATTCCAATATTAAACGATTAAAAAAATGTTAAAAAAAATTCTGATCTTTGTCCGAGATAGAGAGAAAAAAAGTGAGAGCGAGAGATTAATTTTTAATCGTGGAATGAAAGCGAAGATTGAAACATCAGAACGATGAGAGAGTGGATATTTAGTAGAAAAATTTTTGAAACAACAAATAAATAATGAGTTAATCACGCGTATGGATAATAATGTAATCGTGTAAGTAAACAAAAATGCATCAAAAATTGAATGTAACCCATTGAGAAAAACATCAAGTCAATTGATTTTCGTCGAAATTTCATTGTATAAGGCACATTATATCTATCTATGGTATTTTTTAGAAAACAGAGACGGCGTGTGTCGATGCTGCGATGAAAGAGATATAAAGAAAGCGTTCGATGTTTTTTTCGAGATTTATATGGAATGGAAAAGAAAGTGCGTGCAAAAGAAAGCGAAGATTATGTGGGCAAAGAGAGCGGGCGAGAGACTGTTTTTTTTCGACGTGAAAGTCACCACTTACCCCCGGATAATAAGGCAATGAACAATCAAAATTCTTTTTTATAGACGGATGTTTGATGAATTCGGTCGAAATTGATATATTTATATATTTTTATACGTCAAAATTTTATATAGAAGAAATTAGCGTTGCTTTGTTAAAATTAGAAAGATAAATGAAAAACAAAAAAATTACAAAAAATTACAAAAAAAAATAACGATAACCAATTTGTGATCGGCGATATGTGATTTCGTGACTTTTGTATCTGCGCTCAAAATTGAATAAAGGAACACACATTACACAGAAAAGAAAGCTACATGATATATCTCCATTTGTGAAAAGCAAGAAAAATTAAAGGAAAAGTGGTCTTGGAAAGATAAGAACGATTTTCCGACTTGATGTGCTGGCGTATGAACGTACTGTACTGGCTTTGATATGGATTTCGCTTTGAGTCTGATTTGGAAAGGATTGAGAATGAGAGCTTCTGCGAGAGAAAGAGAGAAAGAGAGAGAGAGAGAGAGAGAGAGAGAGAGAGTGAGAGAGAAATGGGGGGGGGGGCGAGAGGCGCCGAATTGTCGTCGCTCGGAAAATGCGCCCGATGGCGGAGGCAGTTCACGGTGACACGAGACTTTAGACTGATCTTGTAGGTGTACTAGCGTTAAACGTGATCTTTTTTAAATAAAGTAAACGAAAGGAAAAGAAAACGACGTTATGAACGTGTATAAAATCTCTTTGAGGGGCCGCGGCCGCGTCGCGCGGCGTCGACGGAGTCGCTTACGCCCGTCGCTTTCTCGCTCTTTTCTTGTACAGCTTCGGGAAATCGGCCAGAGCAACGAAATTGCACTCCCCGCCCGCCGTTGCCGCCTCGCCGGACTCGCAGCCACATCCGAGCCTCTCCCACTTGTTCTTGTTGTCACTCTTGTATTTTTACCGTTTCTTTGACTTTGTTGATTAGTTCTCGAAAAGACGAAAAATTGACGGGGAGGCTCGCTCCGGGAACGGCGATATTCGGACACTCGCAGAACCGAGCATCGAAATTCGTAGAAAATTGTTTTGGCAGTCGCGAGGCGCTCGTGGGAGAGGAGTGAGAAAGATTCGGTGATTTTTTTATTGTTGACGCTTGAAGCACTCCGGCGCGCGTCGATGCGCCAGACGCGGCGCACTCGCATCTTTTTATATATTTTTCTCTGTTTTTTCTATATTAATAATTATTAATTCTTTCTCTAGGGAATAAATATATTGAATAAATGTGTAATGGTTAAATGGTTATACGCAGGCACTGTGCGCTGACTTAAGCCATGATCCAAGTTTTTTTTTTCGCGCGACTTTACTTCGCACACGATAAACACCCAAACTTCACTCATCAATTTTCCCTTTTGTTCTTCCGACGAAACAGATTTATACGACAGACGCATCCTCGGGATAATCTCACACTCACACAGATTAGTCGGAATTGGTTCTTTCAGTCTGACAAATTTCTTTTGCGTTATCGATTTTGAGGGCGATCATCAGAGAAAACGGATTGGAGAAAGATGTTTCAAAACAGCCAGATACAAAATTTTGTTTGTAAATGCACAGTGGAAAGTGAGAGCGAGAGAGAGAGAGAGAGAGAGAGAGAGAGAGAGGAAATACACGGTTGGAAAGACTCTCCTTTTTTTTGTAATTCGTGCGCTCGCGTGCGCGTGAACATGGTTTATTATATATTTCGTGGGTCCCGTTGACACAATTATGAATTCACGTTGATATTTTTTTTAGGCATGCGAAATGCGTGCGCTTTTTTTAATTATATATAAATATATTATATATTATATTCCTGCGGATATGCATTTTTTTGTGAGGTGATATGTTATTATTTAGCGGTATATTATTAGTGATGATTTATAAACGAAGAGAGAGAATAGAGCGCGCGAGGGAATATGAGTGAGTGCGAGAGAGTGTGAGTTACTTGAAAGTAAACAGACAAATAAGCACTGATTTGGATTCTTAAGATGCAGAGAAAAAAATCTAACGAATTATCACGTACAGAGGAGTTACTTTATTATAACTCGAAAAGTATAAAAAACGGATCAGCGAAATTGTGCGTTTATTGTAAATTTTGTATCATTTATAACATTATATTATTATGCGGCTTTTATCATTAAAACAGATATGCAAATTGAAAGCAAGAAAAAATGTTAAAAAAAATTATAAGAAGATTTTTAACGACAGGTTAATCGCAACAAAATATGTAGGCACGATATTATATTATATAGAGGAAAATGATGCATTCGACGACGAAAGTGTAATAATCTAACTAAAGGCATAGTTTTAAATCGAAGGTTAATGAAGATAACAGAAAAATCCGATGTTTCGTAACAATTGTATAATCGAGAGAGAGAGAGAGAGAAAGAGAGAGAGAAAGAGAGACAGAGAGACAGTTCCGCGCCACGCTCCGTGTCAGCTCCACCAATTTAGTATATGAATCCAAAAAGTGGAGAGAACGATAGAACGATGCAAAGAATACGAGAGGGAAGGATTTCAAACGAGGGAAGAATGATAACGAGCAGGAGACAGCGAAATTTTACTTTGTTTTATTATTTTCCATATCGCGATAATCTAACCAGCAGTACATTTCTTTTCATCATTGTTTCTTTAATAATTATATATCCAAACAAAAGCGAAAGTACGAAAGAAAAGCAAGGAGAGCACACAAACACATGGAATAACACAGTGAACACGTTTGAAAGAATATATATACTCCGAATGAATTGAATATTTACACTCAAGCCCTCTTTTTTACATGCGCAATCGATAACAATATTATTATAATCTTAATGTTTTCTTGCAGAAATGAATTAAAAAGCGACTTTGTAATCTACTGTTTTTTTTTCTTTTTTTCTTTTGTAAACGGCATTATAATCAGCTACCGATTGCTTTGCTTTCCTTTCTTCTTTACTTTGTTTTTTTTTTTATAATTTTTCCGCAATTTTAAAATGTTGCCCCTCCCCCTAATTTTAGTGTGAACGTAGTTAAACATAATAATTATAAACCATGAATTTGAGGAAAAATAAAATAAAACAGCGTTGAACATAATGGTTCCTTTTCGAGCTAGGAGCTTGATTTAAAGTGTCAAAGATTTTGTGTATGACCAGATGTATTCTACATGTCTCAATAAACAGTTGTATGTGAATTACCTTTCTTAATGGCTGAGTTTTTATTTCGTCTTATCCTCTGATTCCTCTAATGTCTCAATGACTCCTTATTCCCTTTTACAATTCGCTCACCTCATCTGCAATCTTAATTAGCGCAGTTTTGATAATTAGTCAATTTTTACACAATATCGATGTACAACTAGTGTAAGAATTCATTCTAGTTAATAATTGTTCGTCTTCGATCATTGTAATTGCAAAAATTTTTGCATGATGAATAGTTGATTTGTACTCGTCAGCGGAAGAACTTGCCCTGAAAGTAAACGAAAAGCAGAAAAAAAAATGTTCGTGCAAAGCAGACGCTTGATGACATTATTGCATACTTTGCATACAAATGTAGCATAGAGTACATAATACGCGAGCAATAGCTTTCATAGTTTTGCGAGTATGCGTCAGAAATCGACCAGTGCAAGAGTATAGAGTGAGTCCACGCGATGGAACGATCGAACAGGCATGCGCTGACTAGCAGCTATCTTCCTCCCTCCAACCACCCCCATGGGATCGTTCCACGCGAGTGTGAATGACCGTAGTCGTCGTCGTCGTAGCAAGCAACGCGACTTTCACCGGTAATTTAGGATTATCGTTTCGTAACTATCCTGCTCTTCTTTTTCATTTTTTTCGGAGCGCAAGAAGCTTATTTTGAACGGCAATTGGAATGATGATCGGGCGTCAGTAGTTGTAGGCCGTTTCGGTCAGACATCCCTTGTTTATTTTCAGTTGTTTGTCAGACGACTGCCAACTGCTTTGATACATTGATGTCGTAGTCTTCAGAAAAAAATAATTGATCCGTGGGAATCGGTGGGATTGCTGTGCGCATTGTTGCCATCGCCGTCTTTCGATCTCTAACAATCGATTATTTACGCGTCCCATGCAGCCGGATTGGTGGAAACGTAAAATCAATCGTGTTACATGGATGCAGCACTCGAGGAAAAAAGAGTCCACCGCAATGGAGGAGTTCCTCTCCCTTGGCAAAAAGGATTCGTCGGATAGTTTCTCTCAATTACAAAACTAGCCGAAGAGAGGGAAAGAGAGAGAAAGCTCTCGGCACACAAAAGCAATTAGATCCGCTGTCTCTCTTGAAGTGGTCAGCAGCATTTCCGATGAACTGTAGTCTCGGAATGACAAAGAGAAAACAGCTATCGTGCCTGCGTGTGTGCGCGCTCGCTCGAGCGGCTGATCAAAGAAACTAATCTGCCTGCTCTACTTCCTTCTTACTCGCTGCTTTTCCGCGGGTCGCTGTTAATCCAATCGCGATGCTACGATTGGTGATTCGATCGAGTTTTTTCTTTTTTTCTTTTTTGCCTTTCTCATTAGTCTCGTCCGTCGCGGTATGTCATGTAGCTGCAGACGCTTATCGTTGAATCTCTTAGCGGCCTACCGGGTATAATCAGGTATACGTACGAAATCAGCTTGGACTGGGACAGGTGCCCGGCAACAGCAACTCGTTAAGGCGAGGAACAAAAGGCTGCATCGCGTGCGCCGAGCGGTATAAAAGCGAAAGTGTAATGCACGCCGAGAGAGAGAGATATATATATATATAAAAATTTGGCTCGCAAGGGACTTAGCTCGGTGGTTTTGTGTGCCAAGCAATACGTAGTCAGGCCACTACAAGCGGCCGAGTCGAGCTTTCGCCTCGGGCCGCGGCCGCTGCCTCGTGCTCAATTCAGCGCTCTTTTTGCCGACGAGAGCTCGAGCCGGCTGCCCCCTGCTTCGCGCATCACGACTGCTTATCTTCTCCGTCTTCTCTCTCCGACGGCGACTCGCGAATCGCCCCGATAATTATTCTAGCTGCCGAGCTCGTCGTTCGGAGATACACGTAAGCCCACGATGAAGCCAATAATTTCCAGACGGTATCCGTGCCTGACCGAAATCTGGAGCTTCCACTGGAAACTTGCCGGGCTATTCTTGTCGCGACCTGCCGCGAACGCCAATGCCAACCTAAACCCGACCGGCACTACTTGCACGACTGGACGCGTTCCACATTTCTCTTTATCTCTTTCTCTCTCTCTGACTTTTTACGTCCATGCTGGCGGATTAAAGCATCTGCCCCGACGACAGGGCCATTGTGTTCTGCAAACAAGTGAAAAATCCAGTCGTCGGATGAAATGAAATCTAAGCGAAACGAGAAGGCAAGAGAGGAGTCGCGCTGTGGAGCAAGGCCGCAAGCCGAGGGAAGCGGAGCCAAGAGTAAATTGCCGAGTGTCGAGCGAGAGACGTGCTGGCTTCTGCTGTGTCTACGTCCTTCGGCCGACCTGCTCCGTTGTCACGTCCCGCTCGCGGATAAGGCGTACACGCCGTGGCCCCGCGGTCCTCCGCGTATATGCTCGAGCAGCCGCTGCGCCGACCTTCCGCTTGCGCCTGCCTTAATTAATATTCGTTCTACTGGCTGCGGACGTATCTTTTCTCGGCGCTTCGTTCGTCGCGCTGGCTAACGACGCGTGTGTCCGTGCGTGCGAAAGAGGCAACGAGACCAGCCGATCCCTTCGCGGATAGAGCTTTATCAATCAGCTCGGGGATGAACGAGGATAAGGATCTTGACGGCTAGGCCGAAAGTCTCTCTCGAGAATCGATACGATATTCTTAGACGCTAGTCCCTGAGTTGCTGCAACGCCGTTAATTGGCGCTGTGTTTGTACGCGCAAGGTGTCGCGCATATTTGCAGTGTTTCGAAGCAAACGACTCGCGGCATCTCGATGGCTCGAGCCTTTCTAAACAGCGTTCAAACAACAATCAAGCATAAGCGTTCTAGGCAGCAAAGATCGTAGATAGCCGCGGAAGCTAGCCCACTCGTTGAAAATCGCGTAAATAACGGCAATAGCCGGGACTGGAGGCCAATAAACAAGCCGAATGGCGTCGGACGTTTACTCGGGCTACTTAAAAGCACACGTACGCAAACCTGCAGGGCCGTTAAGGGCAAACATAATAAAGCGAGTAATGAACTTGGAGCTTTTGCTCGTAGGTAGGGAGAGGCCAGGGAAATCCCACTTGTCTAGTCCCTCTCCGGCTCGAATCAATAGTCAGTTGCGAGGCAAGAAAGGCGAGCGGAGCGTTGCACAAAAGCGCCTCGGCTCTCCGCAATTAGCAACAATTACGCCGACTGTCACGCGACGACAAGACTGCTGGCGCATCGACCGACTACGCTGTCTCCAATTTTTCATCGTTCATCGGCGTCCCTCACCCCCTCCATCTCGTCGTGTCGTCGCCTGCTTATCTTCCGGGAGGGCGTGTATTTTTTGGCTCTCGCCGCGAGCTCTCTCTCTCTCTCTCTCTCTGCATTTTCTCTACGCTGCCGAGTAATTTATCGCCTTCTGTTTATATTTCGCTCGGTAACGGATGCGCTCGCCAGGCTTATAAGCTACGTGTGCACTTTGTTTCCCGATTCGCTCCTGGATTTATCATTACTCTTTAGCTGGGAGTGTTCGAATTCAACAATGACGATATTTCGTTCGTGCGTCATTTGCGTCCACGTCGTGACGCACCTCCTCCGAATTTGTATTAACGCGAATGCCAGCCGATCAAAGATCAGAGGTCACTTACACATTCGCCGCTGAAGTCTCACTCGACAAACGCAGACATACTTGCGCGAACGGATCACGGCGGAGCGAGGTGGGCTACGAACCGAAACAACGAACACGGAGCTGCGAAGAGTGCGATAAGTGGCCCAGAGAGCAACAATTCTTTTCGAGGAAACGAGAAACGAAAGGCGCGCAACTAATCTGCTCTCGTCGTGTCGTGCAGCATCTCTCGGTGTGCGTGCCCGCGAGGCATAGGCACGCACGTTCGATAAACATCCATAAATGCAAGTGCACTGCATCATGATCGGGCTCTCTCTTTCTCTCTCTCTCTCTCTCTCTCTCTCTCTCTCTCTCTCTCTCTCTCTCTCTCTCTCTCTCTCCTCTCTCTAGCTCTCGATTTCTACTTCGACCGGCGCTTCCGTGCTCCCGCCTAGTTGCACGCAGTAGCGGCAGCCACAGCCTCCCTCGCAGCTGCTCGTCGACGCGTCTCTCCCCTCTCCCACGCGGCGTTCGCTTCCAGCCAGGAGCGTTGCGAGGCAAGGCGCTCGCCTTTTTCTCTCCACCTCGCTTTTTTGCGCCGATGACTAATGTCTCGCTCTTTGTTCCGAGGGGCCAAATTAGCATCGACACCGCTGAACGCCTTTTTCGGCACAATTCGGCTGAACAAGAGCTAAAAGAAGTCCGTCACCGCTGTGATTTCGGGAATTACACCGATTCGCACGCTCTCGCCGCTTGAATAATAACTCGATCGATTATCGCTCTCGCTTTATCATCCCTGCGCTTTAATGGCACTTTATCAAATATTCAGTTGTTTTCGCTTGCCGCGAGCTGCGAGCGTCGATATTGCGAGATCAGGGAGAGGAACACTTCAATAATTAAGTATCCTGGTTATTGAAATTTTCCTTAATATCAATACGCCAGGTGGCTTTCCATCCGCTTCTATGCGAACTAGTATTATTAATCCGCTCGAATTGCCTCTCGATAATTATTCCGTTCGCGTTATTCCAAACACGGCAAAATAATTTGAAGTTTCCAAGCGAACGATTCCAACAAATTTTGCAATTTGCAACGATCGATCGTGCAATTACGCTTAGAAAATGAAGCGACGGTCGATCGCTATTTTTATTGAATTGGCCGTAACTGAGAACGTCAAAGACAACGAGTACAACAAAGTTTCCGGATAAATTATTTGCGTCATAGAAATCACGTTCAATGCCAGCGATCGATGCGCAGCTAAAGCTAATCGTGTTTTCTATCACACTCACGGCGAGCCAGCGAGTTAATTCCCAATTCCTGCATACCAATCACATTACTGTTTTGATGAATGCGTTATGCATGAATCGTCTGGATGGCGCTGTACATTGCAGGACAATAAGGGATGACTCCCCTGGCTCAGCAGGAAACGAGGCTAACTCGCGGCTCGAACTTCCGTGACGAAGACGACGACGACCTCGAATCGACGTATATCATACTTAGAGAATCACGTCAATATTAAGCAAATTTCGAGGATAGCTATAGGGATCTGTCGCTCGAGGCTCTCATTATTAATGCCAGAAACCTACGTGTAATATTATTTATAGCACTACGTGGCTTAAATCAGCACTTGAGTAATGCCTATCCGTAACTTGAGTAGTTCATTTTCGCACCATAATTGTAGCCTCGCGGTGCAAGACTGTGGTGCCATCTTAGGTCACGCGTATAAGAATAGTCGCGAGCGCTGATTTGAGATCGGCAATACTGGAAGATGTTGCGCGATACTTGTTACTCGAGTATGATATTGCCTTTGCTTGTACTCGCGTGCTAATATCACGCCGTGCAATAATGGGCTACTTCAGTCACACGTATCATAATATACGATTTCCGAGTGATTGATTGGCTTGGCCTCATTTATCACGCCAAAGACATCGATTAGCGCGCAATAAAAAAAAAAAGAACCACACGATTCGCTCCTAGCGAAACACGATGGGCGCGTCCTTTGTTTTTTGTTTCGTCGAGCTGTTTTGTTTGTTTCTTTGTTTTTTTTTTAATTTTTTTTTTCACGGCGAGCGCAACTTCTGGCATTTATTTGCAACGCCGGCAACTGCATTAATCAACAGTTGCTTATCGCGCATTCCGTTATATGCAAGTCCGCTCGAAAATCTCTTGAACCACGAATTACACTTTGAGAGATTTAGCCTGAATAATCGCTCTCTCGTAAAGTTTCGCGATCTGATTAGCTCGGTTAGCTGTCATCTACGCTCCCCCTTTTCTTTTCATTCGTTAAACTCTCTGCTTCTCTTTTTGGGGAAAAACCATTTAAACTGCACTTTTCAGTCGATTCGCACTCTTGTGCGCGCTATACGCCGCTGAACTTAATTTCATAAGCGAACGATTCCGACATTCTTTTTTTTCTTCTTTTTTTTCTTTTACCTCGTTAAAATCCAATGCGATGAGAATGGGAACGGTACTACTTGTAGTTGGCTTTAGCAGGCATACGCGAAAACGACACTATACGTACTTACAGGCTGTCACGCTTCATCGAATGTACGTTGCAGAAATGTTAGTGCGACTGCCTTCGTCTTTTTTTTTTCCTGCATTATCATGAGTGTCGCCATAAATGCGTGAAATTTTGCAAATATCGAATTCATGGAAATTCGCGTGAGTGCACTTTCCTTCTTCTGTCGTATTGCACAGTTGTAAACAGCATGAAAGCTCTGACTCGACTGCATCTCTAGTCAATTAAATAGCGGAATTTGAAATGACTTCGTTGAGGCATTCCTATGAGCGATACCTCAAAGTGAGTGCTTTGCTCCTGAATTTAAAGAAAATAGAAAACTGACAACAACTCGTGTTGCCGGTATTCTACAATGGGCGCTAAAATCCAACTAAAGAGATCGCACTAGTCTGCGGTTCAAATAGAGAAATCATTGTCCTGGAACCATTGCGCACTTTACAAGAGCCCGAGAAAAAGAGAGAAGATCGAAATAAAGTGTCCAATTGTCGTCAAAGCAAAGCGAATCCCCGAAGAATCGAAAGAAAGAGAAGGAGGCAAAATAAAATAAAAAAAAAAAAGAAAACGAAGGGTCTTACCCGTAACTGTAAACCCAGGGGGAATTCAAAAAAAGCCGTAAAAGTAGTAGCTATAGCGAGCGAGCCGGCGCACACATATAGGTATACGCGTCGGCGGAGCGCGAAGCGCCAGGCTCCGGCGCATAGTCGGTACGTTCCTGAATCCCCCGGGGGAGAGGGGTTGGCTCGGCGCCGCCGCCGTCGCGAAGGGCTGCCGTAGGAAGAGAGAGAGAGAGAAAGAGAGAGAGCGAGAGAGAGAGAGAAGAAGTGGGGGGGATGGTCGGACGCGCCTCATCCTCGCAGTTACGACCTCTGTCGTCAGTCGGGCCGCGCACGCATAGGTTATAATATCCGTCAGTCTCTCGCTGAGCGTCTCTCGCAAGACCTCGTCGTTGTTGTGGTCGTCGTGGTCGTCGAGGTCGTGGACGTGGTAGTCGGTGGATGAACGGTGCCGACGCGCAGTGATCATCCGCTCGCCATGACTTGAGGACGGCGCTCGGCACAGACGACCGCCGAAACGACGCCAGGTTGGAGGCAGCCCCGACGAAGCCGACAGAGCAGGCCCGAGAATGCAGCAGCACGCGAGGACGACGCCGGTGAGCATATCAACACGCAGAGACGTGCGTGCGCGCGCGCGCGCGCGTTGCTCTCTCGCTCTCCGATTATTGACCATGCCGTCCTTGCCGGATAGCGCATGGGCGCGGTTCGGCGCGCGGATCCTCCCTCCCTTGCTGGCCGCTCGCCGCCGATGCTGCTTCTCCATCGAACGTCTCTCGCGGCGGGCCGCTTCTTCGGCTTCGCGCGCGAACACGGGCACCACCCCGAGGCTTCCCATTGCGCGCACCGTGCGACCATACGCACCCCAAATGTGCTTTCTTGGTCATTGGGTTATCGCGATTGCCCGTGACTCACGCTTCCTTCAGGCTTGCTCTTGGGCACGGTTGGACGCGGTTCGCGATTTTTTTTTTTTTTCTTTTTTCGGGGACGGCGCGCGTCGAGTCACCCGCAAATTTTGGCCTTGACGGCCTCGCGCGCCGCCGCGACAACGAGAGCAGCGAGCGCCGGGCGAATTCGAGATCGAAGCGCCCGACACGTTGCCCGAACACGTATCATACGACACACGCGACACAGTTACAGATTTGCAAGCACGCACATACCCGACCAAGAGAGCGAGAGAGAGAGAGAGAGCACATGATTCCGCGGTAAGTAGCTAACGACGCTGTAGTATTACCGCCTTAGAGTCGCGTAAGACTCGCGGCGCGCTCTCGCATCCCTTTCTTCGGGATCGCTCTGGTCTTCGCGTCGATTGCTCTTCGTTCAATTCTTCTCGGCGTCACGCGACTTCCATTCTCCGCCGAGCGAGAGACAATGCCGCTCAATTTCGCGTGCACAGGCGCTCCTCGTTTCTCCTTTTTGCTTTGGCTCGAGTCGAATCCAGGGCGTGTCGTAGTGCGGCACGCGTTCTGCGGCTATTCTCGCGCGCGCTCGCGCTCGGTCGCCCGCCCTTTCGCACGATCAGCTGTTCTATGCGCGCCTGTGTGCAGCCCCTCTCCATATTCGTTTCAGCTCCGCGACGCGCTAATCGACGATTATGTTTGCTGTAATCGGGCTAAGCTCTAGGCGAGGATGCGCGTTCACTTTTGTCAATATTGTTTACATAGCCGAAGGAAATAATTACAACGCGTCCGTCGCTCTACACGGGGCTGAACTTTCTTTCCTGATATCTGCTTTCATTCCTTTGCCTCGTGATTTCTCTTTATACTTTTCTCAGCCAACCGTGATACCTCAAAGTGAGTGCTTTGCTCCTGAATTTAAAGAAAATAGAAAAATGACAACAACTAGCGTTTCATAGCGTATCGTCTCTCTTCTGTGAGGGCACAAAGTCGAGATGATGTATTGCTTGCCATGCCCGCGCGAAACGGAAGAATGAAACAGCCAGACGTCGTTTTCTCGACGACCATCGGTAAAAAAAGCAAACATGTCTCGCAAATTCAGGACAGCGCTTGTATCAATCAATTGCTCTGCCTGCTAAACGCAATTACCACCAGTTCGAAATTAAACTCCGTCGAGTCTCTTACTCTCTCGAGGGGAACGAGAAAACATCGAAATTATTCGACGGATCGCGGAGGCTGCCTCGAGAGCCATTTAGGGCCCAATTGATTTAACCAAGCACCGACAATGACAGCAGTGCGCATTTGGCCTCTTGGCGACCCTTTCACGAAGGCATATAATGAAACTCCGATAATCGGCTGTCTGCAGTCCGTAACGCCCTAATCTGGAAGAGAATTTGATTTGTGAAGTTGCGAGATTGGGAGAGAATTTCTTGTAATTGATCCCATTTCAATGTACGTCTGTCGATCTGCCTTAAAAGCAAAATAGAAAGTAGAAGATTGTTTCTCTCTCTCTCTCTCTCTCAGCCAAGATATAGAGAATTTTCAGATTCGATATTTTCGCCCGCGAGTGAGAGAGGGTCGCGCGCGTTGACCCAATAACGGGGTCGCGGCCGGCATCCCTTCTACTTTGCCCTTCTCGCGCTGGGTCACCGGTTTGAATTTTCGATTTGCATATCCCTCGTCGCGCGTTTCTCGCCGCTTGCTTTCTCTTTGCCTAAGCTGTATCGCCATTTGCTCTCGGGGCGAGCTTGCAGAACGGCCAATCGATTGTTTCGCGAAATCGTATAAACGACGAGAGGTTCGACGCTGATTATGCCATCTCGAGCGTTCGGGCATTCAATTCGTGAAATAATTGCGAAACTTGGGTATAGCAGGTGCGACGGCACTCTGAGCGTTTCAGTGAACGTCAGCCAAGTTTTTATTTGCTATATTCGACGGACTTTATATTTGGCATGGACAATTCGAACTGAACAAACGGCAGGATGAATAACATGGAGACGGTGTGATCAAGCTTCGGGCCATGCTTGTTGCGCGTAAATAAAATATTAATTGTGCTCTAAGCTACGCGTCGGCGTTGCACGAACGAGTGTAGCTTCGAGCTGTCCGTCGCGAAGAAGCAAAGAAACGTAGTCGAGGATTTGATTGAAGCAGTCGGGGGGGAAGGAAACGGACGGAAGACAATGGGAAGAAAACGCTCGCACCTGCGAGGCAACGCGTAAGGCAGCCTGCGTTTCAGCGAACATTTCGGGAGCGCGACACGAAAACGTGTAGTGGATGCCAGTTGCAGGCGGCTTTGAAACAATAAAGCCACTTAGCTGGATCGCGACCTCGATGTTTCTCTCGCCTACTACAACCCCTGTCAAACCTTAAACTTCAGAGCTTTTGCTAGCCTGCGCCATGCTCTCGTTCCCCCCTCCCCCCTTTTTCTCGCTCTCCTTTGTGCTACGTTCCTTTTTTCTAGAGAGAGAGAGAGAGAGAGAGAGAGAGAGGGAGAGAGAGAGAGAGAGAGAGAGAGAGAGAGAGAGAGAGAGAGAGAGAGAGAGAGATCTTCGTGTCAGCTGCGCCTTGCCCTTGGTTTACGAGTGCCACTCTTGGCTTCAGTCACACTCACAAGAATTCGTGTTTCTTTTTTGTTGTTGCACCTGTTCAAGAGAGAGAGAGAGAGAGAGAGAGAGCTTGTTTCTTTCTTTTCTAATGTTTTAGCTAAAAGAGGCTTCTCCAGGTGATGACGCGATTAATCGCGTTTGCTCGATGTTTTTTCAGCGTTGAGAAACAAGTCTATGCAACTTTGAATTCGAGTGATTTCGTACACAAGTTAGATAGAATGAGTATGGCTGATGATTGACTTCCGCCGTTCGTTATAGGGTTATATTATATAGCGAATTTATCGATGTGCTTTTATAAAAGACATTCATCAAATGCACAGAAAGAGAGAGAGAGAGAGAGAGAGAGAGAGAATGGAGTTTTGATGAGAAAATAATTGCAAATTCTCGTAAATCAAGCGCCATGATAGTTGGTAAAACTACATTCAATCAGCCAGTTATATTACGCGTTACATGCTGAAAAGTAGGCCTCTCTCTTTTTCTGACCGAAAGCCCTCTCTCCAAAAGTGCACTTTCTCCGCACAACTAGAATACAGACAGATCCCCGTCCGTCTGCCATCAATAACATTTTCCGAAAGAAATTGAACTGCAAAACAAAAGAAGAAAAATAAATTAGTTTTCGCAAAAGAATTTATCGCGCACGAGCTGGCCGAGAGTAATAATTCATCGGTTCAACGTCTCATTACTTGCATTAAGACAGCTTTGTTGTTGTTGTTGTTGTTGTTGTTGTTGCGTTGATGCTTTCAAGCCTCAGCGCAGATTAATTAAAAGCCGTTAGCCCGAAAACCGCCTATTTTGCATGCTTATACATTATGCCCGCGTATAGAGAGTACCGAATTCCGGTCACGTTGCGGCGCTTTACCTGCCGAAAAGCGATTCTCACGAAGAGCAAGACTTCTCAGATTACCGAGCCAAAACTCTACGTAATTTTCACATTTCGATTTCGCCCGCGCGAGATATCTGCGCCCGTATGCATTATTCGCATTTACTTTGATAGTCATTCGCCGAAAGCTCGACGGTGCCAAAGAAAAGCAATAAATTTGAATGTCGCAAAGGCGTAGATTTTGTATTAGTTTTAGTCTACATACTTCTTTAGTTGCGAGCAAAGTTCACCAAATAAATTTTGTTTCGACGTTTCCATCATTACAAGCTCCGACCGAAAGAAGCGATTGATTTGGGAACAGAAGGAAAAGACGGCGGAAGGAGGATACCGAGAACAAAACGTCGGTAGCATCGATAAAATGGTTTGTACGCGAAGGCCCGCGAGAGATATCACCCGCAGAATGTCCCCTACCGAAATCGCTCTTGAACAACAAAATGCAGTAGCAGTGGCGACAGCCAGCAGCAGCAAGCGTAACAATGCAGGGACCACGTGCTAAGGGAGAGAGAGAGAGAGAGAGAGCGAGCGAGCAAGCAAGCGAGAGCGACGACCTAGTTTTTCGGTGAAGGGCGTGGTCCCGACTATCTAGCTATGTAGCAAAGGGGTTATATGCGCGACGCCGGCTTTTATCGCTCTACGTGTACTTTGCCCAGCGCACACGTGAATTCATTTGCATCTCGACGAGTTGATTTTTGAGAGCTACCGGCCTCTCTTATCTTTTGTTGTTGGCGATTGGTTTTACGGCACTTTTCAGTATCTCTATGTATCTGTATCGACAGATTTTATTGCGGTTTTGGCCAAACGTGAAGCTCAGTGGCTATACAAGTGTGTGATCGATGCGATAAATCTGCTGTGCGACAATTGAATGCTTGGCTGCGACATATCGTCACTTTTCATCTTCAATTTTTCGATGGTGAGTTTTTCTTTTCTTTTTTTTTATTTCGCCCGACCCCACTCGCTGAAAACAAAACAATCAATTCATCAGTCTTAGCTTCAAAGCGCGACGTTGCATTGTATTCTGAATTGATGTATTCCAAAAGATCAATTCACTGGCTGGTCATTAAATCTGACCGCCAATCCATCTAGAGTTCAGCCTGCTAATAGCCACGTTGAATCTTGCGATTGTCAGTCGCAAATTCCGTTCACGTTGTCGGATAAATATTTTTCAACTAATTAAAAATTTTAAAGAAAGATCGCACAGCATTAACGAGGCTGAGAGTTTACTAATGAAAGCAGAAACTCACGCGCAAAACATCCTCGGCGGTGCCCCCCCCCCCCCCCCCGTCGGGATTCAGTTGCACGACGCGAGCGTCGACAAACGTATTACTGTTCGCCCGTGAGAGGGAGAGACGGAGAAATCCATCGATAGAGTGATTTGTGACCGCAAACGCGGTGCAGCATCTGACGTGTATCTAAGAGGATTCGAGCGAAGTATAACGAACCCGGTTAGCGAGAAGTCGCACAAAAGTGCATCCTATCGCGCGTTCACTATAACAAGGACAAGTTAAATATCGGATACGCGCAATCAAAGGCAAAATTGCGAGTCGTCCACGCGTCAGCTGCATGGTCCTAATCGAGGCCATATCAAAACCCTCAATTTCAATCTCCCGCAGACTACAGACAGACATGTTTGCTCTCTCGTGTCATGAGCCCTTGTGAAATTTGTTCTCCCCCCTACCACTCGCGCTGCAGTGCTTTGAGTACAGGTATACACATTCGCGAAGAAACCCTTGCATACACACGAAACAATTGTCAAACACTCAACGACGAAAAAAAAAGAGGAGAAGGAGAAGAAGAAGGAGGAGGAGGAGGAGGAGCAGCAGCAGCAGCAGCAGCAGCAGCAGCAGCAGCAACAACTGTAGACTGGCCTGTCTCGAGGTTAACTTTCGCGTGATACACGTGGTCGCATTCTTTGCTGCTTGGCTTGAGAGGTCGACGCCCTTGCGGTTCCTTTGTTTCAGGCTGCGTCGCTTAACGGACAAGTGACAAAGCCAAACGTAAGGTCAGCCATTCGTCTTGCGAGAACGAGCGGAGTCGATATTGACTTTCAGTGCGCTCGCATCTTATCTCGACGCCGGCGAGCTCGATGATCTCTTCGGTGCTCCACGCGCGACGACGAGTACAGATGGGTCTGCGAGCTTCCCCCGGCTGTGCTGCACAGAGTCGCGTTTGGCTCGTCGGGCGCTCGTCAGATGCGGGCAGATCAACATTTCGGGAGCGCGCGCGCGAAATAAATGTCGGCCGGGACGCGACGCACCCGAAGAGATCGATAAATAAAAGGCACAGCCGCAGGCGCGCTTCATTAGAGCGGATGATTTACAGCGTTCGGGAATGCATTCGGGGCCGCGGATACAGCCGTGAGTATTGAATTTCCAGCGTGAAAATGCCAGTCGTTAATTACATTTAACGCCAGTGCACATAATGCGTCTGGGCCTCGCGCGAGCAGATATACGAATGGAGTAGGCGAAGAGAGAACGCAAAATCGCGCGATCGCTCGCGCTCTCGCGGCGACGCGCGGAACATAAATAATAATCCGATGATCGAGTGTATCTACAATTCCATCTGTATAGAAGGCAACTTGGCGAGCGGGAAATGTGAAAGCCAAACCCCTCAACGCGTCATTATTCAAATTAATCCGACATTCAAAGTGAGGTGGGCTTGAAGAGCGACAACGGGGTGAGCTGGGGTGGAAGTTAATGTGATTTTCCCGACGAGTTACCGGGACGAAAGCCGTTGCACAACGTACACGCGCGCTCGAGGAAGAGATTCCCTTAACGAATTCGCTCGCTTGGGTAACTAATACTCGCGGAGGTTAGAAGGCGTTGCACTCGCGACGAAACGACGCGCGGCGATTTTAATGATCGCGCCCCTCCTGTCTCTTTTCACGCTGTCAATTTTTTGCCGATGGGCTCGCGGCCGAGAGTCACGGCTCGGCATTCGCTATGATGTGTCGCGCCTGCGTGCACGCGAAACTTCTTTCCGCTTCGCGAATTGAATAGTAACTCGCTATCGGGGCAGAGAAAAAGACGTTTTGATTTGGACGTCAATCCGATTATGAATGCAGCCCGGCAAGTGCGAAAGTCTGTTGCACGCTGTGAAAACGTTATATTCGACTAGACGGTCGTGTGAGGGGGAGAGCGAGAGAGAACGGGGGAGAGGCAGCTTTTGAATTGAATATTGCATAATCGAAGCAGCACGAGCTCGACCGTTTAGCCAATAAGTCATTAATATTTTTTCTCATGTTCACAGAGGATCTCCTGGAGCGAAATTCATTCTTCTTCCCGTGCCTGGAACAGACACTGACGATATGGTAATTTCCTTCCAGTTTAGCATTCAATACGACCTTCGATAATAATCTATCACTCTTCCGCACGGCTTCTCTTTCCATATAATACGCATTTCCAGCGATCTCTGCCTCCGGAATTACCGACTTTCTTACGCTCCTTTGCAGCTGTCCTAAAATTAGCCTTGTAATTCAGCCTCCACTGGAAATAGAGAGCCCCTAGATTATTTCCGTGTTATCCAAGCAATACAAACGTTTACCATGCGAGCCCCAAGTATATACGTTTAGCATTGCATAACGGTATTGAAATAACAGCGACAATGTGCAGATTCAGCGCGCGAGTATCGCGACGACAAGTTGGTCGAGGTTGTTCCTCGACGGAGCGCGACTCGGGTGCGCCTCAAGCGCAATCGCGAGCTATCGCGTTAACCGGCGGGCAGCCGATCGTTCGGAAGAGCTCGTCGGACCGTGGCAGCTCGCGACTCGAACTCGGCGTCTGTTTCCAAAATGGTTATTGGGCAATCGTTGTTGATAGGACACAGTATGGCTTCGGCACTCTGGCACGCCTCTGGGAGTAGTTTCGCCGCTTCGCGCGCCTTCGTCTGCTTCCTGCTGCTGCTGCTGCCGCGTGCCACTACAGGTACGTATTTATTTTTCAGCGGCCTCTTCGCGTCTGCACTAAATCTCGCTCGTTGAATAAGTCACGCGCGCGCCTGTCAGCCGCTGCCCGCAGCACGATTCTTTTGTCGACTTCGCCCGAAGCCGCTGTTATTGCGCGCACGGAATGATTGTTTTACGAGCTGGAGAGGCAGGCTTTTTCAACGTTTATTTGCCATTCGGCTAATATTCATTGGAATGTGTCTTGACGACGCGTGCTGGCAGGCCGACAGCGCTGTCGGAACTTTATCGGGACGAATTGTTCGTTAGTTCGCTCGCTGACGATTATAACCGGCAAATTTTGGCTGTAATTGCACCTTCAGTGTCCGCGCAGGTCTTCGAGTGATGAAAAATTTTCATCTACATAAAAGCTTTTTCAAAAACGCCTGACACTTTTACCTTGACGCCACGTCTCACTGTCTTTCAAAAACAAAGGCTGTCACACGCTATAGTCATCTGGCATACTTTAAAAAAGCACTGACTGTCGCTAAAATGACGTATTTCGAAGCTAATCCATCATTCAATTGAAACGCGTTGCGGTTACGTCATACAAGATTAAAAAAGAACGAGCAAAATTAATCGCCCGATGGGGTAGTTGTATGACAAACGAGATAAGAAAAAGAAGAACGACGAGGCAAAGGCACGTCGGAGCGTCTCTACATCATGAAGGTGCGCGCGTTCGCATTCCGGCCCAGTTCACGGTCCGCACGTATCTCGCGAGTCAGCGAAAATTCCTCCCATGGGTAGTAGAATGTAAAAAGCTCTCTCTCCCTCTCTCTCTCTCTCTCTCTCACGCTCACACACACACATCAAGTCCCGTGATTTACGGTCTAATAATGTTCCACCGGATAAACATGGGCTAATGGCTCTCGAGTTCTCCGTTAAAGCTTCGGATAAATTCTCGCGTCTGCTCGTGTGTGGCGACGACGATGACTAATCGAGGCCGCTCGAGTTTTCCGCGCGTTTGTTGCACATTTTCTCTCTCGCTCGAGTCTAGTCTGTGGACGAACGTCGTAGTGGCTGGCCGCGAGTGTCTTTCGTTAGCGTACAAAAATGAATTTTCACGCGGATCGCGAGCCACAAGCAGGTGGTAGCGACTGGTAGCGTATCGCGCGGAAGTACGGTCGGGATTTCGATGGTAATATCGAGCGCGATTGTCGGGGAGTCGGTTCGTGCGTCGTTCTGTCGGGTAACGTTGCCGTTGAAGATGCGCTCGCGCGCGGACTAATTGTCTCGCGGCGAGAGAGTCGAGCTTGATGTCCCCGAGGGACACTTGACCGCCGCGCGCCATAAACCCGCGAACTTCGCCCTAACCGTTTACCGTGATAGCCGCCGTGTCCCGCTGATTTTCAATTTACGCGCGATCGTGGATCGCGACGTTGCAGTGCAATGTCGAGACGGGCAAACGGCTCACGCGCGCTGGCCAACAGCCAGTGCGGCTATAGTTAAAAGTATCGACGAATCGCTCGACGCGCTAATGAAGTATTTATTCGCGCGTCGCCATCGCTGAATAATAGTGCCGACAGCCGAGTCCCATTCAAGTCTTGGCCGACGAAGCGCTTATATTCCGCGTCGCTATCGGACTTTACAACTGGAGCTGCGACGGTCATTATGAACGTTCATAATTACTTTCGCGTGGGCGCATTCGAATGGCCAAGTGACTCGCGTTAATTGTCGCGCGAGCCCCGACGAGCTTGCCGCGACTCGGGCCAGGCAATTTTTCCCGCTTGCCCCCTTTTCGGCCGACCTGCCGTGGTAGCAGCGCCGAGCGTTCGCAACCAAACGCAATGGTGTGCTTCTGTCAACAGAGTGCGACCAGAGGTTCATAAGCATCCCGGACGGGCCGCAGAACGGCACGTTTCACGCGCCGAGTCTGAGCAATCCAGACGGCGAGTCGCGCCAGTGCGTCTACACGTTCTTCGCCGGGCCGCACCAACGCGTCGAGTTGCTGTTCACCAGCTTCGGCCTCCGTGGCACGCCACCAGAGTGAGTATCCCAGCTTGGCCTGTCCGCACTTGGCGCGTGCGAGCGACAAGGAGACACGACAGTCTTTGGCATGCGTTGTTCCGAGCGCGAGCAATGGACGCGCCGCTCGTGGCGCGCGTGTGTCTTTGTGGATTCAACGGCTTGTACACGTCAATATAACTGCTATGTTTTAGTTCTGTGAACGACCTTAGAGCCACTCTTAGACTGTGTCTTTAACGATCATTTAGTCTGAGGTGCGTAGTTGTGTCGTGCCTGCGTTGTACTACATCGATGTGTGTGTGCGTGTGTGCGTGTGTGTGTATGTATGTATTTATTTATTTATTTATTGATCAGCCTCCGCGTCATTATTTCTCATTTTTGCGGGAAGAACGCCTACTCTTTGTAAATAAGCGTCTAGTTACAGCAGTGTCGAACAACCAAGCCGAAACTCGCAGAAAACACTCGAAACAAGTTGGAGCCCCTCGAGGCTCATATCTCTCGCATCGATTTTCCCTCCGCTTAGACAACTCGACTCTCCATCAAGTCGACTCCTTACCTCTTATCCCCTCCCCTCCCTATCCCTCCACAGCTTCTATTCCGTAATGGAAAGTCGATGGGGGCCTTAGCTACGACGTACAGCTGCTATGTGTTGTGTTGTGTTATATACTCATCGTTTATTTTTCTCTCCTCCTTTTCACCTTCACGCGCCGCTTCCTCCATACATTCATGCGATGCAGTGGATCAGCCGTCGGTGAACTACCAGCGTGAGTATACTCACACTTCATTCTCTCTCTCTCTCTCTCTCTTTCTCTATCTCCGCATGTGCACAACGGCGAAAAGTGATGCTTTGCCACGTGCACCCTGCTAACGCACAACGGGTGTAGCGAGCGAATGATGGATGCGGTATCGTTCAGTGATTGATCGAACGGAAAATACAAAAACAATTGTAAAGTGTAAATACTTTTGCAGTTCCACTCGGAATGGCTATTTTTTTTCTTTGAAAGTCGATGTGCCGTGTACCCGTCATGTAGCAGCATTAATTTGACTAATGGAGTTTTAATTATTGCGATGGAATCATCACTTTCCGTTGTGCTTATATTTTTGTACACCCCCGTCCCTTCATAGGAGCCTGCGAGAGCAAAGCTTTTTCGAATATGTTGTTTTTTTTCAATTTTACATCAGCCGCTTGTCACAAGATTGAAACGGTTCATTTCGTTTTGCGAAAGCCTTTGATTGCCTAGCTACTATTGGCTTCTATTTTGTTTGTTCAATTCCACAAAAACACCATCATCGTTCACAAAACAATGCTACATAGAAAAGCTCAACGTGTTTAGATTTGTCGATGACTTTTGTTGAATTGGCATGGCTAAGTAAATTTAAAAGCTTTCAATAAGTAATTGTAAAATTGATCTTTAAACCGCCATAAAAGATGCAGAGACTGCAATACCAAATTAACGAAAAAAAACTTTTAAAATGTACTCGTGCAAAAATTTTCTATTGCTAAAAGGCATATTGGAACGATGAAGAGTTTAAGCCACTGCACACTTGCACACATTATTTTATTTTATTTTTTTCGTAATCAACTCTATATTTTGTTATGCAATGTTCAACAATTGCACGATTGAAACAGTCCATTTGAGAGGAAAGAAGGAATTAACAAATGGTCTGTCCGTTGAGAGTTATAAATAAAGTAGAGAGTAGAACTGGGGAAACTAATTTTGGTTGTGTGGGGGTTGAGCAGCTGCGTCCACGAGTTCTTGGACATCTATTCGGAGATCCGCACGGACAACGCGACCAAGCTGATAGACACACCGTTCGGAGGGAGATACTGCGGTCCGATTTCACCTCGCAAGAGGGTCTCCCTTTACCAAGGGATTGCTCTCAGCTTTTATACCGACAAAAATGTCACGGTGCCAAGCCTCTTCTCGGGCCGTTACGCCTTTATCAATGCCTGTGAGTAGCATTCTTATTCGCTTTCACTCTTACTATCCTTTTTTTTATTGTCATTTCTTTTATTCATGAGGCTCGCTGCTGCTACGCTGTTGTTTCGAATAACGAGCGTTGCAACATCAAGAGCTCCCCTTTTACATAGCAGTTATTTTCTTTTATCTAGCTTAACGAATTTGCAACGATGCCTCTTTTAATATGCAATGTCGATCGGATAAATTCATTGAAAACTAATGAATTATTCAGCACATTACATTTGTTTTAGTATTGAAAATTTTAACTAGTTTTCAAAAAGTAAAACTTTAACGATAAAGTCGACAAGAAAGTATAACAATTCAGTAGTACAACTGGATTTCGATCAGACGTAACACATATGTCAATCTTTCCAACTTCGTGCACGATAAATTATAAGTTGTTCGTAAACTATCTTTTTGATAATACTCTGTGAACGTGTTATCCTATTTGTTTAGCGGAGTACGAGATCGGGACGCCGGCACCGACATTGCCGTGCTCGTTTACGGTGCATTCGGACGTGAAGCGCACCGGCAACATTATTTCACCAACCTATCCGGGTGCTTATCCCAAGGACCTTGTATGCAGCTACCAGTTTATCGGCACACCCAGGCAAAGGGTGCGACTGGAGTTTCGCGACTTTGATCTCTTTTTTGGCGGCCCACAGTCAGTGTCTTTTTTCCAACATTTTACTGAATTTTCGTCGATCGCACATTCAGATAAAAGACAGTGCAATCGTTTATTCGAAATTGCAGTTAAAGAACGAACATTTTTTGTTTCAGTAAAATTCTCGCTTTGAATCAAATCGTCTCGTTCTAGTTTTAAAAACGCCGCACTTTCTTTTGTCTCGATATAAGAAAAGTTTGTCCTCTGTTTTGCTTCAACTTTCGTGCTATATGCTTTCGTGAATTTGTTCTCCTTTGTTCTAAAAGAATATTTGTTTGCAGTGAATTTCGCACTATTCAAACTTTGAGAATCTTCTAAAATTCAAAGATACACATATCAAAGTTGGCGCTCGGTATACGCTTTAAAGTTTATCATGCCTGAGAAAATTTTAAACGTCCTTGTATATTTCGAAAATATTCTGGCAAAAGTTTTTCCATTTGCCACAGAAACAAAAAAGAAAAGAAAAAAAATAAGAACTCGCGATATCGCACAACTCTAAAAGTAGAGCGACTTGGTTAATCGATTTAATAAGAATTATGCAAATGCAGCTGTCCATTCGATTACGTAAAAGTGTACGACGGCATAAACGACACGGCACCAGTGATCGGCACGTATTGTGGTCAGCAAAGAAATCTGGTGCTGTACTCGTCCGAGTCGAATCTGTTCGTGCTGTTCGTGACGCTCCAGCGAACCGCGAACACGCAGAACCGTGGCTTCAAGGGCATCTTCGAATTCTCCGAGAGTTTCGTCAAGTTAGGTGAGTTGCCAATTCCTACCTCTCTGCATTCCCCGACACTGTTTGACGTCGGCCTTCCCACCTAATGCGACTCCGAAATCAAACATCAGTTTCACGTTCCTTGTTTCTTTTTTTCGCTGCTTTCGTGCCAACAATAACGCCCAGTGCCAACCAAAAAAAAAAAAAATTCATTCCAATTGCAGACTTCATAACGAATTATGGAGGCGAGCACATACGAGGCACCGAGTGCGATCAGAAGATACTCAGCAAGAAGGAGTCGTCGGGTAATGTGGTCAGCCCGAATTTCCCGTACCCTTACATACCGAAAGTGGTGTGTCGATACTTCATCTACGGGATGCAGGACTCACAACACCTCGAGCGCGTTAAGCTCAAGTTTTCGACTTTGGTCATACCCAAAGGCGAGGCTAAGGGAGAGTGAGCGTCGAGCCTTCTTTTATCGAGCTTTTTACGGACGAGGTAACGAGGGTCGGCGTGGTCGTGCTTGCAGATCCAGTTGCACGGACGGCTACCTGAAGATATATCTGAAGGGCCAAGAGGCGACGGACTCTTACGACAAATTCGATCACGAGCTGTGCGGCAAGGACATTCATCCGGGTCACGTGGTTAGCGACGGCCCGAGGCTTGTCATGGTGTTCAGCAGTGGCGAGCAGCAGGGACGTGGCTTCAAGGCAGAGTAAGTTGCTTCGCGCTCCGACAGCAACTGGTCAAAGATCGCGTTCGAACCGAGTCGACACGCTCGTAGTTTGCCGCGAGTGCCGAGGGCGTGAGAGAGGCGTTGCAACTGTTGTCTGTCTGGCGTGCAGGTACGTGTTCGAAACGGAGTACAGGATACCGGGTACGGCGGCGCCGGACGGCAGCTGCACCTTCAGCTACCGCAGCTCCTCGCGCAAACGCGGCGAGTTCAACTCGCCGCGCTATCCGAGCAATTACCCGAGCGACACCAATTGCACTTACTTGTTTCTCGCGACGCCCAACGAGCAGGTGACCATCATCTTCGACCACTTCAAAATCCGAACGAAAAACTTCAACATCACCGGCGGCCATTACGGGTAAGTCGCACGTGGATCGTTAGGTCGTAGAGAAACGATTGGCAACACGAACGAACGATCGCAGCGTGGAGTACTGCCAAGAGGACTGGGTGGAGGTGTACAATATGTATCGCGACGACACGGAGAAGATGATTGGCCGGTACTGCGGCATGACGGCGCCGGGCCCAGTGGAGTCGACCCTCGGCGCGCTGGGCGTCAAGGTCATCTTGCACACCGACTCGGACCTCGTGTACAGCGGCTTCAAGGCCCGCTACATCTTCGAGAACGCCAAGTCGGTATTCGGCGATTGCGGCACCAACATCAGCAGCCTTCACTACGGCGTCATCACCAGTCCCAACTTTCCCAACAAGTACGAGGCGCCCACACGCGGCGTCGCCAGCAAGACCTGCAATTGGTTCATCAACGTCAGACCCAGCCATCAAATCCTCGTCAATTTCGAGCTGTTCTCCGTGGAGGGCGAGCAAGCTGGTGAGCAAACGATCGATATCGCCTCGGCGGACCGAACGGCTCCGCTGCGAGACGGCGAGCCGTCGGATTATTGGCTAACGTTGCTCTCCGTGTGTTGTTGCGCGTAGCCCGCGGATGCCCGGCGGCCGTGTTGCGCATGTGGATCTCGCCGCACAGCACGCCAGTGGAAATGTGCGGGGTGAAGGAACCCGAAGACAAGTGGAGTCATATCTCCGATAATCACTTCATGCGATTAAGGTTCGTTCTGTCTTTGCACTGATAAGCTCGTCGTCACTCGATTTGGGCATTCGGCTCTGCGGGGCCAAACTGGATTTGACCATTGCAAAAAGCGCCTTTCCATCCAATTAGCCCGGCTGCTAACCTACTTCGCTCGATCAATCATTTATCCAAGCTGGCGCTCCCGATCGAAGCGTCCTTACGAACGAATCTCGATGATTATTTTCAATCTCGCCCGGTGGGCATGTAGCACTGCGAGCCCCGCTATATTGATTCGGCGGCAGCTCCACGACTGCTTTTCGTCCCGACCGAGTCGCAGTTTTGACCGCGCGCTTAAAGCCCGGCCGAACGGCATTGCTTGCAGTTTCCTATCGGCCGACAAGGCGGTGGGCCAGCAAGGCTTCCGTGCCATTTGGACGGAGGTGAAGCAGGACGCCGAGTGCCGGGGTGGCTTTCTGTGCGAGCGCAGCGGTTACTGCATCGACGAATCGCTCAAGTGCAACAACGTCGACAACTGCGGCCCCGAGGACACATCCGACGAAGATCACTGTAAGTCTTCCTCTTGGACATTCTTCTCCTTCCTCTACGATTAGTGACTTATCGCCTCGACGCCTCTATTTGCCGATTATACGTACGTGTATATATACATATATACATACATACACACACACATATATATATATATATATACATACATGTACATATACAGGTATATAAAGCTTAAACGATTATTGTTATATTAAAAGATTATAAAAGACCAAAGTTTAAACAACAACAAAAAATGAGTCAAAACGAACAAAAAAAATTAATTAACGAGCTTTCTGATAAGTGGCCGCCTGTTCGATGTTGGAACTGCTTCCACCCTTCTAGATTAAGTATATAAACATACTATTATAGGCTCTATCTATTCTCTCTATGTGCGTTTATTATTTATCTTCGTTCTATATATAGACCAGTTCTTTTCTCCAACATCTTTCTTTCGTGAACGATTTAATGATTTATATGGAACAAGTCTACGAAAGTTTGTCAATTTCGTTATATTTAATAAGACTTTGTTCCATTAAGGGCGCCAGCTGGTGTGAAACAGTGAAAATTACAAGTTTTCTTTGCCGTCGTGTAAAAAGCGTCCTTTTTATAAAGTTATCATCATGAACGTATTTTCATCTTGAAATACTTGATAACTGCTCTCATTTTTTTCTTTTCAAGTCCGAAAATCTCAATTACGATTATCGTAACATCTTTTTTTTTAATATTCGGTTTCTTTAGACCAATACTTCGGATCAAATGAAGGATTTTTTGTAATAGTCAATTTTACCAATGTTATAAGAACTTTTCGAATTTTTTTTCAGAATTCTTTTTGGATTTGAAAAATCCTTCGCTTAATCTGGCGTACGTAAGAAAAGAAGCCCTTCGATAGTCATATTCGTTCACTCTAATATTCAGTTTCTTCCTAGATATCAACTTCCTAGAGTCTTAATTGATATTTTGGTACTTAAAAAGCATTTACCAAATAATTCATCATGAAAAAATGTTCGTGACGATAACATTATTAGAACGCGTTTGACACTATACCGTAAAAAAAGAAACTTATAACTTTCACTGTTTGACATCAGCTGGCCCTCTTAATAGCTAAATAGTTCACTCGCAAAAATATCGCTGTACAGAGAAATTTGAGTCGCGCGTACGAAACAATATGTGTCTAAATAACCTGTACACGAGAATACGACGATTTTTCCTTTCTTTTATTCTAAATGTCATCTTACACCTTCACTTTGCTGTCTTCCGCTAGCAAATTCATCCTTCCAAGTCTATAATTATTCACGCAGACGCACATAAAATAGCCATAAAACGATTGACTTTAGTAATTTCATTCCTATATAACTAGCGCAGAATCTTAAAACTTTCAACATTAAAAGAGAGCTCTGTATATATCATGAAATATGGCATGCTTTTAAACTAAATCTGTATATTATAATGTTCTTTCCTGCTATCCTATCAGTCGTTGTAATTGAAGTTCAAACGATTACCTTAACATCGCGCCATGTATAAAATTTTTGTATCTTGTTTTCCTCTCACGCAAGAAAATAATTCACTGCCACGCATTATACATATTATCACTATAATTAGCGTATATAATTTGAGTGAATTGTGATCTTCTAAGCTATACGTAAAGTCAATTAATTTTCGTTTGATTTTGTCTATTATATAATTTCCCTCTAAGTAGAACTGGAATACTGTAAAAAGAATTTAACATTGGATTTGCACTGCCCGTGGAATGTGCATATATACATCTTATATATCTCGAAGTACCTGAATACCAATATTTTATTGCTGTTTGACCTTAAAAGAGACCTCAAGAGCTAGATTACAGTACAATTTTAGAGTTAAAATCTATATATGAAATATTTGTAACGAGTGACACTTAGCCGTGATAAAAGTACGTGTAAAATTTTGTGATTAACCGATCGTCTAAGTAGACAAGTCTCTGTCGTGTCAGACGTGAACACTCTTTCGCTAGCGCACAAGTTATTGCGGATAACGACTTAGAGCAACTAACATTCCGTAGCTTATGTTCTTGCAGTGAGCGACGAACTTATTTGGTTTTGCGACCTGTGGGACCTTGAATGATTCAACGACTAATTGTTATTACAAATGTACTCAACTGCAAATGTACGGCCAAAACAGGAAGCGTTAAAAATGTAGTTTTCGCTGGTCGTTAATACGTAGTCGCACTTGTAGAGTACGTAATAGTCAGTTTTTGACTGAGAGAAGTATTCAGCTGCCATGACGAAAAATGTTAGTGACCGTTTGAAATAAATATAGCATACCTATATTTTCTTATAGGACTTATTTCAAGAGCAGTAGTCGAACTGTTTAACTATAGCAATAATGAATACAGAATCCTTAAGAGTTTCCGACCACACAGGCGTTAATAAATATATAGTATGTGTTAGTGTACATTTATGAAAGTTTATCGCGCGGCTATTTTTTGACGAAGAAGGAGAAAAACTGAATCGAAGTACGAAAGCTATTTTTGAAGAGCATGAAGCGAAGGGAAAAATATAATATATATATAAAAAAAATCAGTATTTTTGAAAAGTGTGTTACGAGAGGTGGCGTTGACGAAGAAAATGACAAAGAAAATAGCGAATGTTATTGTCGGGGGCAATGTTAATGGTGTGGTCGCAGGTGTAGCCCCGGACACCTCGGCCCGCTGGCTGGCGGGCGGACACACTGCCGTGCTTCCTCTCTCTCTGTGCTTTGTGTTCGTGACCATCTGAGCCGATGATCGAAGATCCGGCATGCCTCTGTGAACAAATATCTTCCCCCTCTTCTTACAAAAATAACCATCTCACGTGAGTCTTATCCTATCGCACAACAAGCTTTCGAACTGCTATCAACACACACACGCACATATGCGCACACACACCTCCACACTTTCTCTCTTTCTCTGTTTCTCTGCCTATCCTCTGTTATGTGTTCGCCGCCGCAAAACAAACGCACTGCTTATTTGCAGGTTTTATGCGCTCTTTGGGCCTGGCTCTGTGTTTTTACTTTTCTTTTTTTCGTACGGCGCCAATAAAACCCGTCGACAAATGTTGACTTGCTTTTAAAGGGCCAGCATGTCAAACAGTTTGTGCTCGAACCGCGGGCAAACACCGACTTTTGTGTGTGTGTGTGTATGCGTGTTTGTGTGTATGCGTGGGTATGTATGTGCTGCTTTTTTCGCCTTCAAAATTTCTCAGTGGCGATCAATAGGCATCTCCAATTGTCTTGATTCTTTTTCCTTTGTTTTTTTTTTTTTATCTTGCAAATAAATATGGTTTTCGAGGTGCATGTGCCCATGCGCTAACGTTTTCTTTGCGCGTTTATGACTACTTAAGGTTTTTGAAAAGAAAATAAATTTGAATTTAGAATTAGGACCAAAGAGGGATTTACAAAGACACTTTGAGATTGTTAATGACCAAACGTGCGGTCCTCTCTTAACCGACTACCTCTTTAGAATTAAGACGAAACAAAAGATCCGATTATCCGTGTCAAAATTCGCGTTTGTCGATAAAACAAAAGTTTATTTTTAATATGTTTGAATAACGATCGTGGGCTGTCAATGTTGACTTTTCAATAAAAAAAAATTTGAGATGATAGCAAGCGAATCAAGTTGTTCTTTTTCGAAGTTCAAATATATCGTATTGAAAGCCGCTATATTTTTATATTCTTTTTTTTATCATGTACAAATTTTATGCGTTTGCTGTACTCGATATTATTATTTCGCTAAGGAAGAAACATTAGAAGTATGCTCGAAAGTTAACGCGCGCGCGCGCACACACACGCGCACACCCACACCCACACACACACGCGCACGCACGCACACATTTTTATTCTCAGTCTGCATGCCAAATGCGAATGCCAAACCAATATTTAGGTCTTCAACTTGCTACATTACTCTGTAAAAGCCTATATTTTATGAAAATTGCATGCTTTCGTTCTCTTGTTTTTCTCTTCTCAATACTCTATACGACATAGTGATACATATGAATTAATGATACGTTTTAATGACTGAAAATGACATGTATCTTGCTCTCATATTCACGATACAGATATATAGGCGCTTGTTCGTTGAGATATGAGCAGAAAGTGCGATGAAAAATCTGACTTTTATCTGATTTTCATTTCCGATACTTCCATCAGATTTGATTTATTTGAAACTACAGTGATTATTCAAAAATGCCAAATATTTCAAGGATTTCCTAATGCTAATTTGCTACGTATTAGTTTTTATTTTTGATAGCTTATATTCAGTAAAAGTTTTATTTTTGTGGATCGTTTTGCTGCCGAATTTTGAAAAAGATTAATAGGTAAAAAGATGTTTAAATCTAAATATACATCGTTTTAATATTACATCAAGTCAAGCGATAACAAAAATTTTTGATTTCGACATCTTTTTACGGGTAAATAAGAGAGAAACAATTGTGTCATTCAGAACAAAATAAATATTACGTTACACGGATTCTGTCGCTTTTTTCACAACTCTGCGAAACACACCAAAGGGTGGATTTCAAAGGAGTTATATTTTGATTTTGATTTTTAGAAATGCGTTTGATTGGTATTACGAGCCGCTTTATAAAACTTTTGATTTATGCGTCAAAAAACGATTCCGAAAAAACTTGTTTTATTGGATCGGACAATTATACGCTAGATAAAACCTTGATTAACCTTAAGTAATTACGATTAAAGTTAGCACAACCGCGGTCAAAATTGTACGAATGTGGTTGAAAAAAATGAATAAAAAAAACGAAAATTATGTAATACTCATTGTGATTGTATCAGTAGCCAAAAAATTCTGAATAAAATGTTTGTACGCAAAAAAAAACAAAGCATTTGCACCTTATTGGAATACTATATCCGTGCAATAACCCCAGTCCTGGTTAATCGAGGTTCGTCAGTAGTATTTGTTTTTTTTAAATTTTTTGTCGCTTCATTATATATGTTATTTATATTTTTTTATTCGTTTTTGTTCAATCGAAAATTTTCATCAGCTTTGGTAAAAATACGAATATTGATATAAATTAGCTTGATAGAATTTTCCATTTCACGAAGTGCACGTTACATTGTTATGAGATAAGCAGTATAGTTGTCGAGACGTATTGCGGTGTTATTTTACCAGAGCATGATTATGAGTTGTCAACGAGGTAACAGGATCTAACGTAACGAACATAAACAAGATAATTTAAAAGAGAATTTTACTGCCGAGTAACGTCGTTAAATTGCTGTCCGGATCACCTTTGATTAAAATTAATGAAAACAGAGCATTTTATGGAACATTACTCAGCAGTAGCTAAAGATCACTTCGTAAGAAAGAAATGCATCAGTCTGAAAAAGGAAAAAGTGGCAAAAAAATACTCGGAGGAACAACCGTTCCGCGCTGTCACGTTCCAGTCCTTATCCACTACCACCGATCCTCCCCACGAGCAAATCCCCAAAACATGACAGCTCGGGCAAAACCAAAGCAAACCGTGCTGGCGCGGGACACACGTTGTACCCCGCCCCCTTCCCTCCTTCCCCAGGCTGTTTTGCGTTTCGGGCTGCGATTGGACTTGGTGATTGCAGGCGTGGTAGCCCCGCCGCCGGAGAACTACTACGCGCTGCCGGCGAGCAGCGCGATCTTCGCGACGCTGGCCTTCCTGCTGCTGTGCGCGGTCTGCTACCGTCGTCTGCGTCGTCGCGGCGCGCCCGATCGGCCGCCCGACGACTTCCACCTGCGCGTCGACGACTGCTTCCATCACCATCACCATCACCCGCACCATCACAACCTGCTGCCCCATCACCATCACCACCATCACGCGCATAGCCGACGCGACGACGAGGACGACGAGCTCGACGAGAGGGGTTCGCTCACCGGTTTCGCCGGCGACTACCGGCTCCAGCAGCAGCCCAGCCCGCCCAGCGACAGCGACGCCGACCTCGACGACCCAATGCCGAGCGGTCGCGCCGCCGCCGTCGAGTGCGAGCTGGACAACGACGAGGAGCTCGCCGACGACGGCAGCAGCAGCCCCGAGAGCCTCGACAATCGCTGATCCGGGCTCGCGCGCGCCGCTACGGCCGATCGCACGACACTCGAACAGTATGACCTTGTGCGCATGACTTCGCCGAAATGTTAGAGCTGCGATCGTTTTCCCTGCCTCCGAGATTTTCCGCCCCAGCGATGCGAGCATCTTTGATCTCTCGTTACCGGCGACTCGACATTGAACGTTCTGGCGCTGTGCGCAGCTTGGCGCGCCTCGCGTCTCAACTTGCGTTGCGCTGCGCATGCTGCAGCTACGCTTTCAGTTGATATTTCCCAATCGACGCGACTTCTATCCAAGGTTGTACAATATGGAGAAACGGGTAACTCTAATCAATGGGAACATTCAAAACCAGCTAAATGTACAGAATCTTAAACGAGATTCTTCGTATTTTTATTATTGGATAAATAAACGAGAAACCTTCAAAGAGAATGTAAATAAATATAAAAGGAAAACGATTTTGTTCAGCTTGAAGCTCTTCGCGAGTCAATCAACAATCAATCCTATACGATGATTGGGTCGATCTCACTGCTGCGCCAAACTTTTTCCGTCGCATGCGTACCGCGACGACTGCATACAGAGTCATAACTTTCGCGGTGTCTTCGCGCTATGGTGGCGCCCGCGCGCGCGAGTTCAGTTCTTGCTGTTCGGGCGGCTGCTTGTCAATTCGGGCGAGGCTACAGCGCGCACGAACCATCGCTTTTTCTCGACGACAATTTTTTTCTTTTTTTTTATGAACGGATCAATGATTCCAGTACAGTTCGCAAAATACGCTGATTGATTTTTGTACGGCATCGAACGAAACCCTGAACGTCGTCAAGTTGTCAGAGAAAGAGTCGCGTTCGTGTGGATGATATTTATAAATAGACGTATGTACATCTTACATAAGATTGATATGATTACGTAACGAGCGGTTTTTAGGCGTCCGTAAGATTCACTATTTAATTATCAACTTGAAAAACTACGCATAAATTGTGTGTGCGTGAATGCGTGTGTGCGTGTAGTGGTGTGGTGGATAGGAGATCATTCAAAATCGCGACTGCTCAATTATAATATGCAATGGGAATTTTTCGATCCGAACGACAACGTTCGAGCAACACTTTGTTGGACGAATCATTTTTTACATCTTTGACAAGAGATATACAGGAGCAGTCCACCGAAAATAAGTTGATAAGAAAATAATTGACTCATCGACGAAGCGAATAAAAAATGATAAAACATTGCTCAAACACAGAGAAGCCTCACAATTTTCATATTGTTTTTGTACGACGCGTATAACTTTTTGCACGGCTATTTTTTCTATGTAACACGTCGAAGATGAATATATATCTCGTTGTTCACGTTAGCAAAGCCGCCGTCGCCGCCGAGGTTTTAAAATAATTAATCGATATTATAAACACAATTTAAAAGAAGAAAAAATAAATATTGTGTAAGCAAAAAAAGACGATGCAACACTCACACAGGGACGCGTACCGTAATATTATTAATATATCGCAGGATCACTTTTAAAACAAACTTGTCGTGTCAGATGATTCAAATCGTTGTGTGTGTGTGTGTGTGTGTGTGTGTGTGTGTGTGTGTGTGTGTGTGTGTGTGTGTGTGTGTGTGTGTGTGTGTGTGTGTGTGTGTGTGTGTGTGTGTGTGTGTGTGTGTGTGTGTGTGTGTGTGTGTGTGTGTGTGTGTGTGTGTGTGTGTGTGTGTGTGTGTGTGTGTGTGTGTGTGTGTGTGTGTGTGTGTGTGTGTGTGTGTGTGTGTGTGTGTGTGTGTGTGTGTGTGTGTGTGTGTGTGTGTGTGTGTGTGTGTGTGTGTGTGTGTAATAAACCGGGTAAAAATATTAAAAGAGGAAAAATATGTGCTTGAAATTTTCGTTTTCTAATAAAAAAAGTGCGTTGAAAAAAAGGAAAAATATATATACATAGTATTGGGTGTATATTTGAGTGTAACGATTATATGAACAATAGTGTACGAACTTTTTGGTGGCAAGGAAGTTAATTATGTATGACCGCGTGTGATGGATACTTTTTCGGGTGGAAAGAAGGTGCAACGTACGCTTACAATTTGTATACAATTTTAAAGAAGAAAAAATAAATATTGTGTAAGCAAAAAAAGACGATGCAACACTCACACAGGGACGCGTACCGTAATATTATTAATATATCGCAGGATCACTTTTAAAACAAACTTGTCGTGTCAGATGATTCAAATCGTTGTGTGTGTGTGTGTGTGTGTGTGTGTGTGTGTGTGTGTGTGTGTGTGTGTGTGTGTGTGTGTGTGTGTGTGTGTGTGTGTGTGTGTGTGTGTGTGTGTGTGTGTGTGTGTGTGTGTGTGTGTGTGTGTGTGTGTGTGTGTGTGTGTGTGTGTGTGTGTGTGTGTGTGTGTGTGTGTGTGTGTGTGTGTGTGTGTGTGTGTGTGTGTGTGTGTGTGTGTGTGTGTGTGTGTGTGTGTGTGTGTGTGTGTGTGTGTGTGTGTGTGTGTGTGTGTGTGTGTGTGTGTGTGTGTGTGTGTGTGTGTGTGTGTGTGTAATAAACCGGGTAAAAATATTAAAAGAGGAAAAATATGTGCTTGAAATTTTCGTTTTCTAATAAAAAAAGTGCGTTGAAAAAAAGGAAAAATATATATACATAGTATTGGGTGTATATTTGAGTGTAACGATTATATGAACAATAGTGTACGAACTTTTTGGTGGCAAGGAAGTTAATTATGTATGACCGCGTGTGATGGATACTTTTTCGGGTGGAAAGAAGGTGCAACGTACGCTTACAATTTGTATACAATTTTAAAGGTGCGGAAGAGTCGGCGAGTGCGGGGAGCGTCTTATACACGGGGAACTCGTATACACGCTGCTCGTAACAACGGAATAAAATGAATACTCTTGAAAATTCTAAAGACATTCGACGGAAATAAAAAAAAAGCAAGAGAGGCAGAGTGACGGTGACGATTATGATAAATAATTACTCTACTCGAATATATTTCACATTGAACGCTGCCATTGGAGCTATACCAAAGTATATTCTAAACTACGGTTAAATAAACAATAAAAATAGTAGATTAATAAAAAAGGACTTCGTCGATAGAGCAGTGGAGCGCTTCTCGTCGAATATAACACACACACATATAATGCGAAGATTTAATACATACACGACACGCAGAATAATTATCGCCTTCGGACTTACCGCGGCAGGCTTTCATTCGCCGACGTAAGAAACGACCTTTTTGTTTTTTTCTAATTTTCAAAGATAGATACCGACCCGACAACACGTAGACAACAAAGTAACACTTTTGTAAGTCGACCACGCGCGCGAAGAACTTCCCAACGTGCTGATCATTTCTCGACGAGACATAACAGCATAAATAATATATCTTTAAAGAAAAAAAAAGAAAAAGAAAGATTGAAAAGGTTGTACATAACGAAACGCAGTGTCTCATTTCTTTTTTTTTTCAATGCTTATTGAATAAATTGTCGTGTAAGTTTTAGTAATTACGTTGAAGACAACGACAGCGAAAACAGCGTAGATAGTACGTGTGTGTAACCGAAGTATTATTACAAGCAGTATTACGGAAATATTTTTTATTCGATGTTGTATGCATACGCGCACGCAAATTTTTTTCTGCTGAGATTCATAAGGCTTATTTCGAGCCTCACCTAGAGATAAAAATGCACCAGCAAATTTCATTTATATTTTATTTCATTTATTTATTTATAAAATTTTTCCCTTTTTTTTAAAAGATGATTCATTAAAAACGTACAGATTTTATACGAGCGATCATTTGCACGTTTAAAAAAAAAAAAAAAAAAGAGGCCAAAAGCGCGCTATATAAACACGTAACTGTGTCAGACCTATTGTCCTCTGAGCCTACCCACCAACTCGCACGTTCGTATACGCGCGTTTTATATTTAATATGCCACTCTGAATTGAGCATCTCGTTGAAGCTTCTTTCTCCACGGTCTCCACTTTCGAGACGCCTCACTTTCCTCCTTTTGTCGCGCGACCGACCGACGAACATTTTTTTCTCCTCTAATTTGTTAAATCCTTCACAGCCCGACCTCGTGGCTCAGATATTATCTGAATAGATTTAAACGCGCGAAAAAAATACGTTGCGGGAATTCTCGAACGCACTATAATTGCAAAATCACAATGCTCTACGACATTGCCGAGCACACGGCAAGGGTGAAACAGTAAGTGTCGGCAGAAAGTTGAAATCCAGCAAGGGGAGAAAAAAGGCGACAAGCGCGCGCGCAAGGCCCGTGCGCAGGACAATAAAACTTGAAATGAGCCAGATAAGCCTTGCAACAATACGTAATACCCAATTAAAAGAAAGCGCAAACGAAAGAAGAAAAAAAGCGTTGGCAACTCTGGGAGGAATCGGGCTCTGGATATAGTGCATAAAGAGAGAAAATAATGGTAGGGCTTTTAAAACTCCACTCGTGCTGAAAATCCGCAGAGTCGTAGAGTAGTAGTGTAAGATCGATATGCCGCGCCGCAGAGACGCGAAAAGCCGGCTTTTCCAGCCTTTCATTCGCGCAGTGCGTGCAGCAGCCTCCTCCTCCTCCTCCTCCTCCTCCTCCTCGCTCCACTCTTGTTTTTCTTTTACTTCTTTTTTATTTTTGCGCGAAATTCCGCGGGGTTTAATGGTAAATTTTTTGCTTTCTTTGTTTGCTCATACACTCATAATCCATTTGCATTCTGCGTATTTAATCCAGTCAACATTTAATCCAGTCAACAGAAAATTTAGGGGAACGTAATATCCTATATTTTTTATAGTTAATCTAACGAAAAAATTTAGTTAGGCTCTATTAATCGATTAAATAACTAGACGTTAAACGTATACCCGAACGAAACTAAAGAAAAAATAGAATAAAAAACCAAGTAACCAATGAAGCTAATCTCAATACATGCGCCATAATGATAATTCTTTAATCAGAAAATAAATGTTTAATTTTCACCGATCGATGAAATATAAATACAGCTGCCAAGGCCTTGCGGCCGTATAAAAATCCATCAATCCGTCACGAACCGCGAACTTTCTAAGAAAATGGCACAGAATAATATTTGAACATTAAAAATACGTATAAGGACGATCAGTTGTTTCTTTCTCTTTTTGTAGCTTTTCTAGTACACGAGAAGAAAGAAAATTCACAATGACGAGAAAAAAGACGCAGCAAATAAAAAAAAGTGAAGCAACATTATGTAACTCGTAGGCGTATGAAAAAAGTATAATTCTATAAATAAAAAGAAAAAACAAATATATAAATAAAAAAAATAAACAAATAGATAAACGTACATTCGTGTATCGAGCGACTAATATTTTATTACACGATACGATTGTGCAAAAAAATTGTAATCTCACAATTCGTTTTGACATAGGCTCGAGGTAATAAAAAACACGACCAAAGCAAAAGCGCAAATTAATATTACGAAAGAGTAGGAGAAAATAAAAGAGATACAGATTGTCCTTTCCAAGAACTAAGAAAACATACTAAGAGAGTTAGAAGTGCGTTTGTAATAATAAACAATAAGTTGATTCTCCATAAGCAATGCTGTCGAGTTACGGAAAGGGATGCGCGTTCTATGAATACGAGTATATCGGTGAAGCTTTCGTTGTTGATTTTAGCGAAGAGACGCGCGTATGTGTGCGTAACGTTTTACGTGCTTGCGTATATTTAATCGAATAAGTATGTAGCGCGATATAAGATTTTTTCTTCATGCTAGCTGGTATAGCATGCACTTGCAGAGCAATTTATAATACAAATATGATCCGACGACTGATGCACTGATGAAAATGCCACTTTTCGCATCTTTTCAAGACGATGTTCTATACATATTAGGTACATACACGTAGATATATTATATACGAGCGAGCTTTTGTTGAAGCTTTTTGCAGATCAGATACTTTTATCGCCGTCGAACTACGACAAGTGAATTATCGTAAAGTAAAGAAGTTTGATATTCGTAATAGTTTACAATTTATATATACAGTTACATTTATGCGATGTTTAATAAAAAGAAAGCGAAGTGCATTTCCAGCAGTGTATGCTTTTACGTCCGCGAGAGAGAAAGAGAGAATGCAAAAATAAGAGTAAACGTCGACTTTTTAGATACTTTTTACGTACTTTGGTATGAATATCATTTTTTCGCCGGATAGTGTCGAACTACACTTTGCCGTATCGACGCTTTTTGTCATCGATTATTACAGTTTATATATGCATATAAACTTTAACCTCCGATTTTACTACTACCTATGCACGCGGCCACATAGCCACACATATATATATATATAGTCGCGAATTCCCTTGCGTTGCTCCACGTCCCCTAAACCTACTTTATTTTTTCCTTGCGCCACGCGTATTCCTTCCGTAATGTTTCAAGTGGGTCGAAAGCTATTTGTTTGACGCGCAATAAGTTGTTTAGCTGCGAAAAATAAATATCGATACACACACGCGCCCTTTCTGTATATATCGGAAAATGGATTCCATCGACAATTTTATCTCCGTTTTTTCTCAGTATCATAGTTCCTTTATTATATATATTATAATGTCCATACGACGAAAATTGCATTGTTACTATCGTATACTTTTATGTTTGAGAAACCACGTCAATAAAAAAATATTTGAGCGTTGAAATATGCTGTTTGTAATCGAAGCTTCTTTTCTGTATCAGAGAAAAAGAAGAGCTAACCTAGTGCGGCAAAAGGTACTTATATCGTAATAAGCAATTTTTGCGCAGAACAAAAGAGAGCAAATAAAGTGAAAGCGTATATAGTTAATCTGACATAAGTATCTTATCCTTTTTTCCGTCAGGACACTATAAATTTATAAATATTATACATACATAAAAATTATAATAAATATTGACAAAACGGGATAAACTATCAGAGTAAGCTACTGTAATTAATGTAAGTAGTAAGTAATCATTTACATTGTTAACCGAACCTAGAGACCATTCCAAGCGACTTGTCAATGTGGTGTTTATGAAAAAACGAATCCTCGATTATGGGAGTAATACAATTTTTTCAATCAAATCAATTCAAGAAAATCTTATATTATTTAATTACATTCTTTGTGCTCCTTCACCTAATCCTAAAAATTACTTTTCTTTCCATGTCCTTACTACACCATAAGTTTTGTTTTTTTCAATAATATATCGGATTGGTTCCATATAAAAAAGCATCTATTGATATAATAGTGTTTGCATAGGTGTATATTACATTCGTACATATATACGCATACGCTATATTGAAATCATATAGTTACATTACATCATTATAATAATTTTCATATAATTTTTATATAAAATAAAAATTTCTGATTTTCTTTTGGTACATTTTCATTTAACGCATATTATGTGTACAATCTGTCCCTGTATTCAGTACAACTTTTTACAAAAATGTCATGGAGCAAAACTTTTGTACAATTCACTTAATAAATTGTCTTAAAGCTACCTCGACCACTGTGAGATATATAAACATTGCACTGCTTCGTAAGAAAAGAAACACGTAGCGGTTCCAGCTCAGTTAAGTTGAGAATTGAATATTTATTATTTTCTTTTATTAGATATTTTTTTACGTGTAATTTCTTCTACTTTTTGCAGAAAATTTCATGGATTAAAGTGAAAAATTGATATCAACTTCTGTTCTGCATATTACTTTTCTTACGCACGATAAATATATTATATTTTCTTTTATATTTGTTTTCTTTTTATTAGACTACAATTAAAGGAGATGGAAAATACTGTGAAACTTGTATTGTCGAGCATTTCACACATGGATATCATGATAAAAATGGAATTACTACGTAACATGATATAGCAACAGTCATGAACATCGAAATACTGAAAACTACAGGAAGATGTGTTATTGGCACAAAGATTGGAATGCTCGGCAGTGCACAAGAAGGTTCAATAAATAAACTGAAAGTATAATATAAATGAAAATTCAGTTGTTCATTAATTTATCATAGTTGAGCAAGCTTTAGTCTTGTTGTATGAGATAGGTCGAAGCTCAAAAATGTACCCGATAACTGAGGATATGATCCTTAATTTGATAAAGAATGGTAACTTTGACTATAACAAGGAAGATTTACATCATTATTATCTCATTTTACGATCATGAAAATGAGTTATATTATTCAACAAGACTTTTTTTAACCATTCCTTAATAATTTAGCTAAAAGAATGGTTCAGCACATAAAGCGCGTAATTTTTTCATTCTCTAATTTTTTTTTTACGGAGCAAGAATTATGTACACATCCAAACATTATAGATATATCGAAATATCTATAATCTTGCCCAATAATAACTCACGCGCGTACGCCTTCACATCGCATTTATAATCAGCCTTGACTTTTCTTTTAGGACAATATTGTAAGGATGCAATGTACATACGTGGATATATATCGAAGGGTAGATATATGTAGACTTTATATTTTTCGAAAACGAATTAAATGTCTCACTCCGTTAAATGATTCAAATGCACTTTATAATGCAATTTTTACATAGAAAATCCAAGTTATCACATCGACTTAAGATTACAATTGAACTAGCGCCATGAAAAAATTCTGGAAAATATATATCAAACTTGAAAACTGTTCATACTTATCGTTACTTTTGGCTTTTTCATTCAATATAAGTATATTTTACGATACTCAATTTACTGTGCATCAATATATTAAGTATTAAAATTTTTTTCGTGAAAAAATAGATTCTAAGTGTCATTCACTCATTTTATAAAAAATAAATACATCGTTTCGACAATAGATTACGTCAATATGTACAAATTCTAAAAATATAAGCAAACAATGTATACATTCAGTTAAGCTAAGAACCCAAAAAATTCGTTCATCTAAATGTTTGGCTATTCGATCCTTTGCATTTATGGAATACAATGTATTTTCTCTTTATTACGTAATATAATACTTTTATCTATATCCCCAGCCTTAAATTAGCCCAACGCGTGCCGAAAGCTTTTCTGTGTATATTATAGTGCATTTATTTAATAGAATATTACGCATTGGACATCTCCCACATACGGAATTTCTATAAAGTAGAATTATAATTCAATTCAAAAAGCTTGACCAATGCGCTTTCTTGAATAGTTTGTTACCTCACTTCTTTCTAAGAGTAACAGAAACTGCATGATAAAACTCATTGAAAATACTGACTGTCTTATTCAATTCTCTAAGTATGCACAAAAAATTACAATGTTTTGTAGTATATCTCCTCTGTTGAAGAACGTTCTTTGGAACAAGTGTCAAATAATGTTCTTCAATTTTTTTACAGAATGATGACTGGAATAAGATTCTATTAGTCATCACAGACACCGAGGCATCTTTATTCATGTACATTATAACCATGACTATCCATCTTAATCGCTTTTATCATTGATGCTGGTATAAAAGACACTGGTATCATGAGCTCTACCAATGCTTTTAAACCGTATCCTTCTTGTAAGATAGTCACTTTGAACATGAGTCCAGGGTAAACTATTCTTGAGGCGAATAAGTGCCTTGGTAGGCATTCGTCAGACTTGTACGTATTGGTCATCGTCAGTATCTCCGCCAGCACGATGTATCTTCTCGTAGTCCGGATCGTCGCGACTTTTATAATTGCTAACTCGTTCGTACGGTGGCTCCTCTTCGGTTGGTTTGCTATCAAGGCTCATGTATTTAACACTTTCGTAATTGGGATCATTGCCGGTGTTTCCCACACTCTCGTAGTTGGGGTCAGCGTCACTGTCGACGCCACAACCGCGACCACCTACCGATGCATAATTGGGCTCGTGAGGCATGCTCTCATAATTTGGTTCCGAGTCTGTATCAAAGTCCTCGGTAACGCTAGGTGGCCTTTTACGCAAACGGACTTTTTCATAGCCTGGGTCCTCGCTGCTCGCATTGCTTACCTATTAAATAAATCAAAAGCGTTTTAAGAACAAGCTAATTTGATGATTTAATTTTTAAATTATGTGTGTACTAACCTGACGATGTTTAAAAGGCATCGCATAAATAGGCAACGCGTCACCACCATTCCTCGGCGGTGGGCTAGCGCCAGTCGAAGTAGACGGTCTAAGAGTCTCGTAAGTTGCATCCCCAGTGGGAGCGCTCATACGTTTGCCTAGTACCGTTTTATCGGTCGCAACGGACTCGTAACCGTGATCTAAATCGAATTCTTCATCGAATGTTTGGCCGTTGATTCTTAACTGGTGCTGCTCGTTAACTATCAATGCTACTACATCTGATTCACGTTTGAGAACTTCAGCAGAATCGTGACTCGACCATGAAGCTCGATTTACTTCGATTAAGCTGTGCTTTCTGCGTGGATCCTGTACCGGAGCCACTCCACTTGTACTTGCTGCTGAATTCAATTCGTCCTCAACGCTATCTCTCTTTTTCTTCATTACTTTAGCATACATGTCCTCTAAAGATTTGCCGAGGTTTGATGCAACGCTACCTATTATTTATAATTTACTAAAGTTACAAAAAATACATTCTTAGTATTTTAGTACTCCATTTCTTTATATGCAAAACATTGATGATTACTTCATTTATCTACATGTCGAAAGTAATACCGTTAAAAAAATTTAAATAATTATATACCTCGATTATCGGTTTTGTTGCGTTTATCGACTACTGCATACATATCCATAGGATTTTCAGGAGGCGGTGGCAATGGTGAATTAGCCTGACGTTTTTCAGGCTTAGGTGAACTAGGATTAGCCACAGAACTGGTCGCACTTGATGAAGAAGCTGGGTTGAAAATGATTATAATGATAAAACTAAATATAACGATCAAAACAAAATAAAGACAGAGAAGAATGAAATGCAGATGCGAAGATAAGATTACGACAACGAAAATTAATTAGTAAGAGTTTAAGTGATTAAACAGCAGCAAAATAATATAATATTGTAAGTGAATTGATGACACAGTCTCAATATGTAACGTAAGTTTTATTATTAACAATGAACAATTATAAAAATGTATAGATGTGTATAGCCTGTACAGATCTCAGGTAATAGAAGCTTTGATTATATAAGAAAATATCAATATCACAATTCGCGAATCACTTGATAGAAGAGAAATATTGAACATTTATTGATGAAATTTGTTACCTTGTCTCGAATGTGCATGAGCTACATGCCTAAGACTATCCACACTTGGCGGCTGCGGTGCTAACGCATAATTTTCTTCGGCTCGTGATGGACCGGGCATATGTATTATTGCTTGTTCAGTTTGCACCGGCCTGTTAACTTCTATAGCCATCGGTTGAATTTGAGCGTATGTTTCACTACCGCTCGTGTAGATTTTATCTTGTTCATCAATAGCAGCATACATTTCATCTGAAAAAATGCAATAATCATTAACAAAAATCTCTTGATTTTGTCAGGTTTAAATTTAAATTAACTTACCAGAATCGTCTGACACCGTAGCGTAATGGGGGTCTGTAATATTACGATTTGCTTCTCTTTGCTGTTGAGCGCTTTTTGTTTGTGCTATTATATTTGCTAATGGTTCTCTTACACTAATACTTGTATATCCCTCTGAAAAAGAACATACGAAAAACACGTACAATTAATTGACCACATTCTACTGTGGTGATAAAGTATAAGTATGATTGGAAATTCGGACTTACTTGAGTCTTGAGAATCGCCGCTGAAATGCTGTTGTGGACTGTTGTTTTGAGATTGAGGTGGTTGTGGAAGAGGCATTAAAATTGGTGGAGTCATATAAGGTAAATCTTGATTGGCCTGTATGCCACCCGAAATGGCAGAAGCAGCTGGAATGTCAACAGGTTGGTCAAGAAGAGAATTGTGCGAAGATGACCTGCGACTTCTTGGGGGAGCAATAGGTAAATTTCCAGCTGTCGATGTTGATGGAGCTACTAAGTCAACAATGCGCATGCTGTTGTTTCTGTATTTAAATTAGAAAATTATGAACAATGTATTTTAGATAATCATTTTTAAAAAAAGCGTTAATATTTTTTACTTATTGTGTTGGACAGTTTCAGTCTTTGGAACATTTTGAACTTGAGCATATGGATGTTCTTCTAAAATAACAAACAAAAATTTAGTATATCACGAAGTAATATGAAATATAATTTAATTTTGACTTATTAAAACTTACCACTGCTGGTCTGTGGAGTTTGCAGTCTGGCATATAAACTGGCAGTTTCATCCTGAGAACTCTGTTGGGACAAGCTCTGCTTGTCTCTTATTTCCCGTTTGTTTCCATCTGCAATTAATGTAATGATTCATGAAAAATATTCTAGTGAGATTATATAGTTTCAATTTATTAAATAATTTTACTTTTATCTTGGACAGTTGCATAAAGTTCTGATGGATCTCCACTTATGTTTTCAGTTGCTTCATAAATTGCATCCCTCAGTTCTGGATCAGTTTCACATTCTACATTTTTATCTTTTGGAATATCTGGTAAACTTCTATTTGCTGTATTACTCCTATTAAAAAAAAATATTTAAAAATTACTAAATTAAATATAATACAAGCAAATTATTTTATAAAATTATATTACTGTTAGGCTACCTTTTAACTACAGGAATTACAGTTTTGAATAAAGTGAATAAACACATAATTTTTATTACTTATTATTATTTAATATCAATGATTAATTTATTGACCATCATGTTATTATAATATATTATTAAACAAATGTTTTTAATAAATAAACAAAACAAAAAATTATGTGATCTGGAATGGAAAATTAAAAACTACTATCTAGTGTTATGCAAATTAGTACAATATAAAAAGTTCATAAGATAAAAAGCCTATATAAATTAAAGCATCCACATCCGCTATGGTGAAACAAGCTGCAAAGAAATAATGTACAAGAATTCCTTTAACATCAATCTAAATTAAAATTTTCTATATTTTAGGAATAAAAAATTTTATTTTTTAATACCATGCATAAATATTTAAAGCACAATATGTAAGTTATCATCACCATATTTCAAAATAAAATAATAAACTATTTTATCAAATTTTGAAACTTAGTGAGTTTTAAGTTAACTAATAATCATGAAATAAATCCACATGCAGCCATGAGTCTGGTTTGATTGAAAAACCTTTTTCCACTTCCGTCAACTATATCTTGTGAAATAGTTTGTACTGCTTCAGATGAAGTTGATATCCTGGTAAATCCATCATTGTCAGGATGTGTAATTTTTACCATACCCGCTATTCCAATAAACTCACTCCTGTCATAGTAGGGTCTATTTTATAAATGACGAGAAAAAACAAAAATATAATTCAGAAACTTAAAGTAACAATAAAAACTCTTTAAATAAATCTACACACGATTTCATATCAAATAATGATTAAACATCGAAGCAATTTCAAGATTTAAATCCTGCATGTTCTATTGAATGTAAAATGTAAATAGCCATTGCTACATGCTCTTGGTATCATAGAGAATCCAAAATCCCACTAGCTTATGAAAATGTGGATCACATTCAACATGTGTGTAGTAATAACGATATAAAATAAACTCACTTGTTATTATTTCGCCGGCAGCTACATATGCAGGCAACAATAAGGCCAACAAATGAAACAAGTGCTCCAACAGAGATGACCCAATAGTACCATACATCTTCGTTAAATAATAAATTTACCATGTTCTTGGATCAGAAAAAAAATTTGGCCTCTATGAAGCTTTTTAACTGTAACTGCTGTCACTTCCACTCAACTCAAGTCATTTTCACTTGGTCTTCAAAATTTCTATAGATTTTAAGAGGAATTTTTTTTTAAATTCTCCTACAATTGCATTTGTATAAGGCTGTGAATAATTCATTGATGGGTTTGCATTAAAAAAAAAGTTTGCAATTGGATATTGACGCCCATATTTTGCAAAAAAAATTGCAAAAAACTGGATACTTGAATCTTGATGTGGACAGCAAATCACACTAGTTTTTGATTCTGAAATCCTGTAGACGCTTATTTTTGACAATCGAATTCATTTCAAACATTTTGGGACACTTGTCTTTTTCACTGCACAGTTCGAACATGTCAACATACCAGAGAAGCCTAGAATCGCGCAAAACGTAACCTCAATTGATGAATCATACGCCTAGTTATTTGTGGGAGAAGCGTAGTCTGACGGAATCGCCCCCTCGATTCTAAAATATATATATATGCTCTCTAGATAGTTTGAACTTACGCGATGAAATCAACATTACATGACGTATTCTCATGCGATAACCATAATCAAATTCTTCGCATTTCAATCATATTTTAGAGTACTAGTGTAGTACATTATACCTTAGTGATGAAGAAAACGTAATTTTTATGTTGTATAAATATAAGACATGACAATTGGTAAGGAAAGTCACATCTGAATAGAATGTGCTAATTTTTAAAATTTTAACAATAATTGCATCTAAATATAAAAATATGTATTAAAATTATTTTGAAAAGACTTCATCGAACATATTCAGTAGTATTCTTTTACTAATTTGAACAAATTATGAAAAAATTATATAGGATGAAAAATCTTAGCGGAAAATTAACGAAAATTGAAAAAATTATAGTAAAACTGCACATGATTATCAAAGATATAGGTAAACTCATTATTAACTCTGCGTACAATTTAGTTTTCGTTAATATATTCACACCCAGCGTAGCGCGCGTTTATAATTCAATCTTTATAGAAATGAATAAATTGAATCACGCGTAATTTTCTTTCCAATTAAAATATAATTATATACAATCGCGAACATTATAAGAAATAAACAATAGCGGTAAACGCATCTGAAAGATCAGTCGATAACATAAATCTACATTTGGTGTGGGGTGAAACTATATATATATATACCGATAGTAATAATTATTTTTTAAATAACCGTAAATGTTATTAACTATTCCTAAGTGTATTTTTTTTAACTCAGTCTTAGAGTACTTAATATATTACGACATTACATGATTATTGAAAAAATATTCCATCCCCATCCGTACAGTTCTTTCACGAGCATTCTTGGGAGGTCGTTGACATATTATTAATAGTCATTTGGCAAATAACTTTTTCGAGCGTACCTATATTATTACGCTGATCTTTCAGATCATATACTTTTGAACAAAAATGAGAATTAATATTTATTTTTTAATGAATGTAGCAATATAATGATAACAGTTGAATTGACAAGTTCGTAGGCTAACATAGTAAAACACATCTTTTGGTCAAAATCAAATCGTTTATTCAATATAGTTACCTTCAAAAGTAAAATACAACAAATATAACATTCATATAATTTTCCGATACCATTTTTATAGTATAATTTCTCTTTAGTCTCAAAATAATTGATGTTGAATTTTTTCTAGCAAGCATTCTTTTAAGATCTGCAAACAAGAAAAAGTCACTAGGGGCCAGATTTGGAGAATAAGGTGAATAGGGAAGTAATAATGCAATCATACAACTTTGCCATCGTTTTTATTGAATTGTGATACGGTGCATTATGTTGATGAAACACTTTTTAAATGAAGCTTTTTTTTATGATTTCATCATTTAAACGCTCCAATAATGCTATATGTAATACTGTTGATATAGCTCCTATTAAGGTAATCGATGAATATATAATAGCCATGCACATCTCAGAATACTGATGCTATAACCTTACTATAGTCGACTACTGCATCTTTCCACGCGTTGGCTTTGATTCTTCATCACATCTAGTCTACTTGTCTCATTTTCGATTGGACTCTGAAGTGTAGTGATGAATCCATGTTTCATCCGTTGTATTATATTGACGAAAAAATGCGTCTTTATTACGGTTAAATATTGCTAGCCACTACTCTGAATCTTTACAAAGTTGCCCACACAACACAAAATATTTCATAGAAAGATTCAACGAAATATTTCCGAACAACCTTGCAAAAACACTGCAGAAAAATTTTAGAAAAAAACTAAAAATGTTTCAATGACATCTTTTATTTAATATTTCCCAAATATTGCAAAAACATTACACCGAAATGTTTCTTGAAGGCTTTGAAAACATTTTATCGAAATTTTTATCCAACTTTGCAGAAATATTGTGAACTATATTCCAAAAGTAAATCTGTAAATGCTTCCTTCACCAAAAATTTAAAACAAAAACTTCAGAAACCTTTCACAAACCTTGCAATAATATTTCGATAATGATTTTCAATAAATATATTGGCAATGTTTCCGAAAAGGTTTCACGAAACTGTGGCAAAACATTTCAGAGCGGATGTGTGCAATTTTACCGTGTAATGTTTTTAGGAAATTCGTACAACCTAATGATAAACGTTTATTAAAATATTTTAGTGATTTTATAGAAATATTTCAGCAAATTGTTCCAGAAACTTTTTTCATGGTATTGTTTCATATGATTTATTATATTCGTTAAAAAAAGAAAACCCTTTGCCCAAACAAATAGTTTGCTATGAAAGAAACCTGTGAAGAGTATCGCTTCAATTCTATCAACTCAAAATATTTTTTCATTCATATATGTTATCTACTTTTTATATAAATTACAGAAACATTTATTTCACGTTATCTTGCATTTGTTCAATAACTTTTTGATTTTCTGTATTTCATGCATAGATCGGTTTCCTGATTTTAAGTTTTTCCATCCCTGATAACTAGTTTTATCTTTCTTAATTAAATAATACGATAATAATAACGTCCGGTGCGTGCATCATCTTCGACGTTCATTTCGCCTCATGTAAATTTAGCAAACCACTTTTCAACGGTTGATTTTCCTAGTCCAGAATGTTTATCAAGCGAAGTCTTAGCTTTAACAGTATTTTTTCCAATAAAAAGTAATGTTTTATTGATACACAAAAATTTTTTTTATCCATCTTTTTGAAAATAACAAAAGCTGCATCACTGCTATATCTCACGACTCACCTACTCAACAGCTGGAAAATGTATACGGATATTTTTTAAGATTAGTACAAATAAAAAATTATAGTAGTAGTAGCTGTATTTTATTGGTTCAACCTTTAATTTACATTGTCATGATACAATAAAAAAAGTCGTATGGATTTAATTCTAGTGATGCTATTATATATTAGCCTACAGACTTTTCAGCCTAATTCATATTTAAATTTTTTATATGTTCAGTTAAAAATAAATAAAAAGCATGTCCAGGCAATAGGTAATTTGCTATGACATTAACTCTAGTAGAAAACCGACTGCGCCATCATAAGGAAGGTACCTCGTAGAATAATTGTATTATCATTTGGACACGCAAATATGATTTATTAATTTTTTATCGCCGATTTTCATGAAAAAATCTCACTTTTTTCATTAATTAATTAATAAAAAATAAACTAACAAAGCAATGTTAATGGTATCAATGGCAAATTTGTAGATAATTGAATTACGAAGAGAATGAGCCGTCGCTCGACCTCATCGGTTGATTAGCATCGAAGATAAAATGGAAAATCCGGCAAATTTATTATTTATTTAACAATTAAATATTTTCGTTAATTTTCAACGTACAGATCTCGGCTTTTGCAAAAAGATAGCAATGTTTATGTACTTTATGTTGGCAAAAAGAATGAACGCTGTAAGACAATTAGCTTCTGCGTATTTGCAGTTTCATTTATTTATTATGCTTAATTGTAAAATAGCCGCTATCGACTGAGGTACTCGGATTTTAATTTTTAAAAGGGATTAATAAACTACAGGTAAAATGCAACAAAACGTATATCTTCATTTTGCGGCTAAATGTTTTAAAGTGGGCGGAAAAAAGGACCAAACATCACTCTACACGGCCGAGCTACTGAAAATGGTGTAGTGGTGGGGGTAGCAACAGCGGAGGAGAAGCGCGTATATATATAGTAATACAAGCGTATATCACGCCGCGTATTAGATTTGTTTTTACGTTTTCGACAAGCAATAACGCTAGTTTAATACTTTTTTTTTATTGTTAAGTTGCAAATTAAGAGGAAATTGATTATTGACTCTGACTAAATGAATAATAACAAAATAATTGATAATATATGAATACATATATTATATATACATATATTTTTATTAAATACATGAATTTATTTATATGATAGTTACACAAAGTAGGCATTTTATTAATAACTAAAAATACAATTTATTTTACAATGCGCTTTTTACAGAAATTACAAAGTCTTGCATTAATTAATTAGCGTTAGTTAATTAGTTAATTAATTACAAAATTCTAGTTCTTTTTCTCGGTGGCTCTGAACAATCTATTTCTCCAATATTTTCGATATTATTAATATCTTCTGGTTCAACTATTTCATTATTATTATGAATTAAATTATCGTTGATAGTTGATTCATCGTCAGGCTCAGTTGCTTGAGTTATTGTCTCAAAGTTGAAACACGTATCGTCGGTACAATGACCACAAAGATGAGAGCATTTCAAACCACTTTTTTTACAAATACACAAGTTATCAACGCACCCCTTTTTACTACATTTACATGCAATTTGATCAAGTAATACTTGGGGTATAGGTGGGGTATTTTTGCCATCAATCGTTGCAGTGTTATGATCAGCGTTGTCATATATAAATTGCAAGTACGCATCAGCGATAATATCAATTTGCTCCGGGTCGTTTACAATAGAACTTTCAAATCGAACAGTTTCCGAATATGAAGCACACAGGCCGATATTATATAAACAATCGATGAGCCCCCTTGCCGAAAATTTTGCGTGTATCATACTAGACAAGCCTAATAAGATTAGCGAAGAAAACGACCGCGGCCGTACTGCAGTCATTAAAATATGAGCTGACGTACTAACTCTATTGTCCCATTTTTTCCAAGACCCGTTTTTCGGCTTTCGTTTGTGTGTCTTCATTACAATGTCAAGAAATAATTTTAACGTTTTAGGAATATCTTCTGTAACATTATGTAGAAAATTTGAAGGTGAATTGTACGTACTAGTATCAAATTTTAATGATCGGATGTCTTGTAATATTATATGAGCAGCCATTTCCACAATTCTTTGCTTTTCCTCTTGTTCATTCTTATTTCGACTTGAATACCAACTGTCTTCCAAGCATTTTCCTAAGGTTGTTTTTAAACAAATAAATCGATCGCTTCTCGTTGAGTAAATTACTATTTCATCTTCGAAATGATCTTTCAAAAGGTTCATAGACATCCAATTGAGCTATAACGTTGTCAATCGTTGATTTTTTTGTTACACGACTACATTTTTGCGTATTAAACATCTTGTTAGAGCAAAAAAAACAATATGAAAAAATATCAAAATTTCGTCCATCTCGTCTTCGTTTGCGATTTCGTTGATTTGCTTGTGTTGCCTGTTTTAGCGCTATTTTTATATTTGATTCTCTCGTATAAGTACGCTGACACGTCTTATGTACTTTAATTTCATCTAATTTTTCTAAATCTTCGTGTTTTTTATCCTTACGCTTCAAACTTGCTCGAATGAAATTTTGTGTACCTACTTTTTTTACAGTACACTGCGTGGATTCGGTCATAGGTTTATCGCAAAGCAAACAAACCTCATTATCTCCTTCCTTCTCTTCTTTTTTCTTTGATGGAGTACTTTCATCATCTTCGTTGGGAGAACTTTGACCATGACTACATCAGAAATATAATATTTAAAGAAAAAGCCATAACGTTATACACCTAAAGATGTATTTCCTAATGATAATTTAATTAGTTATATTTACCGAGACGTAGATGCGTCGGATGTATCCATTTCGTCATTAGAATCCATCGCAGTGCTAGTATGTATCACAATTTGTATAAAAAAAATAACTAACGCCACATTTTTCGTATCTGAAAGATAGGACGCACAAGAACAGTTCAAGCATCACCGAAATCTACGCAGTGACTGAGAAGGCCAAAATGACCGTTGATGGCTTTCTCTTTTCAAACACAGCTGCCGAAATGCGCCGACAGGGAGAGAAAGAGAGAGAGAGAGAGAGAGAGAGAGAACAGAAAAGAGAATGCCGAGGGGTCCCGAGTAGGCCCGAATAGTATAGCATTTCGGCACAGATGCTCCAAAATTCGAAGCATATAACACGAAAACAAAAATGTATATTATGTTACGAGCATCCATGTGTATATAAAAAATGATTTTGTTATTATTCATTTAGTCAGAGTCAATAATCAATTTCCTCTTAATTTGCAACTTAACAATAAAAAAAAAGTATTAAAATAGCGTTATTACTTGTCGAAAACGTAAAAACAAATCTAATACGCGGCGCGATATACGCTTGTATTACTATATATATATATAGACATACACACGCGTGCGCGCGATATTATGTCTATGACTATCGAAAGTATCGAAACGAAATAATATAACCTCAACTTTAATGCTCACTGACGAAAACACTCGCAGAAAAGTTCAAGTCATCCGTGATTCGTCATTTGGATTTAGTTATAAATCTTTTGGGGACGCGTAAGTTGTTTACCCGATTTCAATTGAAAAATGGATGATGTAGCTGTTATTCTACCAGAAAAGGTAATGTTGATAGCCATCATATGATTATACAGTAAGCAATTACGGTAATGTTGTGAAACATCGTAAAACAGAAATAAGTAAATTTGTTGGTTACATGACAAGTTGACAAGTAAACCAATCAAGAAATAAAAATCTTTAGCTTTTTTTAAATTTACTCTGTAATAGTTACTTTTCGCGTTGTTTTAAATATTTATAAAAGTTCAATCTATTATTTTTCAAATGTTTCTTTCTAGGAAATGTGTGAAATTGATACAAAACCAGTGGTGGGTCATGGCTCTAGTATTGGCTTAGATGAGTTGGATGCAGAAGATCTTTATACAAAATACAAAGTAATTTTTCAAATTTCGTATCTCTTTTTTTCTATATAAACAAATAAATAAATAAGATGACAATTTTATGTAGAAACTACAACGAATGCTAGAGTTCTTGGAAGTTCAAGAAGAATATATCAAAGACGAACAAAGGAATCTAAAAAAAGAATATTTACATGCTCAAGAGGAAGTAAAGCGTATACAAAGTGTACCACTGGTTATTGGTCAATTTTTAGAAGCAGTTGATCAGAATACTGGAATTGTAGGCTCAACAACAGGATCAAATTATTATGTTCGTATTTTGTCGACTATTGATCGTGAGTTGCTGAAACCTTCTGCCAGTGTCGCTCTTCACAAACACAGTAATGCTCTTGTAGATGTTTTACCACCAGAAGCTGATTCTAGCATTTCTATGCTTCAAGCAGGTAAAGTGTTCCTACAATCACATTATGAATGTTAATTTCCAAAAGAGGATTTTGTAATATACTTTTTTATTGGAATTTACAGATGAAAAGCCAGATATTTCATACAGTGACATTGGAGGTATGGATATGCAAAAACAAGAAATTAGAGAAGCAGTTGAATTACCTTTGACTCATTTTGAGCTTTACAAACAAATTGGGATTGACCCTCCTAGAGGTGTATTGATGTATGGTCCACCAGGATGTGGAAAAACTATGCTTGCGAAAGCTGTTGCAAGACATACCACTGGTAAATAATTTTAATAATTTCTTATAAATAAGCACTTTCATTTCATAAATATTTTAATTATAAAATAAATGATTTTATTAGCTGCTTTCATTCGTGTTGTGGGTTCTGAATTTGTGCAAAAGTATCTTGGAGAAGGTCCTAGAATGGTTCGTGATGTGTTCCGTCTAGCAAAAGAAAATTCTCCAGCCATTATTTTTGTTGATGAGATTGATGCTATAGCTACAAAACGTTTTGATGCCCAAACTGGAGCTGATCGTGAAGTGCAACGTATTCTACTGGAATTGTTGAATCAAATGGATGGTTTTGATCAGACTACCAATGTAAAAGTTATTATGGCAACTAACAGGTAGGAAATTAATATTTCAAATGCTTAGTTTGATTAATTAGTTTGATTAATAATTAATTTACTAATTTAAACAATCAACTGAATGAAATATATATATATATACATGTATATATGTATCTTTAGAGCTGACACTCTTGATCCTGCGCTGTTACGTCCAGGAAGATTAGATCGTAAAATTGAATTCCCATTGCCAGATCGTCGACAGAAACGACTTATTTTCTCGACGATCACTACTAAAATGAATTTGAGTGAAGAGGTTGATCTTGAGGATTACGTTGCTAGACCAGATCGAATCTCTGGTGCTGATATTAATGCTATTTGTCAAGAAGCTGGAATGCATGCTGTTCGCGAAAATCGTTACATTGTTCTTGCTAAAGACTTTGAAAAGGGTTACAAGAATAACATCAAGAAAGATGAATCTGAACATGAGTTTTATAAATAATTCATCGAGATTTATATTTGTAACTTTATGTGAAATACTAAAATATTTCTTTTTTTATTTTAATTGGAACTTATTTACAATTTATATTAAATATAGAAATAAAAAATTATTAAAACAATTTTATATACTGAGTATAATTTTCTTACTTTGCATATCTACCATTTTTTGCTTTCTTTCAATGAATATTATTTACTTCAGAAATTATTATTTTAACCGATTTAACTTTTCATAAATAACTTTCAAATTAAAATGGACGTGGTGGCAGAGGGTTCGCAAAACTGACAGCATGATTCATGTTTGTATACAACGGAAAAATAACCTGAAAATCGTAGGTTAAATTGAAACAAAATATATTGTGTGATCTTTATTTATTGGAGTATTTTAATTTATTTACTTCACTTTTCAAAAATATTAATATTATGGCAAGTACAGACATAAGTAATGATCTGCCACGAGTATTAATAACAAGTACAAAAATTGAAAAGGCCAAAGAAATAGCAACTAGTAGGTGCTAAAAATCAATTTTGTAATCAAGTCTATTTTGTGTGGAGAAAAATAGCTCTGTTTTATATTTTTTGCTTCAGATATGGGTGGTAAATATTTTACACAAGAAGCAGATGTAGATCACTATGTGTTAAATATTGACAATAAATATTACACAGCTCAAATAGCGCTGTGTACAACTCAAAATCTTTCTATAGATCCTGCAAATTATGAAGCATTAATATTTCACTATGACATAGAATCAGTAAGTTATTTTTTATTGTAAATAAGAAAAAATCTAATGTCAAAACATATTTTAGGAAAGTACTTTGAAAATGGTGGATGAACTATTAACACCAATACTTTCTCAGACAGACGCAGAAATACTATTGCTTATTTCCCATTCAATCTTAGATTCTATAGTCAAAGGCAAAGGTAAATTTAAAAATCGTTAATTGGATTATGAAATTTACAATTATAATAGTACAATTATTATTTTAGCAGTTGAATGGTGTGCTCAAAAAAAGTGTGAACTTATTGAATTAGATGCTAAAGAGATTATGGAGCTTGAAGAAGATCAAAGCAAATATGGAATAGAAAGGATCATAGAAGCTTTAGAAACACATATGTGGCCAAATATTAACATGAAAGGTGATCTATATCACACATTTTTGCAGATAATTAAAAATTACTAATGATGATCAATGTTAACTATTGGAATAACTTTTAGACTCTAGAAAAAATTATCAACAGCCACAGAGTGATGTAAATGATGTTGGCGAACAGTTGGAAAATGTTCAATTAAGCAGTGCACAGGGATTTGCTGACCGTCTGCAGATGGAAAGTGTTTTAGGTAACACAATATTTTATTATAAATTTATAAAATCAATGATTTTCATCAATTACTAAACACTTCATGTGAATAAAATAAAAAATTTTTATATATTTATGAAATATTTGCAGATGGTATCATGAATAATGATGAAGCAGATTTTGGTGAACTATTCGGTAAGTTAAGAGCAATGAAAGAACATGCAGCATCTATGCCTTCAAATCAAAGACGACTCGCAGCAGAACATTTAGTTACTGCATTTTGGAAAGCCATAGGTGGAGATCCTGCAGAAGTAGATGATATAGAATAGCTCTAGATAACATGTAACTGCATCCTATCAACAAAAGACAGAAGACATTCTATCACTAATCTTTAAAAATTTTAGATTATTTTATCATATTTTTAATCAATCAGACCATCTTATTAGAAATAATTATAAGCAAAAGGGTACTATTATAAACTTAAATTTAAGCAATGTTTTAATCAATGGTTTTGTAAGAGAAAAAATTTACTAAATAGCTATAAATGAAATCCATATCTTTCGTAATTTGTTTATATAATTTTTACCATGTGACTTGTATAAAAAAGTAATATTATATTTTTGTGTTTGTGATCTTATCAATTTTAAGTTAAATCGATTTTCTGTAAAGTTTAGAAAAACAACCGAAATATGTTATAGATAAAACATCTGAAAATCATTGTATATGTTAATGACCAAATTATATACGATTCAATATAAATTGAGTGAAATGACACTTTTGAAAGCCTTCATCTTTTCTTGCTCAGTATTGCCAACAGCAGTCTTGTAAAACTAAAATTTGATAAAATGCTATAACAAATATCTTTCAATCACAAATATTTTATTATAAAGACTTTATTTCGATAAGAAATTTATATATTTTTTTCAATTTATAAATAAATTGGTAATTGAAGTAGCATCATAAATGACACTTCGTTTTTTTCGCTTTTTACATTTTAAAGTTGCAATATAGCTACGTATCTAGCGTACAACTTCATGCTACAGAAGAAAGCAAAATGTCTGTCGCGACCAGGTCGCGTTGTATCTATCTTGTGTGTGTATCGTAGCGATGCAAAAGAGCAGTGGAAAGAGAGCTAGGTTACGGCAAAAATTTTAGAATTAAATCGTTAATACGTAATAAAGTACGTACTCAGTGCAACGGAAAATAATGCGGTCGGCTGTACAATCGAAATCTATTGCCACGAGTGTTCCATAGTAGCTTTACAAAATTTAACTCAGGTAATGTGGCAAATAAACATTTTGGAGGGAGAGAGGTCTTACCACAATAGTTTTCGATAAATAGTCGTGAAAACTGGTGTTTTCAGATAAATTAATATTTCCTAACATCTAGCTTCATTTTAATCAGACTTTTACGTTTTTACAGATTTTGAACAATTGATTATTACATCAATTTTAGATTTGTACAAACTCCACTCAATATAAACACAACATGGAAATTTTACATTCAGTGTCATGAGAATTAATATTGTAAATCTAAAGCAATAATTACTTCTGCTCTTTAGTATAAGTAGTTATTTTGATGTACAGACATTGTTAAGACTTTATAGATTATGACTAAGTTCAAAGATTTGCAATGAACTGTAATATTTTACAATCATAAAATTGCCAGCATACAGTGATATAGACATGGAAGGTATGTTTATTTGACTTATTTGAATATAAAATGTATCCTTTCACTATTTACAAAATAAGTATAATATGAGTCCATTTGGATTTATAATTTTATAATTATTAAGGTACTTGAGTTGTATCAAAAATTTTATTTTTGCATTTTCATGTAGTAGTACAATGCATTTAAGTTTTTTTTAAATATATCAGTAACAATATGAAAAAATGAATAACATCTAATAATGAACACAAATGAATGTACAGAGTCTAATTATGTAGTTGAGCCTGAGGGTTCCATCAAAATGGAAACGTTGGAAGAAAAGGAACCATTTGTAATAAAGCAGATCAAATTGGAAGATATAGAACCATTTGCAACACCAGATAGTTCAAAAGGGGAAACTAGCAATGATTCGACAAAGACTGAAAGCCCAAAAGTAGTGAAACCTGTACTCGGAAAACTTCAAGCTAAAAAAAGATTAATGGCATTTGCAAATAAGTTTAATACTATGCCAAAAATAAACAAACTAAAAGCTAAACCAGATAAAGCTAAAAGTAAGTTTTTTTCAAAGTGTGCGTAAGTGATCTAAATTTTTTGTAATAGTATAACAATTACATAATTCATTTTGATTTCTAGGACAAGAAAAAATTTTGGCTATTGAAGAAATTGTTAGAGAAGAGAATCAAAGTAGATTAGCTGCTCAAGGTATTAAAGTGTTATAATATATCCATTTAGTTTTTTTATAAAAGTTAAAAAGTACAATGATTATGTTTTAATTACAGAAGCAAGAGATATGAATATACGAAATGTTATGCATCAAAGGAGAGCTAGAGAAGCAAGTAGAGAAAGACGAAATGAAGAAAGATATTCCAGAAGATCATCGCACAGAAGAAGTGAGAGGTAAAATATAAATACATTTATTTTAGTTGACATTTATTTGGCATGACATTGCTAAATTACTTGTATTGACAAATAATTATTTGTCAATAATTAATATCTTTGTAGGGATAGAAGGGATAGAAGTCGTGATAGGAGATCCCGTAGTAGATCAAGGCAAAGATCTAGTCGAAAATCACCCAGAGAAGATGAACGTTACAGTAGCAGTAGACATAAAGAGAAAAAGGAGAAGAAAGATAAAAAAGAGAAGGATGATGACAAAAAAAGTGATTCTAAAACTAAACAAGAAGAGTCCAAAAATAGTAAAGAAGTATCTAAGTTATCAGAAAAAATTGAAAAAGGAGAAACCAAGAAAGATGATGGAAAAGATAAAAAAACTAATGATTCTAAACAAGAAACAAAAAAATCTGACTTTCATAAGATTGATAGTGAAAAATCAGAAAGTGAAGATAGAAAATCAGACTCAAAATTGGAAGAAACTATAAAACAAAATATTTCTAGATTAGAAATCTCCAAAGAAGCAAGTAATGATAAAAAGGATAAATCGAAACATAGTGATAAAAAAAAAGAAGCGTCGGAAGAATCTGGAAATATTACAGTTGAAAAATCTAATGAAATGAAAAAAGATAAAAAAGATAAGGAGCATAAACATGAAAAGATTGACAAAGATAACCAAATTGAAGTTAAAATTGAACTAGTAAAGTCCGATAAAAACAGTAAATCAGAACAGAAATCTGAATTAAGCAAGCAAGAAAGTGTTTCATCAGAGTTTGAGAAAAAAGATGATTCAAAATCCGAAAAATCTAAAAAAGACTTAAAATTAGAAACAAGCAAGAAAGAGGACAAAGTAGATAAATCTAAGAGAGAAGACACTAAAATTGAAGTAAATAAGCGTGAAGAATCAAGAAATGATGCTAAACGAGATGACAATTGGGATGAAGTAAAAGTTAAACGTGATGAAATAAAACGTTCAAATTCAAGAGAAGTGAAATTAGATAGACCTGAAATAAAAGAGACATCAAGGGACGAATCACGAATGAAAGTTCATAGAGAACGTGAAAGGGAAAAGGACAAATTAAGGGAAATAAGAGAAAAGGAACTATTGAAGTGTCATTCTTGGAAAGATTTCCATAGGTATGGTCTTGGCATTGAAGACGTGGGATATGTTAGACGAAATAGTAATAATGGAGACAAAATTGGTGAACCTAGGTTTGTAGATAATTTTGATAAATTTTTCATAATTGTAATTATTATCAATCATATCCAATTCATTTACTGTTATTTATTATTTAATTATTTAATATGTTAAACTAGTTTTTTATGAAAATTTTTTATTTTATAGATCTGCAGAGGAATATTTAGAGCATCATGAGCAGATGTTAATGCTGTCTAATTCGCGATTGCCAAGATTTGCCTTTATCGCAGAAGGTTTAAAAGGATCTAAAGAATATCCGCCAGAAATAATCAAGTCAACAGAAGCCGAACCACATATATTATATTGTGAAAATCCAGCACATCCATTACATTTTGATCGCGACCATGTCTTGAATGCTGTTTCGCCAGATAGACGAGAAAAAATGGAAGACATTTGTGGAGCTACACAGATAATGTAAGCATTGAATATTTTGTTAAATAATTTTTCAAAGTATAATTCCAAATACTATATTATTTTTTTATTTTTCCACACAAATACGTTGTTGCAAAAAATAAATAAGTAAATAAATTATATCTTTTGATATAATTCAGATTTTTACTAAATATCATATTTTAGGATAATCACATCAGAACGTGAAGAGGGCCACCATGAAAGATTTTGGTATAAGACAATGGACCCGTCAAAAATTATATCTGTTAGAACATCTGTTGACGTTCCGTCATTTCCAAGATCGAAATGGGATAGCGAAAATGAGACCAGTGATAACGATAATGTGTTTGAGACGTCACCTGATGATTTCGTTTTAACCAAAATACAAGATCACACCAAATCTAAAACTGAAAGAGGAAAGTCAGAGCCGACGCCAGAAATTAAATTGAAAGAAAAACCAGAAAAATATACAGAACCAGAGCGTAAACCGGAGCCAGAAACAGTAACGAAATTGCTACCAAAATCAGAAACTAAGGAATTGAAAAAGAATCCTGAAGATCTACGTAAGTAGTTTTCAAACTATTATTTTTAATTTTTTTCCAGTATGAATTATATATGTACTTAGGTTCACGTATTTACACTCATTTGGCTGATTATTTACAGAAGTTGAGGATCAGTCAGACAAATCGAAATACAAACACAAAATGAAGCATTCTCGCTCACCATCTCCAAGAAAAAGAGAGAAATCGCCATCTTATAAAAAGCATAAAGAAGATAAGACAAAACATGAAAAGCACCATAGTCACGAAAGTAAACATCATTACCACCATCATAAACACCATCATAAAGACAAAAAACATGCAGATAAGCCGAAAGAGCTATCGATAGAAAAAGAAACGACGAAGACCAAATCAATTAGTCCTGAGCAACATCAACAAGAAATCGGTGACGAGAAACTCGTTTCCGAGTACGAGGAATTCATAAAAATGGTCAGTAGCACAGAAACTGAGACAAAAACGACAGAAAATTTGACGGTCAAGTCGCCAGTGCCTACAATTGCTGCATTGTCGGCAAGTTCGCCATCGTCGTTTTACGAATTCAGTTTAGAGGCAAAATTGTCAAAGGAATCATCTGTTGCTAGATTGACTGAAATTGTTTTGCCGATTAGTAAGTTGAATATAGAAGTTCATAAATCTGACACTAGTGTGAAATTAGACAAGGTGGTAGAAAAGGAAAAATCTACGAAAAAAACTAAGGAATCTGAAAAAGTAGTTAAAGTGCGAACTCCTTCTCCTCAGGTAATGATTATTTTATTTTTAAACTAAATATATTATGACTTTTGTTGATAATAGTTGAAAATATTAGTTATTCTCGCGTACTTCTCTTGAGGAGTTAGATATCGATCGTGTCGTACGAATCAATTCTCGGAAGTACTGTATAACCGGCAAAACACGAAAGACATTCCATACTCAGCCCTAGTTGAGCTAAATATGTAATCCATTTGATGTATACATACAGACTCGTCACGTTGAACCATTCGAATCATTACTTTTATGATATATTTAAAAATAAATTTTTATTTAGAGTGATTTTCAAGTAGATAAAAATAATTCATTACATTCAAAGAATATCGTTGTTGAAAAACTTAATAGTTTGTTAAATAAATAATTCTCATATTACTTTGTGATTTTGTAACAAAAGTGCTTTTGGATAGTGGCTTATTATAAAAAAAGTGTTTCGTCTACTATGAACTCAGTTTGAAATACTTCCTTTCTATTTATTGTTTTTCTGTGACCTTTAATTTTTTTAACCTATAAACATTCAAATATTTTTGTTTACTGATTCATAGCGTGAATTATTGGATATATCTTTTTTTGACTATGTAGTTGAATTTGTTTATATAGTTGTGAAAAGATTCTTTGCTTAAAATTGTTACAACACATAACGAGATTCATTTACATCTTAACCTTTTTTTCGGATATTCAGATGTAAATCTCAATTTATATTACTATTTAGCAGTATGCTTAATGTACAACAACTGCAGAAGTATCTTGATTTCATAGATTTGTATTACTTCAAATATTATCTTTCCATATTTTGTGTATGGTTATATTCACATAAGTATTCAACACTGATTAATTTTTAAATGAACACTTAAATATTTTTAATAACTCTCATAGCAAGAAAACAAAATTAAATTATTCAAATTTCGTAATTTGTGTATTGTAAAACTAGTTAATTATTATTTTTCTATCTAAAGATTAATACCATATCATTTACAGCCTGAAGTATTGTCTGGAGAAATAGATAGTGACGTGTCCAACAGCGAATCCTCGGGTCAAGAAGTTGAAAAAGAAAAGGAAGTAGAACCTGATGAAGATGAAGAAAATAAGGATGATGAAGATGCAGAATCTAACTCTATTCCCAGCGATTGGGAAAATGTCAAGATCAAAGTTGAGAAGCTTACGGACGCTGAAGCTTCCGACACAACTGACGCTAGCCCTGCCAAAGTTAAAGTCAGTAAAAAGAAGCGAAAGCGTCGTGAGAGCTGGAGTAGCGAAACCAGTTCCTCGTCAAGTTCTGACTCTGAAGATGCAAAATCCAAGAAGCGAAAACGCAGAAGGAAGCGAGCTAGGAAAGAATCTACGAGTGAATCTGACAGCAGTGATAGTAGTTCTAGCGATACGTCGAGTTCAGAAGAAATACGCAAGAAAAAGAAAAGAAAAGCCAGCAAGAAAAAGAAAAGAAAACGAAAGCGAACGAAGAAGCTGAGTAAGAAAGTCAAGCGCAAACGCAAGAGGAAGGTCAGTACAGATTCGAGTAGCAGTGATTCTGACGATAAGCCACCACCAAAGAAACGCTCAAAGAATATCAAAAATAAAAAGAAAAAAAAGAATAAAACTGCCAAGCAGAACGCCGAAACTGGTTCGGAGAAAACAAAAAGCAAGCCGAGTGAAAATAAAAAGATTATCAAGATAAAAGAAGAGAAGAAATCTACGAGCAAGCAGACAGCTGTCGAACCCGAGGACAAAAAGTCTCAAAGTTCTGTCATGGAAAATAGAAATAAGCGCGTAAGCGAGTCTACAAACTCTGATTGGGAGAAGGAAAGTATACCAAGGCAAACCACAAAAGAACCCGCAGACGCTCCTAAGGTAGATGATTCAAAATCTAGCGATGTTAAAAAGACAGATAAGCAGAATGGTAATCAAAAAGAGACTAAAAAGAATTCAAAGGGTCAAGAAAAGGAGAAGGAAGTAATTAAAACGGTTCCTGAGGATAAGAAAGTGGAAGAATCAGAGGTGAAGAAGAGCAAAAAAGATAAAAAGAAAGAAGGTAATGAGCTTGAGAAAGATTGGGACAGAAATGAAAAGACGCCAGTTCAAGTCGATAAAGAAAAGGAAAAATTTTTACTCTTGGAAAATAAAAAGCCAGTGATAGAATGGACCGATACGGATTTTAATTCACTCGATGTATTCTCTATTCATCAGTTACCGCCACATCGTCTCGTAGACAAACGTATTACCGAAATTTATGCCAACGAGTGGGAAGTTGATAGCCAAGAAGCTTTGCCTAAACCTGTCAGTCCACCCGTTATACCTGAGGCTAAATCTAAAAAAGTTGAAAAGGTCGTATATGATCAGAATACAGACACTTACATACCCGTTGAAATTGAAAGTTCGAAAGAAAAAAAGAAGAAAGATAAGCGCTCTAGTACCTTGAGAATTTGGGAAGACGAGCAAGAAAATGCTGATAGGGAAGAATTGATGATGACTCTGGAGAAAAAACTTTCTACTGAACCCATACCCAAAGTTAAATCTAGCAAGGAACCTGAAGGTAAACCTCTTAAAGGATTTTAAAACAATTTTAACACTATTTAAACTAATATATTTTATTTGATTGTAGATATTAAAGTTAATGATAAATTAGTTGATGTAATTAACGACGACAAACCTAGGCGAAAGAATCGCTGGGATGTTGAAAGTCATACCGTAGGTTTTGAAAACGCGCCTCCCGTTAACTGGGAAGAAGAGACAGATATTTGGGTGACGAAATCGACTATGGTTGACAAATCAAACACAGTGTCCTTGACTAGTCCTTTGTTGGATGATGGAATCAAAGACGAGAATGTAGGAAACGATATTGTTGACTCGCCTGATACTTTGAGGAAGAAGATGGAAAAGATCGCCATGCTAGAAAGAGCACTGATCGATAAAGTCGTTGAAACTAATCCACCTGAGGTTTTGGATAATCTTGATATCCTAAAAACTTCAATGGGAGTTCAAGATACATTGGATTTAGAACCTCCCAATCCGAATGAAATAGTAAGTTCTTGAGTGTTTATTTATTTATTTTTTTTAAGTAAACGTAAAAACCTTGTATAAAGTTTATGATATGACTATAAACTGATATTTCAAATTTTTATTCTAGGCGGCGATGAAAGATCAAAAGCTATTGGTAGTAAAGGAAAAGTCCATTCAAGACATATCATTAAAGAGGAGCAAAATCGACAAATCTTTGGTCAGTAGTTGGGAAAGTGCAGTTTCGTCGATCAATGATGAATTTGGTATACCTGTTTTGGCCGAAATCGATTCGAAACTCGATGCATCAGATAGTTCTCATGGAAATATATTTCTTCAGTGTGAGAACCTATCGTTTGAACCTAATCTTATGAGCAAAGCTTCAGCAAAACCCATCGAAGCATCAGAAGAGAAATCCAAAGTGGTAATCAAACTGATACCAAAGCAAGTTATCACACCAACGAAAAAGTTTGATGATTTTGAAGAAGAGCCCAAACCTATTCAAGCTACCAAAACTGCAGATATACCAGCTAGTCATAGATCACCTCAATCTGGTGATAAGAAAAGAAGTCCAAGCCGTAAGGATGTTGGTAAGAGCAGCTCGAAAAATAATGATGGAAAAGATAAAGGTCGAAGAAGATCTCCACTAAATTCATGGGACTCGAGAGAGCAAATAAAGAATAGAAGATGTAGTCGGAGTAGGAGTAGAAGCAGAAGTCGTAGCCGGAGTAGAAGTCCAAAGAATAGAAGTCCTCGGAGAAGAAATGATCGGAAAGGGCATAAAAGAGATAAGAGAAGCCCTTACAGAGGTATGGAATTTTAAAATATTTTAATACCGATTTATTGTTCATACATCAATATGTGGTTTCTTTTCGCTTAATAGATTCGAAGAGAAAAATTGATCGCAGTAAGAGGACACCAGATAAAAGTAAAGATAAGTCCTACGATCCTATGGAAATTCTTCGAGAAAGAAACTACGATGGCGATAGAGGCCGTGATAAGTAAGTTTTATTGTCTTCTTACATAATTTTTATTTAATTAAAACTAGATAATTAGAGATTATAATTTTTAACTATAATTTAGATCTCGAGGGGAAGACGATACTTCAAAATCTCGTCGATACACAGAACATTCAGATGACTATAATTATGAAAATAAGCGATCTAGAGATGGTAGTTTAGACAGGGATTCCAAATGTCCTCGTACTAATGCCAGAAGTCGTATTAGGTATATTAAATTTTATGAAAATTCTGTTTGTACAGCGTAACGTGTACATGAAGAAATTGTAATTTTCTTTATATTCACAGAAGGGACAGAAGAAGTAGTCGGTCTCGATCTCCTATCTCGCCAGGTAGGAAGTCAAGAAAATCACCACCCCGTTGGCGTTCTCCTCCTCCTCGTTCGAAATATCGTTCGCGTTCGAGATCTTGGTCTCGGTCTAGATCATCAACGAGATCACGGACAAGATCTAGATCACGATCGAGAAGTAGATCAGGCTCAAGATCGAGATTTAGGTTACTGGATAAGTCTCGTCGTTCTAGGTAAATTGACAAAATATTAGTGGAAATATTTGACTGGAACTTTTTTCAGTTTATAATATCCTAAATTGTTTTTCAATATAGGTCATACTCACCAGGACGTACTCGTTTCGCGGACACCGATCGTTTCAAATATGACCATGAAAAGACTCGTTTAGACGAAGAAATCCATCGCCTTGGAGATGGAGTTAATCGTCCGCCTGGTCTGTTACCTCGACAAGTCGATTCACCAGTGGCAGCTCTCGTTACTCCTGTGCGGCCACGATCTCGCTTGGATACGATCATCCAATTAACCGGCGATGAACAACAAGAAAATCAAGTTCCTCAGGTAACCGGTGTTCCCGCTCCGCAGCTTTATAGTAGGTATCCAAATGATGGCGAGCAGGAGCCCGAGTTTAATACGTATTGTCAGGCTAGGAACTTGACGTATCCTAAAATCGCGGAAGAAACGTCAACGGACTCGCCGAAGAGATTGTCACTGGATGAAAGGTATGAATTCTATATAATTTATTGTTTGGTTGTAGCTATTATCGATAGAAAATTAATCTTATAGTTCTTATAATTTGCTTTTGTTATTAGGCTTGAATTGGAGCTTGGGATCAAAAAAGATTCGCCAGTGCCAGTACCTTATGGATCTCCTGTATTCATAGCAGGTGTTCCTGTATTTCCTAAAGGCCCGCCACCTTCAATTCATAGACATTTTCCTCCCAGACATCCTCCCCCTACAGTCTTGCAGGTAACATTTATTTATTACCATTTATGTTGTTTAATTCAATATTATTAACTCATGATTAACTCATTTTCATCTAACAAATATCCGTTGCAGGTTGGTAATGTGTTGCAAGTAGTCCCAAGCGAATATCCAGTACGACCGTCAGAGCCACCTCCCCAACTTCCATCGGTGATTCCTCCAGCCAACCAAATTGTTCGCGTAGGTGATGTACTTCAAGTAGTACCAACAACCGTAATCGACTGGGCTCCAGGTGTACAGCATTCTCCGGTAGCCGTGGTAACAACACCCATTCGTTTTGCACCACCTCCAATGGGTACTCCGACTTCATCACCAGCTATGGCATCGCCTTTACAACCCATTACTATCGGTCAATTGCCACCAATCGTCAAACCGATGCTGCCTATTATTACGTCACCGCAGATTGCTTCTAGTCCTGCTGTAGCGTTTCCTGCGCCTAAACCGCTACCACCGCCGCCACCGCCAGGTAATTTAGAGATTTTTTTCATCACAAAAGCTATCAGAATGTTTAAAATTTAGTCTATAAATGAAAATTAAATTGCTTAATGTATAAAGCTTTAATTACTAATCATTTATATTCAAAATTTTAGAACCTATTGTTCAACCGGTTTATAACTATGAGGCAATTATGGAAGCTCGACGAATTGAAAGAGAAGAGCGTAAGCGCCAAAAAGAACTAAAACGCAAGGAAAAAGAACGTAGGCGTTTAGATCGAACAAAAAGACGGACTGAAAGAATTTTGAACAAGAGTAAAGCAATTCCATTGACAAGTGCCACAATTAGCACTGTTTACAATAAACCTTCAGTTAACGCCGAATTGAATGCCATTATTGCTAGTGAAATGAGTAGGAGTATGGAACTGGAAGAATCGCAATTTTTAATGACTGGTGAAGAGTCAGAGGAAGCAGTTGGAACTTCTGTAAATACAACTGTTAATAATGATGAGGGAGATAATGACGAGGAAGAAGATGAACAGGACGAGGAACAGGAACAACAGCAGCCAGAAGAGAATGAAGAGGAAAATGAAGAAGTAGCTCCCACTGAAGAGAATGGTAGTACGACTGCCGTAGTCAAGCAAGACGACGTTAAGGTTACGAATATTCCTCCTCCACCAGCTAAAGGCATTCTCATTCTTCCAGGATTTATGTTAGTATCTTTCATCGTTTCGTGATAATTTTTATTTGTTTACGAAATGCACTAAATTGTCTTATATTTTTTATTTTAGAAATTTATCCAAGACTAATGGATTAATTAATGACTTGGATGACCTTTCAAATGAAAAAGACGAAACAAAACTAATTGACGACGGTTTAGGAAAAGATGATGACGGTAGATCGGTATCGACATCTCTAAAAGTATTTGAAAGAATGAGAAAAAGAAAAGCTGTAGTATTTGCGGACGGAATAAAACCTGGCGAAGGAACAAGTCCAAGCGGTGGAGAAGGTGATATAGCTTCGCCTCCTCCTCCTTCAGCGGCAAATCTACCACAAGATTTGACGTCGGATATTTCTAAGAAATTACGTGCTAAGAAATTACGAAAAAAACAAAAACACTCAAAACCTGTCAAAACGAAAAAGAAAATCAAGGTAAATTACACCATGCTATATTTTTAAATTAATAATCGTTCGATCTTCGTAAAATATGAAAAAAATCTCAATGAAATTTATCATATATTTTGAGTAGCGATCGAATAGAGAAACAGTTATGAACGCTACAATGACGAAAAAAAACTTTTCTGTCTTTACTTAATATAATTTTTCAATTTAATAGGTAAAAATTATTAAACTGAAAAAACCAAAAGTATCGCCTATCTCGTCGTTACTCGAGGATTCGGACGAAATGGACGATCGGTCGCCACCGCCACCGCCACCAGGATCACCACCACCACCACACCTGTGGCCAAGTTATCTGCAAACATACCAACCCAATGGCCCGACTATGACTTCCTCGACTACGCGGCCAGCGCCGACCGTAACTCCGGCACCAACATTGCCACCAGCTGAAGCGCCACCTACGCCACTGCCGCTCCTCGTGCCACCACCACCGCTCAACTACTCTATTCAGCCCAGCAGGGCTTAAACATAGAGACGATATTTCAATCGCGATAGATTTTTTCTTTTAATTAGTTAGTTATTATAAATAGCGATGAGCAAACAGAGCATAAATTAATTTTAACATGACAACGTTGAAATTTTCTAATTCGAGTTTGTACATAGCTCGCGGATTGCCACTATATAGTGGAGGCGATATTACTGCTATTTTTTTGGTTGCCTGATGTACAATTGGCATGATGTTTTTAGTGAAGAAAGTTACTAGCTCAATTGTTTTTAGATAGTTGGAGTTCGTGCGAGTTAGTCGTATTATTAGCTTTACTTTACGTCACGTCTTCGCTTGCTCGATGGGAGCTTTTTTTTTTATTTAACCGATAGCAAGAGATCGTAAAATGATTGTACTTGGATCACTATATGATCTCTCGTGGATAAATAATTGTTTTTGTAAATAGATACCGTTTTATAGAACGAGGACAATTATTCAAGACACTTTTAAATATCGTCGATCCTGCAAGCATAGCATAATAAAGCCAAGTAGTTGAACATAATGTATGATATATTCCTAGTTAAGCGAATGATTCTAAGCTGTGCGAGCTGAAAATATTTAAGGTGTCTTTAATAACAACGATTTCATACGTAAAATATAAATTTTGAATGATTCCTGTAATTTGTTGATTGAAATTGTTGATTCTTATATCGGTAATTAAATTCTGTGCTTTTGTGGTAAATAGATTTCTTGATAAAAAAAATACACCTGTAATTGCATTGCTTTATGATCATCGATATAAAGTGAAACGTTATTTTTATGCGAAAATGAAATAAATCTTGTAAATAGTAAGAAATAAAGTTACTGACTTTTCGTTTACGTATAATAATTTTTTTCGTAATTATAATTCTCTTATAACTATCTCAAGATACGATACGGAATTTTATACGTCTCATATTGCAAAAGAAATTTTTGCTCAAAAAACATAAAATATCGATGGAAACTGAATTGAGCTGTTCCGAAGTAGTGCGCATGTGTACAATAACACACAAGTAAAGTCACGGCGTATCAGAGTAAGATCCCATTTTAATAATCATAATCATACTCATAAGTAACAAACTCGATGGGAAAAACTTTTCCTACTGTGTAGGTGTTAAGTTGCCAACAGGCCATAGTAACTTGCTAAAGAATTTTTTCAAATAGAGTTGCGTCTTCTAAAAATTAGTTTTTTCACAATTGTGCTTTTCTTAATTTTATTAAAGTTATTTCAATCATTGTTTTACGTTTAAAAACAATTTACAAGACATTCAAAAAAAATATCAATCCTCGGCTTAATCATAATAAAGCTATCTAATTGTATACATCTCTCCGTATCTTCTGGTACACCGTGATTGACTATCATTATACTTGCTTTTAGATAAAGCCAGTGAAAACCTTACAGCTGTGATAAGTAATAAATCAGCTATTCGATAATATTAAAAAAACAAATTCGTATTGCATCTACTTATTTTTAACACTAGTCCGTCAGTTTTCAGCTCGTAAATAAAAAATAATAACAATAATAGAAGAATGAAGATTGCAGTACTGGGTGGAGGTTGTGTAGGTCTCACAACTGCTCTCCAACTACAAGAAAATTTACGTAACTCTACGCAGATCGACGTGATCGCTGAGGATTTTGGTCATACAACGAGTCATGTTGCTGCTGGTATTTTTCGTGTTAGCTCCACTTTTTCCGGGCCCAGCGAAAATATTACAAAGTAATAATTATTTTTTTAAAAGACCGTGAAAATATAATTAAATTACATAAATAAATTCTATAGAAAATGGATAACAGATTCGTACAATTATTATGAAGCGATTAGTCGATCGTCAGAAGGAGCTGATGCCGGTGTCACCAGTATCTCTGGATATATGTATTCAAACAATTCTCCAAAATTCGTCAGAGTTAGTATTTTTATTTTTGTAATGTTTGATCGCTTGTAAATGAGATATTAAAAGTCTAATCTGATTATTAGAATGAATGGATGGAGAATCTGGTACCAATTTACAGACAAGCTACGGAGAGTGAATTGAAATTAGTTGGTGGAAGTTGGAAGTACGGAGCTTTCTTAGCAACTCTATTAACTCAGCCAAATCAGTATTTGCCATGGGCAAGAGCAAAGTAAGTTTAGCAAAGTCAAGTACTGCAAAGCTGGCATTAAACAATTTATTCCATGTAGATTGCAAGAAAACGGAGCTACATTGATTGAAAAACCAGTCGATTCGCTAAAAAAATTGTTTGAGTACTATGATTTAATTATCAATTGTACTGGACTTGGGGCTAGAACTCTTTGTAATGATAACAAAATGATACCAATCAAAGGTCACGTTTGGAAGGTAAATCGACGAATTAAAAAAAATCAAACTCATTAGTTTCTGATACAGTGGAATTGTTAGGTTCGAACACCTTGGTTGAAAACATTCTTTTACGGAGAATTGGATACCTATATTATCCCTGGTGCCGACGGTATCACAACTTTAGGAGGGAATCGAGAATTTGAATGCGATGATCTTCGCATATGTCCTTATCAAATGGCAGCAATACGGGAACGTTGTGAAAAATTAATCCCATCGCTAAAGAAAGCCAAAGTTGTAGGTCAGAAAACTGGCCTACGACCATATAGAGAAGGTGGTGTTAGAGTTGAAGCTGAACGTGTATGGCATGGTCCTTATAAAGCTATTGTAAGTAACGGTATAGATTATCAGTGTAACATATAATTCATCTAATTCGAATTTTTCGTAAAATAAAGGTCGTTCATAATTATGGACACGGAGGATACGGAATATGTATGGCGCCTGGAACTTCTAAGTACGTTGTTGAACTAGCTAAAGATGCTCACAAGTCGACAGCGAAACTATGATTATTTTTTTTGAAAATAACTTAGGTATGAGTGTTATATCAGTAAAGTATTAAATTTATGGTGGTCTCTTTCTTGAAAATTAAAAAAAAATAAAGATATTGTTTTTTTAATAATAATATAGGCATTGAATTGTATCAACAAATTTTCTATTTACCATACTTTCATTATTGCAACGTCAAAGTATAGTTGTCAGTTTTGTGAAAATGAATATATTTCCATTCGTTGTTATAACATTGCATAGATAGTATAATTCGAAAACATGAGGTTTAGAAAATAATTTGGAAATGATTTCATCAAAATTTTTTGTTTGTTTATAAAAAAGAAAGTTATTCACAACTATAAACACGCATTTTGCAGAATATATACAATGTCTGACACTTCTATGTTGCTAAAATGGCTAAAGATACATCGAAATCATCAGCAATACAAGCAGTTTTGACAGCCTATCAGAATCGTTTAATATCTATTTACAATACTAAAAGAATTAAATTAATATTTAAAAAATCGCAATTTGCTTGAATCATAAATTACATAATTGACAGTTTAAAAAGTAAAAAAAATCAAGATTTTCATATGAAGTGATATAAACGAATTCCAAATTGGCAAAATTCGTTTTATTTCTTTTGCTTCACATAAAACTTACTTAATGCTCTTAATACTGCTGAAAAAAAAAATTTCCGAAACATCTCACTGTAAATCTACGATTTATATCTGTTCTTTGTAATAAACCATGATTTGTGCTTGCTTTAAAAATAACACTTAGGTACTTATCACTGAGAAAAAGCAAAAATCATGACATAAAAGTACTTGATTTTGAATTAAAGTTACTCTGAGTTTGTCACTCTTATAAACGTGTAACAGCCATGAATAGTACATTGATACATGGTACGATCATACCCAAACTATGATTAAGGAATACAAATTTCAGTAAAAATGTCCGAAAATCGTAGTTTCTTCACTTCTTTCCTGGCTTTACATTTTTTCGAGGTGGAGCTCCCCATCGCAAAGCACTGCTGTCTACCGTCAACCTCGGCCTCTTGTACTGACTACTTTTGATGTGTTCTTCCACTAATTTTGGTGTGACACATATTACATGTTGTCCTTTCCAATATTTTACCATATTCATACTTTGCAATGTAGAAATAATGTCAGTCTGTGAAATACTAGTCATTTGACTGAAAAAAAAGAAAAAAGAAAAATAATTAGATAATTTACTTTAATAACAATGATTCACTGAATTGATTTTGTAATTAAGCCATTAATATACCTTAAATCTTTGATACTCAATGTTCCTCTGAAGTCTCTAAGAATTTCTAGTAAAACCCAACTCCAATAACTTCGATAGGATAATTTACCTAAGTCACTGAGTGGCTTTTCAGGACTTCCTACAGTTTGTTCAATTCTGCTTAATTCATAACTGAAGGCTATTAAAAGCTTACCGTATCCTTGTCTTTGGAAAGGAGGCAATGTTAAGATGCAAGCTACATTGTTACCATCAGGAGATTCTTTTTCCTGAAATTATTAATATTATATCTGAAATGATAATAGCATTACTTGAGAAATACTTTCATTTACCTTTGAAAAATAGCCAACAAGATGAGCTCCATGTTTGTCAACTTCACACAAGATGTAAAATAAAAATGGCTCAACATCAAAATAAAGTGTTTTGTGATCCAAAAATAATTTTGCCAAGAGACAAAGATTCTGGCAATAAATTTTATGCTCTTTACCATCAACTTCCCAGATACTTAGAGTTCCTTTTCGATAAATTTCTTTACCCATAGGTTGCCTATGAGTACATTCACTCTAGAATAGTAAAAATAATATCACTATTGAAATAACTGTCATATAAGCTGTAGTCATTATTATTACACAGTGCAATTGGTTACCATGTGGTATCTGTATGTTTTCTCTAATCTCATGTACTTCAAGCAATATTCACAAATCCATAATTTTGGTTGTTTACCATACTCTTCTGGATAAGGACTAAAGTACCATGTATCAATTTCATACTTGCCTAAAACATGGTATTTCTCTGTTAATACTTAATTAATAAATATTAATTATGTTACTAAAATTATCTTTTCAACATTCACACCTATTTGTATCCTATCAATGTATTTTACTTTTGTAATAGCTTCATGCTCTTTTTCTAAAGCTGCAGTTGTAGGATCCATTTCTGCATAGGTCTGAAAATTTACCATTTATATTAATTTATAGTTAACAAATAGCATGCAATTGGGAAGAATTGACAAATTTTATACATACTTTTTGTACGTGGTTTATCTCATCGTGTCTTCTTTTTTGATTCCTGGTTATTTTTCTATCAGATGAATCAGCCAATAGATCAATACTTTGATTCCTGTCACCATTTTTCCATGATCGATCACTCATATCAAACCTGCTGGACATGATTCTATCTCGAGGTACCCATTCATCTAATCGTCTGTTATAACCCTCATAATGAACATAATATTCATAATGGTTTTCCATCTCATTAAAACGAGTTTGGATCACTTCAGCTGGATCTGTTGATAAAATAAGAAAATACATCTAAGTCTAATATCACACTGAGCTATCAATGATTTTACAATAAAATAATTACACTACAATAAATATCCAAACATAATATCATTATAAATTATCAAACATACAAATCTATTAATTTTTACAAATATTAGAGATATGTATTTGTTGCTTATAAGAGTAAATTAATCACATGCTGTACATTCACTCATACAAAGTAGAAATAGAAAAAATGTAGACACAGAGCAAGGTCACTGAAACCTTGAAAACATATGATATAAATGTAACTTTTTTCACTAAATAGAAAGGTAAAAAAAATAAAAGTTGTCAAACTTTGGATTGTAATTTTATAAATTTCAACATGATTAAGTAATTACGTCTCATACCATATTAAATGTCCGGTGATTACCAAAAAAATTTCCAAAAATATTGATTTTTTTAAATGTAGAAACGTTTACAGCTTGGAACAATTATTTATTTTAAAGAATAATTAATAAAGCTATAAAAATTATTTATTCATCGTACAAAAAGAAAAATTTCGTCACTGCGACTGACACATTTCAACGCGCAGAACGTTGTCAAGCACGACTCCGAAATAGTAATCCGAACGAACATCGTTTCGCGACATTAAGCGCAGGTGGTGGTGGGGATAGCAGCATGTCTAAAAATGCTAGTTGCAGCTTCGTAACCTAACAACGTAAGTAAACTATAGTATGTGCACACGCTAGTGTCAACAGCAAAAAAGCGGCTGTTCCCCTTTTCGTGACCTAGGTGAGCACCACGTGGTGCTTCGCCGAGACACGATTGTCATCATTGAGAAAATCACGCAAAATAGCGAAGGCTAACAAAAATAATAAATGGCAAAAAGCGTTCGTAGCGAAAGAAACAAAAAGTAGGTGACGAATAATTGCACGTTCGAGGATTCGAGAAAGAGTACGAAAAGAGGAGGGATAATGCCACAAGCACAAACACCGTACGCAGAATCGCGATAACTCACGCCAAGTGTCGTCGGATCTACGCACGAGGTAGTGCTCGCCAATATCAAGTGGCATTTCCTCGGTGCTGTCGGCATCGTCGCCTGAGCCTTTGCCACCACCACCATTCGTCATCTCATTCTTGATAGAGTGCTGCGGCGACGATGGCAATGACGAAGCTGGCGTAGTCGAGGTGGTGGTGGTGACGGCGCTTGATGAAGCGTCATTAGTTGCAGCCGCCTTGTTGCTGCTACCTCGTAGATGATGGTGGTGGTGGTATTCAGCCATTTCCCGGATATCGAACCGCGCACTACTCGCCGCAGCGACGCGCCACTCGCTACTGCCGCAATTTCGAGAGCTCAGCGCGGGACTCATGCAGCCGCCCCACAACACACGGGCACACAACCGGCACACTCCCAAGCACTATGCGTTCTATCGGTGAAATTCCGCCTCTGGCTTTCCTGCAAGTTTTCCCGCCTCTTTGTTTCTCTCTCTCTCTTTCTCTGACTTTTTCACTCTATCAGAAGGCTTGACGGAGGCTCGTCTCGCTCTACAGTGGCGCAGTGTCGTTTTTGTCTTAAAATACAGATGGAATGTTGATGTAACACGTAGTTTGTTGCAATTCTTTTTGCAACGTTATTTGCGATGAAAATCGACGAAAACAACCTGTAAACACGTCGATTGTCGAATGTTCCGCAATGCTTACAATAGGTTGTAATCAATCAAAACCCTCGTTCAATTTACTTTTTAACGCACGAGGCAAACAAACAAGCGCCTAACCAGCAGCGGCTAAGTTTACCTACTGGCAACTGGTGAGTCTTGTGCTGGCATCTACCGGTAGGTGGCCAACCCACATCATCTAGCGGGCGACGGCGACAGTTAGTCGTCGTGCTTGTTTTGTTTGTGTGAAGAGTTTAATACCAGATAAGAAGAGTGTCATTCGGAGCTTTCAAGAAGATGATTTTCTGTGAAACACAATGCGAAAATCGAGTTTTGCAATCTAGTAGTTGACCAGTGCAGTGTTTTAGTCCAGTGTGAGTAAGAGTCAACGAGAATCGCAGCTTCGACGAGGCGACCAAGGTGAGCGAGCTTTTTCGTTTTTTGTTTTGAGGTTATATTTGTCTGCGATCGGCTTTTATCGGAGTTCTGATGACAGATGACAAGTTAATTGTGCTTTATTTTCGATGATCTTGGAGTTTTTTTTAGACTGGAAACTTTTCAGTTTCACCAATTAAATTGTTCTTTATGCAATTGCCTTTGTTTATACTTGTTGAACCTAACCTTGTCTCACCGAACTGTTTGCTTTACTAAAATTTTTTCGAGGAAATAGTCATTCAATATGAATGTTAACACGACATTATGGATAATGACATAGTTTTCTAACAATCGATCAATCTCAAGATGACAATGTATCACTCGTGAGATCACAGTGTAATATAATCGGAATTATTTTTAGCCTAGAACGATGACGAATGGTGGATAAGCTTCTCAATTGACCTTGACGTAGTGGCATAGGATGTGTATGCGTGAAAGTTCATGTACATAATTTAACTTGTAATGAGAGAAACCGGTTTTCGCTAGTTTTTAGTATGCGAACTTTGCGTACATAATCTTTCGAATATATAGGATCATTATAAAATCAATTAATTTGTTGTTACTGTATTTTCGTAAATGACTTGAAATTTCGGCAGTCAATAATCAGATTGTTGTTGGTAATGCATGCGTCAGTACTCCAGTTAATATAAATATATTCTAACGTATAAATACGTAGAGAAGAATTTTGAATAATTAAAAATACGATAATAGACAGTTGATGTATATTTAAATGTCTACGTATTCTATATGTATATTATTCATTAGATTTTTCTTCTATTAATATACAATACATTAAACTCGACATTACAAATAGTCGCAGTGACATTTTAATATGATGATACTAAATGTGGCCTTTCTGAGTAGATCAAGGATGGTTTTGAAATCCAAGCACTTTATTCTAATTCTTACATTGAAGACAATGTTATTGTTACTTATGTTTTTAATATACTCGGCAAAATCATTCGACAAATCATCCGATAGGAAAAAGAAAACCAGAATGACTTTCAACTCACACGTACTTCCGTGTTTCCAGCAACACACAAAGCTAACTCGACGATCGCGTGTCACTGCCAGCTACTGGAATCTAAGAAGCTGGGTGTGAAAAAAAAGCTTTTTTTTCATTTTGTAATTATTTGGTGAGTTGAAAAGCTTCTCTCTCTCTTTTTCCAACACACCATATTTCCTCACCGGGCCACATAACAACGCGACTACAAGAGAGCGCTTTGCATTTGAATTTCAAAGCGCCGCTTGTGTTTTTGCCCTTTGCGTATGCGAGCAAAACCATTGCTGGCTCCCCTCACGAGTAATTCGCACGCTGCAAGAAATCTATATTCCAACGTAAAAAAAAAAAAACTTCGGAGTGCTGCTGGCGTACAGCTATAGCCATCGCGTGGTCTAACACAACTTGCGAAGGAAAGTGAAAAAAAGCGCACGAAGTATTTTGTTTTTTTTGCCGAATAACGGCGTAGTTACTGCACTTGCGATAATTAGGCTGGCGGACAAGCCGGGATTTCGATCGATTATACAATTTGAAAGTGGCTCTCATTCGATTTCGTATCGCAGTCAAATGATTCGTTGTCGTTCATCAATTTGATTTAAACTGGTGAAAATGGCACTTTCACGATCATTTTCTTGTTTGTTTTTTATTCTTCTGCTGCAATCTATCTTCATCAATTCGAATTCAGCAGCAGTAAGATCCGCAAGGAAGATTCGAGAAAAACAACAGATTTTTCAAAATTTCGTCGCAACAAACACTGAAATGGCGATCGATCAAATTAGCACTCTGAAATCACGATCTATCACCTTGTACTCGCCGAGCGAACTGCAATCACTCTGCAATGCAACGTCAATCATATAAGAAAAATCCATTCTAGTAAAAACAAAATCGAGAACTCAATTCCACTGACAAATGGCAACCGTAGCGGCAGACGCGTGGGTGTGAAATAAACGCTTCGATTAAGTATTTTTTTCTTCGTTTGTTTTTTGTTCGTAACGCATTGGCGGCAGTAGCAAACTGCTATTTGTCTTGTTTAAAGCGCGATACTACTCTCTCGCGTTTCATTTCCGGGCAGCGGAGAGGATTGGCTTTCGCGTTTTATAGAGCGCGCCGATTTGACACAGAAAACTCGCACGCGAGATACGCCCGGCGCATGAAAGGGAAAAAAGAAAGAGCGGTCGCGCGCGCGCGCACACACACACACACACACACACACACACACACACACACACACACACACACACACACACACACACACACACACACACACACACACACAATGGCCGCAAGCGCAAGACTACATACGTTGCACAGAGGTGAAAAAGAGAGAAAATGGCGAAGGTGGAAATGCCGATATATATGCTTTGTCCAACTAGATGGCTTTTTGTTACGTGTGCGCACTGCTGCGACTGGAGGGGTGGGCGAGCTTTTGTCGCGGGCCATGATAGAAAGAGCGCGTTCGCCCGCGCGCTTTCGAGGATCGTCTCGCTTCGATATGCATCGCCCACGCCATTTCTCATCGACTTTCGTTTGCTCGCGGGCTGCTTTATTAGTTCGCAGAGTCGCGGGCGCGGGACCGATGCATTTCGCGCGGCGTCCCATTGAACCTCCAGTGCGAATTGACGAACAGTTCACCGTCAACGGTGGATAATTTTCTCGCTAAGCGTTTCGCGTGTGCATTTAATTGGAGAGGAGGGGGGGGGGGGGGTTAACTGTCTGTCGGGCGACCGAATTTTCGTATTGCTATCGTTGTTGTGCCTCGCACAGCCTCTGTCAGCTGCAATTTTGCCGAGGCAGTCGCCGATTCACACATACGTATGCTCTTTAACGTAATATATCGCAACGTGAAGAATTTGCAGCAACATATTGGTTTCGAGATCAAACGTCGACTGCCTTCCCACCGTTTTACGGCCGACGCGCGAAAGCTCGGCGCTCGCCGAATCCCAAGCTGGCGTCACCACGGGTAAGGCAGAGCAGAATCCGAAACAAGTGCCAGAGGCTTTTGGGGCGCGAATGAAATTTGTCAAGCTGGCACGCGCACGACTACGAATAGAGGAGACGCGAGATTGAAGAGTCATATAGCGAAAATGGAATCCTCGGCGGGATGACAGGCAATTGGCAGCGGAAGGAGACGGGAAGAGTGAGAGAGAGAGAGAGAGAGAGAGAGAGAGAGAGAGAGAGAGAGAGAGAGAGAGAGAGAGAGAGAGAGAGAGAGAGAGAGAGAGCTGGGAATCGAACGAGCCGACGGCGACACGCACACAGCCTGGCCGGTTTTTCGCGCGAGGCGTGATGCGTCGATCGGCGCGGCGCTTCGCGCGGGGAGCATTTACTTTGGGCATCTCGCCGTTCGCCAAACCGCGGCTGGATTTTAGCGCGGCTACAGCAATCGCGCTCGCTGAATAATTGATTGCACGCGCGCGCCGCAAGGCTCCCTTTGATCAGCCCGCCTCGCGCCGTCGCCGAGCGCTGCGCCCCGAGGATTCGCGGCGGAGCGAGCTGGCCTTTAATTGTGTTTATTGGCTGTTTAGAATTCGCCGATGCCGAGGGAATGTTGCCAGCTACTGTTATTTGCCCGCGCACGTTCATTCCGACAGCGATTATTTTCAAGTCTATTGTACGACTGGGCCTTCGTTGACGGCTCAATTCATTGAGTCTTTGTTCGTACTTAATTGTGTGCGTAACTTTCTATGCCAACGCTGTAATTAGGATACTTTGCAGTGACTGTCGGTCATTATTTTTTTTTTAATTTTATTGAGTTCCAACTGAATTAATCATTCAATAAAATGTACTTCAATTTTTACATTACAATTTTAACTTTGATCAACCTACTTTACAATCTAAATAACTTGTATTGAATTTTTCACTCTAATGAACAAGTCAGTTTTTATTTTAACGTACGCGCTAGTTAATTCAATTCACTAATTATTCAAGTCATTTTTTGACTACATTTGTGTTGCCTGCTATAGACTCGATCGTTATATTCAAAATAACCGAGTGCTCGAGCTAGTCATACATAAAATATTTGAATATAAAGCATTGTTATTGGTAAATGTTTATCGAATGTAACAATGAAGTTTATTAATTTAAAAATGACTCAACCCCAATGGAATAATGTGGAATACTTGTCCGTTCAAGTCAATGATGACTAGTAGCATAGTGGATGCAATAATATCAAGGTATCGTGAGTCTAGGAATGAAACTGATTCACAGCGAATAGTTTTCAAAAAAATGTTATTATGGTAGAATTTGCAATATTGACACGCAACCTTTGCAAACTGTGCAACCCACCAAAAAAAAAAAATAGAAAATAAGGAACGATAACTCGCCGCACAAACTCGGCTCATTACATGCGAAAAGGCAATCATCAAAGGTATAAATCAGCCGCGAGGGAGGGGGATGAGTCGAGCGCTCGCGCTGTGCAGGCGAGCTTGGGAATAATAGGCAATCGGCATCGTGGTGAAACTAATATCGCAACTCCTTCGGAGTTCCGGTTCTCCCTCTCTCTCACACTCGCCTAGAGGGATATGACTCGGATGCTGCCGCATTCCCTGCTCGCGCTCCTCGCGAGATGCGCATCTCGCCGAAATTCATATCTTCATAGATCCTCGCGCGCCGAATTCCATATCCATGTCGGCGAGGAGCACCGTCGCATGCGTCTTCGTCCCGTTGGACTGGCTGAGACGAACGCCCGGCCAATGAATAAATTTCGGCGCCTTTC